CCTCGCGGAGAGAGGTGGCGTGGAGGGGGAGCCCTGAGGGCACTCCTGACAACATACACCGCTCGCACACACAGAATACGTAGCACACGCATAGCATGGATAGTACACACACACACACGGCACATACATAAACATTGCATTGACAGTACACACATAGCACGTGCATGGATACATAGTCGACACAAATAAAACACACACACACAGCTTAAGGACAAAGATCACTGATTACGGCTGATGATGGTGTGGTCATCACTATTCCCGACCGCCTTTGTCTCCCTGGAGCTGACGACGTGTGTTGAACACACCGCACCAGGCACTCATCTCTTAGGACTGAGTCGACCTAGGGGGGGGGGAGGAGGCCTGGGACAGATACAACTCGCCACTGAAGCGGGGATGAAACCAAGGAGACCGATTGGGGGTTGGTGGTGCAGTGCGTTAACCACGACGCTGCTCTCTTCCCCATGTAGTGACACGCACATCAGACCCTGACACAGGAACGACACTCACCGTTCGTACCGAACACGGTGTGTGTATAAACACACTACAATGCTAGGGGCTCGTCAACTATTGTTTACACAACCACGCGGTGGGCAAATCCGGAGGCGCTTAGCGTGGGCTTTGACATTGGAGCCGGGCACGTGGGGTTAAGGATAAGTCCACAGTTGCACCACGACGAGCGTTTACACAGAGCACAGAGAACGCACGTGCTGTACGCTACAAAGACAAAGATCCCCCGGATGGCCTTCACAAATTGCTGGGGCAGGTGCTGTTAGCGAGCACCTATGAATGCCGGAGCGGCGCACTTAGGAGGGGATGGTGTGGCCAGCTCCACGCCCCCCAATGCTGATGTTTACACACTGCACCAGGTACTCGGGCTGAATCGACCTAAGGGGAGGCCTGGTGACGGTTCGGATAAAAGTCACCGGTAGTTGGCCGTGAGTGGGAATCGAACTCGGGTCGTCTGGTTCCTAGCGCGGAGCGCCAACCGCTGTACCGCTGTGCAAAACCCCCTCCGCACACGCAAATCTTACAATCGGGTACACGGGAAACATCGCCCTGGACACGCACCCATTACACACCTCTCGTACAACGCACACCTGATATGCTACATCTCGCACGCATACGACACGCACACCGCACACACACACACCTTTAATTATATAAGATGTTAACCACGCGTGCGTCTTGGCTGAGCGCGAGTGCAATTGTTGGCACGGGGAAGGAGACGATGGCTCTTCTTCCTCCAGGTGCCGTGCGGGCTGTGGGGTCGTGCCCGCGGGTTGTGGTTGTTTTATTGTGGCTGTAGTTTCGGCGGTAATTATGGTGGTTGTTGTTGTAGGCAGGGGCGGCTCTGCCCTGATGGGATGGATAATAAACGGCGTGCGAAGACATTCGGGGAGAGCGTGGCGGTGTTGATGTTAACCAGCTTGCGTGTCACCATCATATCGTCACACCGCCATCAGCGCGTTCACCATTATCACCAACGTCTCGCATCAACCGATCCATATTCAGCATCACGACCACCAAAATTGCATTGTCACCAACCTCATCATCATATCATCAACACAATCATCTCCACCACCACCATCATCCACCCGACACCATTCCACCATAACCACTCCTGGATATGTTAATCATCATCATCAACCACCTCCATGATCATCACTTCCACCACCACCCCTGGCACCCATCTCCCACACGTGCTCTGCTCACCCGGCTCGGGTGTTATACCACGTGGCCATGTAGTAAGTCAGTAAGTCAGCTTTATTGATCACATCCATGCACACACGAGGTACATGGAAGTGAGATTTTTGTTCCCGTGTCGCTCTCTCAGCTGGTGCAAATTAACAACAATGTAAACAGCAGGCAACAATATTTTAAAAATACTTTTTTTTTTATTAGTCGCTGTGCGGATGATAAAAGTGACATGTGCATGAGACGACATTAACATCGGGCGTACGTCAAGCAAAACAAGCCGGTTGGAAACTGCAGAGACTGCACTTACTTGGGCAGGGCACGCCACGGCTAGAAGTGAACAACTTTAGAGACTAATGACGGAGTGGTAGCCAAGGGAAGGAACGCGTCTGATGGATCCGTGGGGAGACGGAGCGATGAAATCGACTCGAAGCGTGGGTGCCAAGTGGATCTTGTACAGCACGTGATCCGGCGACTTGGGCCCATCAAAGACTTTTATTAAATTCGATTTGCTTCTGTCATTTCGGCAAGCCGGGTCAAGCCACTTGTTGCAAAATGAGACTAATCCGACTCTCTTGAGTGTTAGAATCAGAATATGCAATATTACGGATGGAGCAATCCAAAAGATCCCTTTTTTATGCCACAGATATCCATACTCTTTGGTTCTTTCGGTAAAGTCACGTAGGTAGAAATAAAATAAAACAAATCACGACGTTTCGATCGCAATCTTCATCAGAAGCAAATTGTCTTATGGTTGTTATTGTTTGACTTGCATCCCACTGGGATTTTTGCACACAGCATTGATGTACGGTGCTTTTTCTGGAAGACTTTGCTGTTTTTTCCTGGATTTTTCTGTTTGTGCGTAGTCACTTTAAGATGTTTTCTTGTTCATGTTTGTTGCGGTTGCACCCGAGTCAAGAGCCGAATGGCTCACAGGGCTATTCTCAATATATATAAAAGGCAACGTTGTGGTTATGTGTCTGTTCAAAATGTTTAGTGTACTTCCCGACATGCAACAAACTTGAAATTTGCCATGTGGGTACTATCCAGACTGTACACCATGCAAACATTATAAAAATACACTTTTTTTTGGGGGGGGGGGAGCTCAATAATGCATATATTTTTTTGCCCGGCAAGTGAGCTGTGACGTCACATCTGTCACGTGACCCGCGCACGTGGAAGCGTAACGCATAGTGTAGCGGGTAGCGCGCCGCTGCACTACGAACCCGGCGACCCGAGTTCGATTCCCGCTCACGGCCACCACCGGTGACGATTATTTGGACCGGTCCTGGGTCTCCCCTAGGTCGACTCAGCCTCAAACGAGTAATTGGTGTGGTGTGTGAACATCGCCACTGGGGAGACAAAGGCGGCCGGGCGTGGTGAATCCAAGTCCCGGGCGAAGCCGGGTAGTAAAGCTCGTATCTAATAAATGAAACTGAATCAGGTGGAACAACCACAGCAAGAAACACATTGTCCTGCGGAGGGAGCTGGTAGGAACGTTGGGTTGCTCGGTCAATGGCCAGGGTCAACGGCGGCGTGGTGTATTCCGCAAATATGCCCGACTGTGAGGGCGGGCACAAGCCGGCGTGAGTAGGTTAAACGTTGAGTTTTATAAGGGCACCACGGGGTGACCAGCCCCTCCCCACCCAGCCCCACCCCACCCAGCCCCACCCCTCCCACCCCCCACCCAGCCCCACCCTCCCCACTCAGCCCCTCCCTGCATGACGGACGGACGCAATAATCCCCTGTGGGCTGGTGTAACCAGGAGGTTCCTTCCAGTAAAATGCTGAAGTGGGCGAGAGATATCCAGTTCGGGTCCCACGGGGGCTTCAGGACGCCTGCTAAGACGAAACCAACTCGAGACGTTGTTTGATGTCTGCCGGCCGAGTGGCCCTTGAATAAAGAGACCTCCACAGTTCTAGATTTGAAGCTTTCGTGACTGCAAGGATTCATATTCTTAGGTTTTTTTCGGTAAAGTCACGTAGGTAAAACATTTTAATAATTAAAAGTAAAATAAAATAAATCACGACGTTTCGGAGGCAACACAAGCTTCCGTCTTCAGGTGGAACCGTCACAGCACGACAGCTGTATCAAGTGAGAGACATTCCAAGAAAACAGTCCTTGTATATATACTGGAATTTCTCTCACTTGATACAGCTATCGTGCTGTGACGGTTCCACCTGAAGCTTGTGTTGCCTCCGAAACGTCGTGATTTTTATTTTATTTTTTATTAATTAAATTTTTTTACCTACGTGACTTTACCGAAAACACCTAAGACTAAGACCTCCACACACAGCTCAATTCGCATCTGATTCTGACTTCAGGCAGCAGTGGATCGAACAAGTCGTGCTACGTCAGAGACGTGGCCCCGCCCACCGCCCACGTGACCACGTCGCGTACAGTGCTCACTGTACTCGCCGCCTGGGGCACGTGTCTCTGAAACTCTGCCCACGTGATTTTTGGGTGCAACGTTTCGGGCGTTGATCCTCTTTCATGGCGCATTTAAGCAGTGGCCTACACTCGGCTGTGGATACATGAAGGAGAGCTTGATGCAATGTATTGGAGATGTTTTTGCTACGTCTGGTTTTCGACATGCCATTCATTCAATATCCTGTATCCTACATTAGACATTTTTAAATGTCTTTAATACTCTTTGGTTCTTTCGGTAAAGTCGTGATTTGATTTATTTTATTTCTACCTACGTGATTTACCGAAAGAACCAAAGAGTATGGATTCCTGCAGTCACGAAAACTTCAATTATTGACATTTTGAACGTTCAAATATGAAGTTTGTTACACATTTTTAAATACCGTGAATTTTAAATTATTAGCGATCTAAATTAATGTTTGATAATTGGAAATTGTTTTTATCACATGCTTCTAAATTTGAAGCTTTCGTGACTGCAAGGATTCATACTCTTTTAAGTTCTTTCGGTAAAGTCACGTAGGTAAAATAATAAAATAAACTAAAAACAAATCACAATTTATTATTTGAATTTTATTATCATTTTACCTACCTAAAAAACCTAAGAGTTTATCACATGCTTTGATAACCTCATCAATTCACGAGTCAATTCACATCTATGAAACGTACAGTACACATTTTTATAGTTGTGATTGTCTAACCGTGCCTCCTGAATCTACGCCGCTCAACACATAAAGGACACCGCGATTGTTACGCTAACAGAGGTCATCTTTTGAACATTTGTTAAAATAAACAAAGCCGTGGTTTTGTTGATTCGTTAAAAGATAAATAAAATTAACCACGTGTGCCCTGTACAGTCACCCCCTCCCCACCACCACCACGTGGCCGCGCACTCCGCCCCTAGGCGTGCATGGTAGCGGGTGGTGGTGGTGCTGTTACTGGCTGTGCTCTAGGTCGACTCAGCCTTAAATGCAGTAAACGTCGCCACGAGGGAGACAAAGGCGGTTCGGGCGTGGTGCTGGCCACCCACCCTCTTATTACCCCCCTCGGGCCTTCTTAGGTGTCTTCACTAGTGTTGTTCGTGGCTGAGACACGGGGGATCTTTGTTTCCTGCTGCTGCTGCTGCTGGTAGTAGTGGTGGCACTGCATTAGCTGTGCTCCTAGGTAGACTCGGCCTCAAATGAGTACCCGACGCGGTGTGCAGTGAACATCGCCACGAGGGAGACGAAAGCGGTCGGGTGTGGTTCTGGCCAGCGGTGTTAGAGGCACGGGGGATCTTTGGTGCTGCTGCTGTTGCTGGTAGTAGTAGTGGTGGTCGTGGTGGTGGTCGTGGTTGTTCAGGCTGATCGGTGCGCCATGGAGGACCTCGTAGAGGCGCTGTTCGAGTCGGAGGCGGTGAAGTTTGGAAGCTTCACGCTCAAGAGCGGCCTCGCCTCCCCCGTCTACTTCGATCTCCGCGTCATCGTCTCGCACCCGCGCCTCATGCTGCAGGTCGGGAGCACACTTAGCTCGACTTTGTGGGCACACGTTTACATCACCACCACCATCATCATCATCACCACCACCATCATCACCACCACCATCATCACCACCATCATCATCACCACCACCACCATCATCACCACCACCACCACCACCATCATCACCACCATCACCACCACCATCATCACCACCACCATCATCACCACCATCATCATCACCACCATCATCATCATCATCATCACCACCACCACCACCATCATCATCATCATCACCACCACCATCACCATCATCACCGCCACCACCATCATCACCACCACCATCATCACCATCACCGCCATCATCATAATCATCACCGCCATCATCATCATAATCATCATCATAACCCTTATCCTCGCCCTCATCCTCACCATCATCATAACCCTCAACTATAGATCCGCACACTCACACACATATAACTAGAGACCGGCACACACAGATCTACAGACCCACACACAACTAGAGACCCCCACACACACACAACTAGAGACCCACACACACAGATCTACAGACTCACACAGAATTACAGCCCCACACACTCACACACAGAACTACAGACCCAGACACTCACACACATAACTACAGACCCGCACACTCGCACACAGACCCACACACTCGCACACAGACCCACACACTCACACACAGATCTACACACTCACACAGACCTGTAGTTATGGTGACAGGAGAACAGGCAGGGGAGGGGTTAAGGAAGGGGTAGTTTTGTAGTGATGGGGCACGTGGTAGTGATGATAGGGGTAGTGGTAGTGAACGAGTTTGGGGGAGTGATAGGGCAGGGGTAGTGGTAGAATAGGGATCGTGGTAGTGATAGGGGTAGTGATAAGGGTAGGTAGTGGTAGTGATAGGGGTAGTGATAAGGGTAGGTAGGGATAGTGATAGGGTAGGGGTAGTGATAGGGTAGTGGTAGGAAAGGGATAGGGGTAGTGATAAGGGTAGGTAGTGGTAGTGATAGGAAAGGGGTAGTGGTAGGGTAGGGGTAGGAAAGGGATAGGGGTAGTGATAAGGGTAGGTAGTGGTAGGGGTAGGAAAGGGGTAGTGGTAGGGTAGGGGTAGGGAAGTGTGGTAGGGGTTGCATGAGGCCTGGTCGTAGCTGGGGGCAGGGAGTAGCAGTATCAGGATGATGATGCTGGGCTAGGGAGAAACGGAATCAGGAGCGTGAAGATGTTTCATGTGCAGTGGGAGTTTGTTACAGTGTCTGTCTGTCTCGGTGTGAATTTATATATCTCTGCGAGTCTATTGGTCTCGGTATTAATCAGTAGATCTCTGCGGGAGCACTAAGTGAGTGGGTCTCGGTGTGAATCGATAGATCTGTGCGAGTCTGTGGGTCTCTGTGAGTGGGTCTTCGTGTCAATCTATAGATCTCTTGAGTGTAGGTCTCTAAGCGAGTGGGTCTGTATGAATCTATAGGTCTGTGCGAGTCTGTGGGTCTCTGTGAGTGGGTCTTCGTGTGAATCTATAGATCTCTTGAGTGTAGGTCTCTATGCGAGTGGGTCTGTATGAATCTATATAGATCTGTGTGAGTCTGTGGGTCTCTGTGAGTGGGTCTTCATGTGAATCTATAGATCTCTGAGTAGAGGTCTCTATGCGAGTGGGTCTGTATGAATCTATATAGGTCTGTGGGTCTCATTGTGAATCGATGAATGTCTTGATATGGCTGATGTTGATGCCGAGGAACAGCTGTGATGTTACGCTGTTATTGATGAGCTCGATGATTCCATCACGTGTATTGCAACTCACCCATCCCCTTGTCTCCCTCCCCTCCACCGCAGGTGGCGGAGCGCCTATGGGATGTGGGCCGCTCCGTGTGCCCCTCAGCGCTGCTGTGCGGCGTACCCTACACGGCGCTGCCCATCGCCACGCTCATGGCCACGGCGCACGAGAGGCCCATGCTCATGAGGCGCAAGGAAGCCAAGCAGTACGGTGTGGCCCAACGCTGCGTGGTGTGACATGACACGAGGGGTGACGCTTCGTGGTGTGACGCGACACGAGGGGTGACGCTGCGTGGTGTGGAACGACACGGGGTGACGCTGCGTGGTGTGGCGCGACACGGGGTGACGTGACGCGGGTGGTAACGCGACACGAGGGGTGACGCTGCGTGGTGTGACGCGACACGAGGGGTGACGCTGCGTGGTGTGACGCGACACGAGGTGTGACGTAACACGAGAGGTGACGCTGCGTGGTGTGACGCGACACGGGGTTGGCATGACGCGGGATGGCCTGATGCGGTGTCGCTCAACACGGGTGGTGGCTCAACACGGGTGGTGGCGTGACGCGGTGTGTAGGCACGGCGCGCATGCTGGAGGGCGCGTTCGCGGCTGGAGATGTGTGCGTGGTGGTGGAGGACGTCGTCACCAGCGGATCCAGCGTGCTCGAGACGGCGGACGTGCTGCGTCAGCACGGCCTGCAGGTGCGAGATGCCCCGTGATGATGACAGTGTGCGTGATGGTGATCATTTGACGGTGGTGCAGTGGCACGATGCTATCATACTCTTGATTGTGGACAGAGCCGGACGGGATGCTGTGTGATGTTGACGCTGTTGTGATGTTGACGCGGTGCGATGTTGACGCGGTGCGATGTTGACGCTGTGCGATGTTGACGCTGTGCGATGTTGACGCTGTGCGATGTTGACGCTGTTGTGATGTTGACGCTGTTGTGATGTTGATGCTGCAGGTGCGTGATGCGCTGGTGCTGCTGGACCGTGAGCAGGGTGGCCGCGAGACCCTGGCCGGCGCTGGCATCACCCTTCACTCGGTGTGCACCGTGTCTCGGCTCATGCAGGTGAAGGCGACTCGAGTACAGAGTTGGGAACAACAACGACGATCATTCATTTCCTTTATTAACCTGGGAACACCTCACAGAGGGGTTCCGCTGCATACATATTGAGGGGGTTTGGCTGTCACGGCGTGGGGCGATGCTCGCCCAGCGTGCTCTTTACGAGGGGAGTTGCGCTCAAAGGTTCGCACGAATGGGTTCACCAGCCCACAAACCATTATATCTGGTTTGGCACTTAACTGGGCCGAATTACAGCTCTTGAGAATTTCAGCTATATCGGTGCAACTGCCACGCAAGGGATGTCAACTCTCCATAGCGGGGCGTGTGAAGATTGCGGCCCAAACTCGTGTATGCGGATAAAACAGCAAAGCGTCACTTGGAAAGGATCTTGGAAGCAGTTCCGTGATATCCCGTTCTGCAGTGTCAGTGTCGCTAAAACAACCGGAACAGCCGTTGTGAAAACCATGCAAGACCACGAATCCCTGCACTGTTGCACACCAGTGTTGGTCATCACCGTGGCGGGGGTGGTTGCAGTGTCCACCCAACGACCCGGTGGACAATCTTGGCGGCCGTTCCGCTCACTCCCACCCCCACCGCAGGTGCTGCTGGACCGCGGCCGCGTCGACCAGGCCACGGTCGACTCCGTGTCCGCCTTCATTTCCCAAAACCGCGCTACGACACCACCTCCTGCCTCGTCGCCCTCGCTCGAACCTGGGCCGGGCGCGGTGGCACAGAGCTACGGGCAGCGCGCGCGTCTCCCGTCGACGTCGGCCGTCGCCTCGCGGCTCCTGCTCCTCATGGAGGAGAAGCGCAGCAATCTGTGCGTGTCGGCCGACGTGCGCACGGCCGCCGAGCTGCTGGCGGTGGCGCGCGCCGTGGGCCCCCACGTGTGCCTCCTCAAGACGCACGTGGACGCGCTTGACGACTTCACGGCCGACCTGCCGGAGCGCCTGGCCGAGCTGGCGCGGAGCCATCGCTTCCTGCTGTTCGAGGACCGCAAATTCGCCGACATCGGCCACACCGCCCGGCGGCAGTACCAGGGTACGTGTGGGGGGGTGTACTGCAGTGTGCGATGTGCGGCGTTTATTGTGTGGCGAGTTTAGCGAGTGTGGTGTGTGGGCGTGCACTGCAGGAGGGGTCTTTGGCATCGCGAGCTGGGCGGATCTGGTGACGGCTCATGCCGTGTCAGGCCCCGGGGGGCTGGAGGCCCTGGCTGGGGTGGGAGTGCCCCTAGGGAGGGGCTGCCTCCTCATCGCCAAGATGAGCTCACAGGGGGCGCTCACCACACAGGGGTACACGCAGGCAACGGTACGGCTTGGCTCGCTCTACGCACACCACTTACCGCACCGCACTCACCACACTGCTCCATTCACCCTTGCTCAGTGTTGATGGTGGGGCGTGCGATGCCACACAGGTGGCAATGGCCGAGGCGCGTCGCGACTTTGTGCTGGGATTCATCAGCACGGAGCGCGTCACCCAGGACCCCTCCCTGCTGCACGTCACCCCCGGGGTCAAGCTACAGCCGGGAGGTGCTCACCACTCACTCACCACACTCACCTCTCACCACTCACCACTCACCTCTCACCACTCACATCTCTCACAGCATCACCACTCACTCGCCAATCGCTCACCACGGCATCACCACTCGCACCGCTTGCTCGCGTAGCTCAGAGAATCACCATTCACTTATCATAATTATCACCACTCTATACACTCTCTCACCTCTCATAGTAGCACCCACACTCTCCACTTTACACACCCGCCCACTGCACCCACCACTCGCACCCGCACTTGTGCCTGTGTGCACTTCTGTACCCTTCTGAATGCATGTCTCGTGCGTGCCAGGCGACGACCTGGGTCAGCAGTACTTGACCCCGGAGGAGGTGGTGGGCCGCCGTGGCTGCGACGTGATGGTGGTGGGCCGCGGCGTGCTGGAGGCCACCGACGTGACCGCCGCCGCCCGGCTCTACCAGCAGGCCGGCTGGGACGCCTACTGCGGACGCCTCCAGCCCGCCACCGCCTCGTAGCGCGGGGCTACGTGGCACGGGTGGGGCGACATGGTTGAGTGGCACAGGGCAGGGGCAGCGTGGGCAGGAGCAGCGTGCGCAGGGAAGTGGTAGCATACAAAGGGGCAGCATACACAGGGCAAGGGCAGCATGTAGCAGGGGGCTGAAGAAATCTGCACTCTCGGTTCCTTTCGGACTGCACTGGCGACGACGTCTGTAAGGGCGCGTGGCGACGTCCGCGGTTTGTCTCGGCGCGAATAAAGCTACGTTGAATAACCCCCCGCGTCTTTCGCGTGCAGTGGGGCAGCACGGGGAGGGATAGTGAACTGCGGGTGGGGAGGGGAATGTGCAATCGGTTGATTTATTGGAGGACACGCGCGAGGAATCTATGAAACAGGAATCTAGCCGCCCACACCGGGCTTAATAGTAGTAGATACAGGTTCTTATCAAAAAGCGCCAAGATTCCCAAAGCAATCTCAAATAAATATCCCCCACCAGATACAATTATGTGCAAAACTCAATCCCCCCCAGCACCCCTTTGTGGGGTGGGGGGGGGGGGGGCGGCTAGGGGTCGGGGGGCATGTGACAGCCTTAACCGATTATACACCAGCCCTGGGGGTGGGGGGGGTACAACTCCTACTCCCCCCTCCCCCCACAATTAATACAAGCCCCCACCACTGTCCATGTGGTCACCACCCACTTAATCAGATTGGAACACCCACACCCATTTTGTAAGCTATACACATGGTACACAGTCCGCCGTTGGTACGCATGGCACACTTGCGGTATGCGTGCGTGTATGGTACGCAACGAGGAGACACTTGTAGTATATTCTCGCGGTGCCCGTGCGTACGCGACGAACGCCGAGACGCACGCTGAGCAAGCGAGGCCTCGCCGAGGCCTTTGCTGTCGTGGAAAATCGACGTGGAAATGGGAGACTCGATACAGCTCTGTTTACAGCAGGATTACATGAGGCACACAGACACACCAACAAAGTAATGATCCCCCGTATAGCCTCAACAGACTGTTGGGGCAGGTGTTGGTGGCAAGCACCACGCCCGGCCCCCTTCGTCTCCCCAGTGCCGATGTTTACTATACAATTGGGTTTATAGCGCAGCGCGCTAACCACTGCACCACCGCTCCCCACAACAGCCACGCAGGCAGACACAAACACACATGGGACCATACACAGATGGCGGTACGCAGAGATACTTGGAAAAGCCGGTTTCCAAAAAGAGACGGACGGAAACCTGCACAGACATGAAGACACACACGTACACAGACAGACATGAAGACACACGTACACAGACAGACATGAAGACACACATGTACACAGACAGACAACACAGACACGTAGCTACGAAGACACCCAGCAGAAGGACACCGACATAGTAAGACACACAGACAGATGAAGGCAACACGCGCAGATAGGACGCAGAGACATACAGACGGTCACAAAGAGGAATGGACACACACCGACGCACGCGCACACAGGCACCCCAGCACGGCCCGTGACATTGTGGACCTCTGCTGTGCACGCCGCTCGCCTTTAACATCTCTTCCCCATGACCCCGCGCCCCAAACATATAAAGTGAGAGCATCTTGCCAAGTGCAGCCATGGGGGAGACTGGACTCACAGTCCCCGAGTACATCCAGTGCTCCCCATGTTTTTGTATTCCTAGCCACCCCCTCCCCAATACTCCCAGTGCTCCAGCCCCCCCCAGTCTCCCCGCCCCCCGCAGTCTCCCAGCCCCCCAACTTCTCAACCCTCTCCGCTACTCAGTCTCCCCAACCACCTACTCTCGGAGTTTAAAGAGAACTCGTTTGTAGTTCACAGAACTAACCAATCTCCACTTGCAAGAACCCACTGCTAAACCAATCTCCATTCACCACTCCACTCACCGGGAGTGGGCCCTGGTGCAAACGCCTCCACACCCGCGCAGCCTCTACCCGTACAAAAGCCAAAGACCTCCCCCCCCCTGTATAGCCTTAACAGACTGTCGGGGCAAGTGCTGTTAGAAGGGAGTAGCACTTATGAAGGCCAGCATGGCACACGAGTGGGTGGGTGGCCAGCACCACGCCCGGCAGCCTTTGTCTCCCCAGTGCCGATGTTAACTAGACACCGCACCAGGTACTGAGTAGACCTAGGGGAAGCCCAGGACCGGTTAAAATAATCGTCGCCCATGATGGCTGCGAGCGAGTGACAATCAAACTCGGGTTGCCGGGTTCATAGCGCAGCGCGCTAACCGTTGCACTACACCGCCTCACCTGATACACACCCTCTACGCAGACCCTCCCACACACATCCTGCCATACGCACACGTTTTCACCATGCGCCTGTAGATGTGCACATTCCGAGGATGCATCCACACGGCCCCCTAAAACAACCACCACCCTGCTGTCTGCGCACCCCCATCAATCGCTCTTGTCTGTAGCCCCTCCAACCTCCCACACCCACCCACCCGCCGCCCCCCCCCCCCAACCGTTCCGCCCTCGGACGTCACGCGATCATCGCGCACGCGTGACCTTGACCTCTTGACGCGATCTCGCCCACGAGCCGTGACCTCAAGAGCCGGGTTCACATCTAAACGATTCGCGTAGGTGTGAACGTCCGTGAAGCCGCATGCCGGGCGACCTGGCGACCCCCTCCGGCTCGCCGTGCCCTCCATGCCGCTGCCGGGGCTGCTTTCCCGCCCGTCCAGCCGCCCGCCCGTGCCGTGGACTAGGCAGCCGCGGGCACGTTGGTGGGCAAGGTCGCGACCTCGCACGCGCGACCTCATATGAGCATGACCTTGACCTCGTTGTCGGTGTCCACGCGGTAGAAGAAGGGGATGCACGTGGACTCGTCGAGGTAGGAGGAGGAGGAGGGCCCGCGCGACTCCTGCAGCTCCTGCAGCAATTGCATGATCTGCCCGGCCGTGCCGGGGGGCTCGGCGGTCGTGGGGGGCCGAGGGTCATCGTCTGCGGGAGGATGAGAAGCGGGGGGCGGGGTACAGAGGGGGAGGTTCGAGTCAACGCACCTCACTGGAGCTAGTTTCAGTCGCATGTGCAGTGAGTATGTGTGGTGTGGTGTATAATATGGTGTGTTGTGTGTCGTGTGTAGTGTAATGTGTTGTGCATGGTGTGTATCATGTGACGTATAGCGCGTATCATGTTATAGGTTTCGTACCGCAGTGTACTACACAGTATGCATGGTGTGTTGTGTATGGTACAACAGTGCAGTATGACATTATGTTGTGTGTGTGCAGTGTGTGCCGTGTGCATCACCTGTGTGTGCGCTCTCCGTGCCAGTCTCTGCCGCTCTTTCCCTCGCACTCGCCCCCTCGCTCTCACCTCCTTCACCTCCTTCACCTCCTTCATCTCCGTCTGCGGGTAGAGAGGGGGGGGGGTGTCGCCATGAGTGACGGAAGTGACCGGAGGCTGCGGCGGTTTCTCCGTATCTGGGCGGCCGTGCCTGCGGTGACCGGCTGTAAGGATGCGTGGCTGTAGCTGCACAGGTCAACCGTGGCGTGTGGCCGTGTCACCCTGGGTGCCGTTGGGCAGGTGAGGGCCCATTCCCTCCTCCTGCTGCTCCTCGTTGGGACCTCCTCCCGCTGCTGCTGCTGCCGCCGTCACCGCCGCTTCCCCCCGTGGCGCTGGCCCCTCCAGCCCCCACGCGTTCCTCTCGGCCAGGAGTCTCATCACCAGCTCCTGCAGCTCCCCCAGCTTCACCTGCCGGGGTCACAGGGCAAGGGTCAGGGCGTGTGGGCAAGGGTTGGGTGACAGGGGTGATGATGATGAAGAAGATTATTTTGAATATGATAACGAGGATGTGGTACGGAGCAAACACGCGACCTCTGGCAAATGTGGAGTGAATTTCATAGATTTATATACATTAGGTTCACATGATGAACACGCATGGACGAATCTCATTAATATTTTAACGGCATGACTCGCAGTTTGCAAGCATGAGCTTTGTGGAGGTGCAGAGTGAATCTCCCCTTAATCAGATTGTTTCCAGGAGGGGGGATAAGCAACGACTGAGAGCCGTTGACCCGCACGTCCCATCGCCTCTACGAAATTGTCACCGCAATGGCGCGGCCCCTGGGTCAGAGGGGCGATGGGACGGTGGGTCGTAGGGGCGTAGGGGTCGTAGGGGTCGTAGGTCGGCGTCACCTTCATGTTGTCGCGGTCGAGCGCCAGGCGGTTGATGAACTCGTCCTTGTCGCGGTGGCGCTGGCGCATGACGTCGCGCTGGCTCTGGTACAGCGCGATGTACTCGCCTGCACACGTGCACGCACACACGGTGTGTGACGCACGCACGGGGTGTGACGCACGCACGGTGTGTGACGCACGCACGGTGTGTGACGCACGCACGGGGTGTGACGCACGCACGGGGTGTGACGCACGCACGGTGTGTGACGCACGCACGGTGTGTGACGCACGCACGGTGTGTGACGCACGCACGGTGTGTGACGCACGCACGGGGTGTGACGCACGCACGGGGTGTGACGCACGCACGGGGTGTGACGCACGCACGGGGTGTGACGCACGCACGGGGTGTGACGCACGCACGGTGTGTGACGCACGCACGGTGTGTGACGCACGCACGGGGTGTGACGCACGCACGGGGTGTGACGCACGCACGGGGTGTGACGCACGCACGGGGTGTGACGCACGCACGGTGTGTGACGCACGCACGAGGTGTGACGCACGCACGGTGTGTGACGCACGCACGGTGTGTGACGCACGCACGGGGTGTGACGCACGCACGGTGTGTGACGCACGCACGGGGTGTGACGCACGCACGGTGTGTGACGCACGCACGGGGTGTGACGCACGCACGGGGTGTGACGCACGCACGGTGTGTGACGCACGCACGGGGTGTGACGCACGGTGTGTGACGCACGCACGGTGTGTGACGCACGCACGGGGTGTGACGCACGCACGGGGTGTGACGCACGCACGGTGTGACGCACGCACGGTGTGACGCACGCACGGGGTGTGACGCACAGTGTGTGACGCACGCACGGTGTGTGACGCACGCACGGGGTGTGACGCACGCACGGGGTGTGACGCACGCACACGTGGGTACCGCATGGGTACAGGTACGCGCGCACACGCACGTACAGAGTGTGCGACAGACGCGCAAACACACACGCACACACAGAGATCCCACATACAGCCTGTCCAGGCCGTTGCGGAAAGTGCTGTTAGCGAGCACCACACCCCGCTGCCTTTGTCTCCGCAGCGCCGAGCGCTGATGTTCATACATCGCACCGGGTACTCATTTAAGGCTGAGTCGACCTACACACGCGTGCGCACCGATGGTGTCGGTCTCTCCCGACAGCTGCTCGCAGCGGTGCTCCAGCTGCTCCAGCTGATCGCGGAGGTCGGCCTTCTCCCGCATCACGGCCTGGAAGCGAACCTGCGCCGCCACAGCACAGAGGGGGTGCGGGTCACGCTCACCGCGTCACGCTCGCCGCGTCTCGCTCACCGCGTCTCGCTCACCGCGTCACGCTCGCCGCGTCACGCTCACCGCGTCTCGCTCACCGCGTCACGCTCGCCGCGTCTCGCTCACCGCGTCTCGCTCACCGCGTCACGCTCGCCGCGTCACGCTCACCGCGTCTCGCTCACCGCGTCACGCTCACCGCGTCACGCTCACCGCAGATCGGGAGCCGATGGAGCGATCGCGGCGTTGGGGTGACGAGGTCTCGTTTACTGGTGCTGGTGGGAGTCACCAGCACGGCCCACGGGAAACAACCCTGTCACCACGCACCACTCACCACCGCTCCCTCCATCACCGCAGCCGCCACTCACCTGTAGCTGCTCCATGGCCGCACGCAGAGACTCGTGCTCCTGGGGGGACACGGCCCCCTCCCCGTGGTGGGGGGCGGCCGAGGGGGGGGCGGCGAGGTTGCCGAGACGACGCAGGGCGGCGTAGACGTCCCCGAGTCGCGAGATGAGTTGCGCTCGCTCGCTCTCGCGCTGCTCAACAAGAGCCCGCAGGTGCGAGACCTGGGCGGGCACGCGCAGCGCCGCACACGGCATGCATAGGTTACACGTGGTGAACAAATAGACAAAGATCCCCCAGATAGCCTTAACAGACTGTTGGGGTAAGTCCTGTTAGCGTGCACCTATGAAGGCCGGTACGGCACACGAGGGGGTGGGTGGCCAACACCTCGCCCGGCCGCCTTTGTCTTCCTAGTGGCGATGTTTAGACATTGCACCAGGTACTCATTCGAGTCTGAATCGACCTAGGGGAGGCCCAGGACCGGTTCAGATAATCGTCACTGGTGTTGGCTGTGAGCGGGAATAGAACCCGGGTGGCCAAGTTCGTAGCGCGGCGCGCTAACCGCTACACCCACACCCTGATCACACTGCTCCCTACCCACACACACACACCCTGATCACACTGCTACCCACACACACACACACACCCTGATCACACTGCTCCCTACCCCCACACACCCCACAGCCCCTCACCGTCTCCTCTGGCTCCTCGGCCCCAGCCTCGTCTGCGGGCGAGTCTGTGGGAGACGGAGCGGGCGCGTCCGTCGGCGCCTCCAGCAGCGACGCCATGTCCTCCAGCACCCCCTGCAGGGCCCCCCCCACGGCCCAGCCCTCCTCGGGGCCCCCCACTCCCACCCTCCTCTCCCCGCCCTGCAGCACCCCCTCCGCGGCGGTGACCTGCGACCCGTCGATGGTGACCTGCGACCCCTGGGCCAGAGCGCGCAGCTTGTCGTGCGCGATGTGCAGAGCGGAACGAGCCTCGGCCTCCTGCTCGACACGGGGTCACGGGGTCACGGGGTCACGGGCACACATAAATGATAACCAGAATTAATGGTAATATTTGTTATAGGTTGTAGTGGGAGGGTACCACGCGTATTAGGAGCTCGCACACAGCAATTGGTGGAGCTGCGTCTTGTGTGTACGCGTGTGCATGTGTGTGTGTGGTTGCTGAGCATGGAGAGCGGTGGTGCAGTTGTTAGCGCGCTGCGCTACGAACCTGGCGAGCCAAGTTCGACTCAGCCTTACATGATAAAGGCAGTCGGGCGGCGTGGTGCTGGTCACCCACCTCGTGTGCCGTGTGCCGGCTTCATAGGTACTTGCTAACAGCACCTTCCTCAACAGACTACTAAATCTTTTTAACGTGTCGAGTTCGTGTGAGCAGCGTCGGCTTTCATAGGTGCTGCTCGCAAAGAGCACTTGACTCAACAGTCTGTTAGAGGCTATGCGGGAGGGGGGGGGGAAATCTTTGTATTTTGTATGGGAGCAGTCGTCACGGCCACCAACACCAGTGACGAATATATGAACAACTGGTCGTGGGCCTCCCCCAGATCGACTCAGCCTTAAACGAGTATCTGAAGTTACCGTCTGCACGTGCGTGTGCGGGCCCCGCACCTGGTGCTGCACGCGGTCGAGCAGCGTGCTCTGGGCCAGGCACTGCCGGTGCAGCTCGTCGCGCTCCGCCTGCAGCTGCACCACGGCCGCCCCGTACTGCTGCAGCTGCTGCAGCACCGCGCTCCGTTCCGCCACCAGAGCCTCCGCCTCCGCGCACTTGGCTTGCAGCTGCGACGAAGGCAACGGTCACGCGATCACGCCGACGACATCGATGGCGAGCCGCTGTTCGCCACGGCGCGTGTACCCGGCTAGGTGCGCTTTGATAGCCGTGTGAAGTGTTGAAGGCACTCCGCTGACGTAACCGTCACTTAGTGGTGAGTGGCGGGGTGTATTGGTGTGTGTGTGTGTGTGTATTTACCGTTTGTCACCGTTTACAGGCCACGAACGTCACACTGTTTTTGGACGGCGTGTGGAGATGTGCAAGTTGCGACGTGTGGTTCCCCGTTGTGTTTTCGGGTTGGAGTTGGCCACATGTCCCAATTATAGGATCATACAGCTTGGGCGATCGTTGTTGGTGTGGCCGGTTCTGGGTGCCCTTCCTTCCCCCGCTTACCTGCGGTTTTCCGAGCGAAAATCTGGGCACGGCGTCACAAATCCTACAGCGGGCGCTTCGATCTGCGATTCTTTGCACCAATGACGACGCTTCGTACAAATAGAAACTATTGTTTACACCATTGGAACCTCCTTTGCCAGTATCAAATTATGATAATTGTTTTTTTACCCTTTTATCTGGCAACAAAGGTGTCAGTTTTGTTGCCAGATAAAAATGGTAAAAAAACAATTATCAGAAACTATTTGTTGCGTGGCATGAGCGGTGCAACGGTGGCAGCGGTGGCGGGAGCTCCACCTGCTCCTTGACCTCGTGCGAGTTCTCCTGCAGGGAGCCCATGTGGCGAGCGAGCTCCTTCTTCACGTGCTGCTCCGACTGCAGCGCGCTGCCCAGCTCCATGTTCTCGTTGCTCTGTGGAACACGCGGCGGCGGGGGCGGCACGGTGGGACAGCACAGCCATCAGGGGACAGCAGCATGGGGACACGGGAGGACACAGACGGATATGGGGACACGCAGGGACAAGGGGACACAGTTGGGCCATGGGCGACATCGGAGACACGGAATCAGAGGTCGCAAACGGATTTTGATTCCTTACCCGTACCTGGCCGCACCAGGGTCGCAAACGCGTACCCGTACCCTACCCGATACCCGGCTACCCGTACCCAGCCGGGTATCGGGTAGGGTACGGGTACCCGATTGCGACCTCTGGGATGAAGCCATGTTGCAGACGCGGGTGGGTTGATTCTAGGAACTTGAATTGTGAGAAGAGACAAGACGTTGGGAAATGAGTGACAAACAGTTACTCATCAGTGACTCACGGCCTACCCGTACCCGTACCCGGCCACACCAGGGTCGCAAACGGGTACCCGTACCCGGCCGGGTACGGGTATCGGGTAGGGTACGGGTATCAGGTACCCGATTGCGACCTCTGCACGGAATACACGGGAAAGATTGAGACACAGACACGTGGGGAAATGGGACGTAAGGGTACATGTGGGATACGAGGGGAAGGTAGGTGATAAAGGCACGGGTAGACAGGGAGACATGGGGCACGTTGGGGGAGACAAAGGGGAAAGTGAAAACACGGGGAGTGGGACAACGAGCACGGGGGGACACAGGTATGCGCGGAAAGCGAGACACGGAGACGCGCTGATAGCGGCACACAGGTACGCGCGAACAGCGAGACGCGGAGAGACACGGCGCTCACCAGCTTGACGAAGCCGTTCTGCATCTCGGCGAGCTGCTCCTTGAGCTGGCGGTTCTGCGCGAGCGCGCGGGAGATGGTGGCCTTGTCGGCCTGCGCCGTCTCCAGCAGCCGCTGCCGGTCGCTCGCCTCGCAGCCCAGGTCCCCCAGCCGCGACTCGAGCGCCAGCAGCCGCGACTCCGCCTCGCGGTTGAGCTCGCTCAGATGCTCGTTGTCGCGCACCTGGGCGGACAGCGCGGTAAAGGGAGCGCGGGGAGCGGAGGCGCAGCGGTTAGCGCGACGCGCCACGAACCCGCCGGCCCAAGTTCCACTCTTCCCGCTTACGGCCAGAAGCGGTGAAGGGGAGGATATCGGAACCGGTCCCAGGACTCCCCGAGGTCGATTTAGCCTTAAACGACTTCCTGGAGCGGTGTGTAAACAGCAGCACTGGGGATACAAAGGCGACCGGGCGTGGTACTGTCAACCCACTCCCTGGTGTGCCGTGCCGGCCTACATCGGTGCTACTCTTTAACAGCACTTGCCCTAACAGTTTAATGCATGTGGGGGATCTTTGTTTCTGTACCAGCGTGTGTGTGTGCTCAGGAGAAATGACCACCTTCTGTTTCAACTCACTCAGCTTTTCACACGTGCGCAGCTGAGTCGACAGTGGGTAAGGAGTTAACTGTGTGCGCACGTGCCTGTGCGTATGCGTGCTTTGTTGTGCACGTGTCTGTGTGTGCGCGTATACGTGCATGCCTGTGTGCGCGTGTTTACGTCTGTGCCTGCGTGTGCACGTGCACATGCGTGCCTGTGTGTATGTGTTTATGCACGTGCCTGTGCGTGCCTGTGCGTGCGTGCCTGTGCGTGCGTGCCTGTGCGTGCGTGCTTGTGGATGCGTGCATGCGCGTGACTGTGTATGCATGCCTGTGCGTGCCTGTGCGTGCCTGTGCGTGCCTGTGCGTGCCTGTGCGTGCCTGTGCGTGCCTGTGCGTGCGGATGCGTGTGTGCGTGCCTGTGCGTGGTATTGGGCTACAAGCTCGTCCTTCTCCCTGCGCGCCCTCTCCAGCTCCACCGCCAGGCCGTGCTCGCGCTCCGAGGGCCCCTCCTGCTCCGAAGTGGCGACGGCGGCGCTCGACTTTTGCGCCGCCTGCTCGCACAGAACCACTGGTGGGGGAGGGGGGGCACGGGCGGTCACTCAGCGGCTGCTGTGTGACACGTGTGTATGTATCTGTGTCTGTGTGTGTCTGTGTGTGTGTGTGTCTGTGTGTGCTGTGTTAACGTGAGGAGCGGTAGTGTCGCGGTTAGTGAGCTGCGCTACGAACCTGGCCACCTGGGCTCGGTATCTGAACCGGTCCTGGGCCTCCCCTAGGTCGACTCAGCCTAAAATGAGGACCTGGTGCGGTGTGTAAACATCGCCAACTGAGGAGACAAAGGCGCTCGGGCGTGGTGCTGACCACCCACCCCCTCGTGTGCCGTGCCGGCCTTCATAGGTGCTCGCTAACAGCACTTGCCGCAACAGTCTGTTTAGGCTATATGGGGGACCTTTGTCTTCGCTGCGTTAACGTGCTGTGTATGTGCATGCGCTGTTACCTGCTGTATGTAGGTAACACAGCGCGTGTGATACCGTACGTGCCGTGCGCACAGCGTTATAATGTGTGTACTGGGTCTGTGCCGCAAGCGCTCAGCTCACCCTTCTGCTGCTCCAGCTCGTGCAGCGACCGCTCCATCTCTGTGATGCGCACCACCTGCTCATCCTTCTCACGAGACAGCAGCTCCACCTAGCAGTAGCACACACACAGCAAACCATGGCACACACAGCACACCGTGTCAGACACAGCACACCATGACACACACAGCACACACACACAGCACACCGTGTCAGACACAGCACACCATGGCACACACAGCACACACACAGCACACACACACAGCAAACCATGGCACACACAGCACACACACAGCACACACACAGCAAACCATGGCACACACAGCACACACACAGCACACACACAGCACACCATGGCACACACAGCACACACACAGCACACACACAGAACACCATGGCACACACAGCACACCATGTTAGAGAGCACAGCACACACACAGCATACCATGCGCGACACAGCACATACAGCACACCACCCTCGATACAGCACACGCAGTACACGCAGCACACAGTGATAGAAAACACACACACAGAACACACCATATCAGACACAGCTCACACACAGCACACCATGGCACACCATGTCAGACACAGCACGCACGGAACACACACACACACAGCACACTGCGTCCGACACAGCACACGCGCGTGCACCTGCTGTGCCGAGTGGCGAGCCGTCTCCTGCCAGAGGCGCCCCTGCTCCTCCATCTGCTGCAGGTGCTGCTGCCGCTCCAGCATCAGCTGCTGCACCGACTCCGACATCTGCACCGGGAAAACGCACAGCGCCCGCAACACAGTCACACAAACACAACCCCCCACGTAGCCCTGAACAGACTTCGCGCAAGTGCCGTTAGCGAGCGCCGATGAAGGCCGGCGCGGCGTACAACGGGGTGGGAGGCCAGCACCACGCAAGGCCGCCTTTGTCTCCCCACTGTTGATGGTTACACACTGCACCAGGTACTCATTTGAGGCCGAGTCGTCCTTGGGTAGGTCCAGGACCCGTTCAAATAATCGTCACCGGTGTTGGCGAGCGGGAATCGAACTCGGGTCGCCGGGTTTGTAACGCAGCGCGTTAACCGCTACAATACTGCTACCCACCCGTAATGATACACACACACACACGGAAACACACAGACGCACACGCACGAACATCCACAAACAAACACATAGGCACTCAAACACGCACGGACACACACGGACGCACGCGGACACAGCCACCACAGCAGCAGCGTCTGTACCGCGTGCAGCTGCTGCTGGAGCTGTTCTCTTTCCTCCGAGAGCTGCTGCAGCTGGTGGTTGAGATGGGGCATCCCCGCCTGACTCGACAGCTGCAAGCGCACACGGACGGGGGGAATGCGCACGCAGGCACGCAGGCAGGCTCGCATTTGTAAACTAAGACGAAAAATCGGGCGGCACGCGTGGATTCCGTATCGCTCTTCCACCACGGGTTTTGCCCTCTCAGGCGTTTCACGGTGACGTCGCCCAGCGCGCGACGGAGCGTCGGGGCAAGGCCTGCGGTCCGTAATCTGGACAAAGTGACGTCGGCTCGCCGGAACACGGCAGAGCAGAAGAAGTGAGGACTCGGCCTGTTTCACTCGACATGGGATCGAGTGTTTCCCCCTCGCCCGCGTGGGGTTGCTCCGGTAACCATGGTTTCCTCCCGCACGTCAACACTCATCATCAATTGGCCGATAACGCCTAGATATACAGAGGACCTGTAGAGCTCGGGCAATTGTTGGTAGTGCCATTGCTGCTGCCTTCCCGCTCCCCGTCTGTAGTTCCTCCTCCTGGCAGCTCTGAGTCGTCCCCTCTCTCCCTCTACGAGAGCGATGAGCAGATACTGCGCGGCGGCGACGGCTCACCCTTTCAAGCTAAGATTGATTGTTTTTACTATAATGCTTGCCAGCCGCATGTGTGTAGCGAGTGTGGGGTTAGTGTGCGGTTAGTGCCCGGCGAGTGTGCAGCGAGTGTAGGGTTAGTGTGCGGTGAGCACGCCGCGTGCACGCGCATAGAGACCGCACATGCATGCGGTGTGGTGGTGGTGGCGGCGCCGTTCGCTCACCTGCTGCACCATGATGTCGGCCATGTGCAGCTTGCCCTTGAGCTCCTCCGTGAACTCGCGCAGCCCCAGCACCTCGGCGGCGCGCGACGCCAGCTGCTCCGCCTGCTCCGACGTCTGCTGAGTCAGCTCGTCCCGCACGCGCCTACTCGCAGACGCACGCACGCGCAGATCTCCCGTGTAGCCTCCAACAGAGTGCAGGGGCAGAGTGCCATTAGCGGGTGGCACCTACGAAGGCCGGCACGGCGCACGGGGGGCATGGTGTGACCGGCACAGTGAAGAGAGGAGAATGAGATTCTCAGCTGTTGACTTTAACACCCGAACAAATCGAGAGGGGGGTGAGATCCCAGCCAACCGGGGGTTCACTTTCCCACAGGCATCGTGATGGCACCCCCAGCGCACGCGCACACTCACATCAGCTGCTCTCGCTCCTCCGCCACGGCCGCTCTCTCCGTCTGCAGCTCCTTGGCGAGCTGCGGGCACAGACACGGCATCAACATGACTCGGGGACACGGGGAGACGGGAACATGGCTTGTCACGTGGCGTGCTCTGCGCATCACGGGGACACGGCGTGTCGCGTGGCGTGCTCTGCGCGACACGGGGACACGGCGTGTCTCGTGGCGTGCTCTGCGCGTCACCTTCTCGGCCTGCTTGTGCTGAGAAGAGACGGTGGAGAGGGCGCGCTCCAGCTCCGACACGCGCTGGCGCCCGGCATTGAGGCGCGCGCTCAGATCCTCCACCTCGCCTGCACACGGAGACACGGAGACATGGGGCATGGGTACGCAGAGACACGAGGTACACGAGGACATAGACGGGATATAGGATAGAGAGACACGAGATTGCGGTTGCTGTGGTTGTGGTGCTGACCGGCTCTCTGCTGCAGGGATTTATCCGCGAGGCTCAGTGTGTTCTGCAGCTCCGACTTCTCCGACACCAGGATCCCGATCGTCTGAACGTGCACCTGGGGTGGCCCAGACCACGGCCCGCCACGTCACACGCGCGGCACCCGCGCAGCACACGCGCAAATTAAAAACGTGTAAATTACTTCATTAGCCAGGAGAGCCACACCGAGTCGTGTGACCCTTGTTCAGGAGGGTGCTGCTGCTGCTGCTACGTTGGGCGTCTGTCTGCGAGAAGTTTCCGGCCAATTAACGATGAGCTGTGTTAATTATACCACGTGGCAGGAAACCGCGGCACCCGGAGAACAGCCACGCCTTGCGCGAGGTGGCAGCGCTTTAGCCCCGTACGGGTGGAATAAACGGATGGCGATTAGTCCACTTGCTTTGCTGCCCTCTCCTGGCGAGCCCAGGGTATGGCACCTCCTCACCCCATCTGTGCGTGATCCACTAACCCTCTCTGCTGCCTCCACAGCGCTGGATCACAGGTCACAGGTCACCCGGCTAACAGCACGGAGAGCACGCGGCACCCTGACCCAAACCCACCCACGACCCTGACCCCTGACCTCTGACCTGCAGTTGTTCCAAAGCTGACCCTTCACTGTGAAGCCGCTTCTCCTGATCAGCGCGGACCTGAGAGATACGACGACACGCGACATGTAATTTGTGAGACGTGTTTCACACGTTAAGGACGACATTCGACACGCATTGCGAGGTAAACGCAATGCACTCCACGTGACGCGTCAAGGTCAACATGTTAGGTGACACCAGACGTTACGCACGGCTTGCAACGTGCGACATCTGACGTTACACCCCGTATACACACGTCCAAAACATTGCACACGTGTAACACACACCACACATGTGTAACACACACACACCACACACACACATGCGCAACACACACACACCACACACACATGCACAACACACACACACCACACACACACGCGCAACACACACCCCACACGCACCACACACACCGGACACACGCACCACACAGACACATGCACACACGCACCACACATACACGCACCACACACACACCACACACGCACCACACACACGCACCACACACACACGCGCCACACACACTACAGGAACAGAGTGAGGATGTGCCACCACCTTCAGGAGCTCTGTCTCCAGGGCATCGTTCTGCTGCTTCTGTGGGGCACACAGAGAGGGCAGAGGGGGTCAGTCCCGGAGGGGTGAGTGGTGAGGGTGGTGAGGGTGGTGGGAGTGGTGAGTGTGGTGTGTCAATGTGCCGAGTGTGGCATGTGAGTGTGGCGAGTGAATATGGTGAGTCTGACAAGTGTGATATACGAGTGGGTGTGGTGAGCGAGTGTGGTCAGCGAGTGTGTTGAGTGTGCCAAGTGAGTATGAGTGTGGTGTGGTTCGTCAATGTGGCGAGTGGCTGTGGCGAGTGGCTGTGGCGAGTGTGGCGAGTGCGGTGCAGTACGGCGTCGTGCAGGTCTGCGAGGAGTCTCTTGTGATCGAGCGACGCAGCGTCCAGAGCCTGAGTCAGCTCCTGGTTCCTCGTCTGTGCGTCCACACACACACAAAGACAAAGATCAGCCGTGTAGCCTTAACAGACTGTTGGGGCAAGTGCTGTCCGCGAGTTGCACCTCTATGAAGGCCGGCATGGCACACGAGGGGGTGGGTGGCCAGCACCACGCCCACAACACATGTACACACATGCGTATCAAGACAAAGATCCTCCGTATAGCCTTAACAGACTGTTGGGGCAAGTGCTGTCCGCGAGTTGCACCTCTATGAAGGCCGGCACGGCACACGAGGGGGGTGGGTGGCCAGCACCACGCACGACCGTCTTTGTCTGTCCAGTGGCGTTGTTTGCACATCGCACCAGGTACTCATTTGAGGCTGAGCCGACACGCACCTTTACACACAAGCACGCCATGGATCCCTTGTGCGGTCACACATCCTGTTGTGGCAAGTTAGCGCACTGCTCTGTCAACCCGGTGACCCAGTTTCTATTCCAGTTCACGGCTAACATCAGTGGCCTCTCCGAGGTCGGCTCAAGTCATTAATGAGCAGCTGACGCTGTGTGTGAACGTCAGCACCGGGGAAACAAAGACAGCCGAGGCCTGGTGCTGGCTACCCACCCCCTCGTGTGCCGTGTCGGCCTTCATAGCTGCTTGCTAACACTTGCCCCTTCGGTCTGTTAAGGCTACACGGGTATCTTTTGTTTTTGTTTGTGCATCTCACCTCCAGTTCTCTGGTGTCTGCCGAGTGGCTGCCGCTCTCCCCGTTGCGGTAGTTTGACTGGCACACAGTTCACACAGACTTCGTTAGAACACAAACACATGCAATACACAACTACTACAAAGACTAAGTTCCCCCCTGTAGCCTTAACAAACTCTTGGGGCAAGTGCCATTAGTGAGTACACACACGTGCTCACACACACAAAGATCCTCCGTATAGCCTTAGCAGACAAGTGCTGTTAGCGAGTACCTACGATGGCTGGAATGGTACATGAGGGGGTGAGTGGCCAGCACCACGCCCGACCGCCTTTGTCTCCCTAGTAGCGATATTTACACACCGCACCAGGTATTCATTTGAGGCTGAGTCGACCTAGGGGAAGCCTAGGACCGGTTCAAATAATCGTCACTGGTGTTGGCCGTGAGCAGGAATCGCCGGGTTCATAGCGCAGCGCGCTAACCACTACACTTCCACTCCACACGCACACGCTTGCACACACACGCACGCACTCACTCACTCACCTGGGACATGAGGCCGTTGATCTGCACAGAGATCTGGCGCAAACGTTCCGTGGACGAGACGTCCCTGTGACGACACGGGCAGCAGAGTGAGAACCGCAGCCACCGCGTCACCACACCCCCACCACACCAACACCACACCATCAGTATCACATCACCACTACCACACCGCCACCACCGCCACCACACCCCATTACCAAGCAGTATCACGCAGTACTACAACATCAACACCCTTCCACATCGTCATGACACCACCACCACCACCACACAATCACCACCACCACCATGTAGCATCATGCGGTACTACATCACCACCATCACCATGACTCCACACCATCACCAGTTCAAGGCTTTAGCTGGATTCTTTGTCTTGCGTGCATCTGTGTGTATTGCTGCATGTGCCTCCATCTGTATGTCTGCTGGAGTATTGAGTTGTACTAAACATTTTTCTTTGTCACTTAGTGTGTCTGCTTAAGTGTGTGCGTGGCCTCATGTGCCGTACCAGTCTTCACAGGTGCTCGCTAACAGCACTTGCTCCAAAAGTCTGTTCAGGGTAAACAGGGGATCTCTGTCTTGTCTTTGGGTAGTGGTAGCGCAGTGGTAAGCGCACTGTGCGACAAATCTGGTGACAAAAATTCGATTCCCGCTCACGGGCAACACCGGTGACATCTGTGATTATCTGAATCGGTCCTGTGCCTTCCCTATGTCGACTCAGCCTTAAATGAGCACCTGATGCAGAGTGTAAACATCACCAGTGGGAAGACAGAGGCGGCCAGGCGTGGTGCTGTCCAACCACCCCCTCCGTGTGCCATGCCGGCCTTCATAGAGGTGCAACTCGCTAACGGCACCTGTCCCAAAAGCCTGTTGAAGGCTATGGGGGGGTCATTGTCTGTGTGTCTGCACGTCTGTCCGTGTCGACATGAGAGAGTGTGAATGAGTGCGCTTGTGCCTCTGCTATTACCGCATTCCCTCCTGCTGCTCCTCCTCCCCCCCATCCATCACCTCCGCCACCTGCAGCACAAACCCCGTTACTCAGAATCCCTGCCACCAGCCAAGGCGCTGGGCCACATCCAGGACAGACGGAACACAAGGGCACTCTGTGTGTGTGGATTGCTGTGTGCGTGTGTGGTTCGCTGTGTGCTGATCATGGTGTATTTGTGTGTGGTTCGCTGTGTATGCGGATCGCTGTGTGGTTAGCTGTGTGTGTTGTTTGCTGTGTTTGTTTTCACTTTGTGTGTGTGGATCTGTGTGCGTGTGTGGTTCGCTGTGTGTGTGGATTGCTGTGTGCGTGTGTGGTTTGCTGTGTGTGTGTAGTTCGCTGTGTGTGTGTGTTTCGCTGTGTATGGGGATCGCTGTATGTGTCTGATTCACTGTGTGTGTGTGGTGAGCTGTGTGCAGATTTCTGTGTATGTGTGTGGTTCGCTGTCTGTGCAAATCGCTGTGTGTGTGGGGAGCGGTGGTAGTGCAGTGGCTAGTGCACCACGCTATGAATCAGGTGACCCGAGATCCGTTCACGGCCGACATGAGTGACAGTTATCTGAACCAGTCTTGGGCCTCCCCCTAGGTCGACTCACACTTAAGTTATTGCTGGGTGTGGTGGACAAACATGAGTACCGGGAAGACAAAGGTGGCCAAGCTTGGTGCTAGATACCCACCCCCTCGTGTGCCATGCTCGCCTAAATAGGTGCTCGCTGACAGAACTGGCCCTAGCAGTCTGTTAAGGCTAAACAGGCGATCCTTTGTCTTTTATCTCTGTGGGTCGCTCTGTGTGAGTCGGTCGCGTTACACAGACAAGTCATGTGCTGCAGCCACACATCACATGATGCAAGCACTGGTCACGTGTTAGGAGCACAAGCCATCTGAGCACGCTTAGGTCATGCTGCACAGGCGCGGGGCCGCGTGATGCATGCACGGGTCACGCGTGCGACAGACCACGTGATCGAAACACAAGGGTTTATATGACGCATGCACGGGTCACATGACGCATGCAAGGGCGGTTCATGCACCTCCGTGAGCGTGGGGGGGGGCGACCCCCCCACCGCCCCCGCCGCCGTCTCCTCGTCGGCCTCTCCGGCGCTCGCAGAGAGTCGCTCGTCCTCCGACTGCGCCCAGCACCCGGCACGGGGAAGGGGGGGGGTGAACACATGGGGGTCACGGGGTCACGTGCGACGGCGAGGGTGAGGGGCGACGTGTCTGGCGACGGCGAGCTGGGGTGAGCGATGTTAGCAGCTGGCAGAGCGGGGGTCAGGCGATGATGGCGGGCAGCAATGTTAGGCGGGGGTATTAAGAGGATAATGCCACGGTATTAACGATTTGGTAATGACCGGGTAATGAGAGGGTAACATTCAGGAATTACGCCAGGGTAACGCTCGCGTAATGTCAGGGTAACGTGTGGGTAACGTCAGGATGACTGGGTAATGTCTGGGTTAACGGCTGACAGGGGACGGCAACGTCAGGGTAACGTGACAGTAATATTATGGTAACACAAGGGTATCTTCAGGATAATTCCAGGGTAACGGATAATAATTTAATAAGTGCATGGAACCACAGACAAGAAAGCAGCCAGCTGGTGAGGTGGCTCCAACAATTGCCCAAGCTCTGGGGTCCTCTATATACGAAGGCGTTATCGGCCAATTAACGAGTGTTTACATGTGGGAGGAAACCCGAGCACCCGGAGAAAACCAATGGGTGCGAGGGGGAAACACCCTATCCCCACACGGATGGCGATTAGTCCACACTTGCTGTAGGAAGGGATATTCACAACTTCTCTGTGATCCACCAACCAACGCTGCTGCGGCTGCCTCCACAGCGCTGGGGCGACAGGCGTGCACCACCACGAGTGGGTTGACAGGAGCAACGCTAAGGTAACGCTCGGGTAACGCGAGGTGAGCGCTCGGGTAACTTGAGGGTGAACGCGAGGGCGACGCCTGGCGGGTGACCTGCTCTCGGCTGTCCCGCTCATCCCGGGGGTCATTGCCGCCCTCCTCGCCGTCTCGTCCTCGCCGCTTCTTCTTGGCGCTGCCGCCATCTCCGCCGCCGGGGACTGCCTTCTGTTGGTACTCCTTCAGCTGGGAGGGGGGCACATGGGGATACAGAGACGGGTGAGGACAAGTGGAGGACGTGGGGACAGAGGGACATGTTGAGACTGGACACATACGGAGACAAGTTGATGACGGGCGGAGGTGGGGGATAGCGAGACGTGCTGACAGGTTCAGATGAAGAGATCTCAACACAGGTGGGGAGATAAAGGTGAGGCCATGAATGTAAGTGGAGAGAGGAGCGGTGGGACAGCTCAAGACAGGTGAAGACAGAGAGACATGTAAATGGAGACATGTGAAGACGGCGAGACGCGAAGATGGGATCTCGGGGTAGGGGGCGTTGAGGGGTAGAGTGGGACCGGCGTACGGTGCACACAAAGTCGAAAACTAAAAGACGAGGCGGGGAAATAGACTTGGAGGTGGTGGTGGTGGTAGGGGGGGGGGGAGAATCAGTGGCCCTGTGATGAGACGGGCGAACAAGGGAAGACGCGCCCAGAGGCGTGAAGACAGAGCGAGACGTGTGAAGACGGGTGGAGGAAGGGAGGCCGTGGGGGTGGGGGGCATGGGGACCTTTGCAGATAAGTGAAGGCAGACAAGGGAAGATACATGGGGGACAAGCGAAGAGAGGGAGGCTTTTAAGACAGGCGGGGGTCTCAGTCGAGAGTGACATGTGAAGACAGACAAGTGGAGACGCGCCAGGAGACGCGGAGACAAGCGAGGAGACGCGGAGACAAGCGATGAGACGCTTCAGACGACCAAATCGACCGCTGAGCCGCGTACGTCCGGGTTGAACCCCGCAAGCCGGCGCCTTACGACGGCGGCGGCGGGGGGGTACCCATTCCCCTCCTCCCCAGCAGCGCCGCCTCGTGCCCCCCACCCCCCCACCACTCGCCTCGCACGCCCCGTGAACCCCCCAGCCCACGACTGCCCCGTGCGCCGCTGGCCTCGTCGTCGTCGTCGTCGTCACCTTCTTCTTGGCCGCGGCGAGACGCGCCTGTCTGCTGCCCCCCTCCGCCATGACGCGCGACCACGTCCTCGGGTTCCGGCGTGCACCGCGGCGCCGCGTCAGCGAGGCCGTAATCGTCAATCTAGCAATGCGAGAGCGCTCGAGTGTGATCGTCAATCAAGCAATGCGAGAGCGCTCGAGTGTGATCGTCAATCTAGCAATGCGAGAGCGCTCGAGTGTGATCGTCAATCTAGCAATGCGAGAGCGCTCGAGTGTGATCGTCAATCTAGCAATGTGAGAGCGCTCGAGAGTGATCGTCAATCTAGCAATGTGAGAGCGCTCGAGTGTGATCGTCAATCTAGCAATGTGAGAGCGCTCCCATCGTGATCGTCAATCAAGCAACGCGAGAGCGCTCGAGTGTGATCGTCAATCTAGCAATGCGAGAGCTCTCGAGTGTGATCGTCAATCTAGCAATGTGAGAGCGCTCGAGTGTGATCGTCAATCTAGCAATGTGAGAGCGCTCGAGAGTGATCGTCAATCTAGCAATGCGAGAGCTCTCGAGTGTGATCGTCAATCTAGCAACGCGAGAGCGCTCGAGAGTGATCGTCAATCTAGCAATGCGAGAGCGCTCGAGTGTGATCGTCAATCTAGCAATGCGAGAGCGCTCGAGTGTGATCGTCAATCAAGCAATGCGAGAGCGCTCGAGTGTGATCGTCAATCAAGCAATGCGAGAGCGCTCGAGTGTGATCGTCAATCTAGCAACGTGAGAGCGCTCGAGTGTGATCGTCAATCAAGCAATGCGAGGGCGCTCGAGTGTGATCGTCAATCAAGCAATGCGAGAGCGCTCGAGTGTGATCGTCAATCTAGCAACGTGAGAGCGCTCGAGTGTGATCGTCAATCTAGCAATGCGAGAGCGCTCGAGTGTGATCGTTAAACTAGCAATGCGATAGCGCTCGAGTGTGATCGTCAATCAAGCAATGCGAGAGCGCTCGAGTGTGATCGTCAATCAAGCAATGCGAGAGCGCTCGAGTGTGATCGTCAATCTAGCAATGCGAGAGCGCTCGAGTGTGATCGTCAATCTAGCAATGCGAGAGCGCTCGAGTGTGATCGTCAATCAAGCAATGCGAGAGCGCTCGAGTGTGATCGTCAATCAAGCAATGCGAGAGCGCTCGGGTGTGATCGTCAATCTAGCAACGTGAGAGCGCTCGAGTGTGATCGTCAATCAAGCAATGCGAGGGCGCTCGAGTGTGATCGTCAATCAAGCAATGCGAGAGCGCTCGAGTGTGATCGTCAATCTAGCAACGTGAGAGCGCTCGAGTGTGATCGTCAATCAAGCAATGCGAGAGCGCTCGAGTGTGATCGTCAATCAAGCAATGCGAGAGCGCTCGAGTGTGATCGTCAATCTAGCAATATGAGAGCGCTCGAGTGTGATCGTCAATCTAGCAATGTGAGAGCGCTCGAGAGTGATCGTCAATCTAGCAATGTGAGAGCGCTCCCATCGTGATCGTCAATCAAGCAACGCGAGAGCGCTCGAGTGTGATCGTCAATCTAGCAATGCGAGAGCTCTCGAGTGTGATCGTCAATCTAGCAATGTGAGAGCGCTCGAGTGTGATCGTCAATCTAGCAATGTGAGAGCGCTCGAGAGTGATCGTCAATCTAGCAATGTGAGAGCGCTCGAGTGTGATCGTCAATCTAGCAATGTGAGAGCGCTCCCATCGTGATCGTCAATCAAGCAACGCGAGAGCGCTCGAGTGTGATCGTCAATCTAGCAACGCGAGAGCTCTCGAGTGTGATCGTCAATCTAGCAATGCGAGAGCGCTCGAGTGTGATCGTCAATCTAGCAATGCGAGAGCGCTGAAGTGTGATCGTCAATCAAGCAATGCGAGAGCGCTCGAGTGTGATCGTCAATCTAGCAATGCGAGAGCGCTGAAGTGTGATCGTCAATCTAGCAATGCGAGAGCGCTCGAGTGTGATCGTCAATCAAGCAACGTGAGAGCGCTCGAGTGTGATCGTCAATCAAGCAATGTGAGAGCGCTCGAGTGTGATCGTCAATCTAGCAATGCGAGAGCGCTCGAGTGTGATCGTCAATCTAGCAATGTGAGAGCGCTCGAGTGTGATCGTCAATCAAGCAATGCGAGAGCGCTCGAGTGTGATCGTCAATCAAGCAATGCGAGAGCGCTCGAGTGTGATCGTCAATCTAGCAATGTGAGAGCGCTCGAGTGTGATCGTCAATCAAGCAATGCGAGAGCGCTCGAGTGTGATCGTCAATCAAGCAATGCGAGAGCGCTCGAGTGTGATCGTCAATCTAGCAATGTGAGAGCGCTCGAGTGTGATCGTCAATCTAGCAATGCGAGAGCTCTCGAGTGTGATCGTCAATCTAGCAATGCGAGAGCGCTGAAGTGTGATCGTCAATCTAGCAATGCGAGAGCGCTCGAGTGTGATCGTCAATCTAGCAATGCGAGAGCTCTCGAGTGTGATCGTCAATCTAGCAATGCGAGAGCGCTCGAGTGTGATCGTCAATCTAGCAATGCGAGAGCGCTCGAGTGTGATCGTCAATCTAGCAATGTGAGAGCGCTCGAGTGTGATCGTCAATCAAGCAATGCGAGAGCGCTCGAGTGTGATCGTCAATCTAGCAATGCGAGAGCGCTCGAGTGTGATCGTCAATCTAGCAATGCGAGAGCGCTCGAGTGTGATCGTCAATCTAGCAATGCGAGAGCGCTCGAGTGTGATCGTCAATCTAGCAATGCGAGAGCGCTCGAGTGTGATCGTCAATCAAGCAATGCGAGAGCGCTCGAGTGTGATCGTCAATCTAGCAATGCGAGAGCGCTCGAGTGTGATCGTCAATCTAGCAATGCGAGAGCGCTCGAGTGTGATCGTCAATCTAGCAATGTGAGAGCGCTCGAGTGTGATCGTCAATCAAGCAATGCGAGAGCGCTCGAGTGTGATCGTCAATCTAGCAATGCGAGAGCGCTCGAGTGTGATCGTCAATCTAGCAATGCGAGAGCGCTCGAGTGTGATCGTCAATCTAGCAATGCGAGAGCGCTCGAGTGTGATCGTCAATCTAGCAATGCGAGAGCGCTCGAGTGTGATCGTCAATCAAGCAATGCGAGAGCGCTCGAGTGTGATCGTCAATCTAGCAATGCGAGAGCGCTCGAGTGTGATCGTCAATCTAGCAATGCGAGAGCGCTCGAGTGTGATCGTCAATCAAGCAATGCGAGAGCGCTCGAGTGTGATCGTCAATCTAGCAATGCGAGAGCGCCACTCAGAGGTGGGAACCCAAGAAGCCGACACCCCCCACCACCCCACCACGTGTGAGGGGTCACGCTCGGTTCGCCGTGCCCTGCGCCCACGGGATGAGGAGGCTCGTGCTGAGGCTGAGTGGGAGGGGGCCACCCCCCCTCTCCTTCGTCTCACCCGCCCGACTCGGCCCCCCACTCGCCTCCTACTCGCTCGGCCTCCTCCCCGCTTCGCTCGCGAGGCGCGAGTTCAGTTCGAGTGCGCAGCGTGGCGCGGCGTGCTGGCTGGTGCGTGCCGACTGGGCCTGGGGGACAACTGCGCTACCCCCCCCCCCCCATTAAGTCCATATCCCACCCCTGTGCCCCCCCCCAATGTCCCCCTTCCTCTTGACCCCCTCGTCTTGACCCCCCTGCCCCCCTCTCCCCTCGTGCCCAGCTCCATGGGTACTGCATGTCTCTCTGTCCGCCTTCTGTAGAGACTGGCTGTGGGCAACCCCGGCCCCCCCCCTTCATCTCGTGCCCCCCCCCCCTTATCCCCCCTTTACCCCCCCTTTAACTCCCCCCCCCTTACCTTCCCCTTTACCCCCCCTTACCCCCCCCCCCCTTTATCCCCCCCTCATATCCCCCCTCCTTATCCCCCCCCGTTTATCCCCCCCGTTTATCCCCCCCGTTTATCCCCCCCGTTTATCCCCCCCGTTTATCCCCCCCTTTACCCCCCCCCTTTACCCCCCCCTTTACCCTCCCCCTTAATCCCCCCCCCCTTAATCCCCCCCCCTTAATCCCCCCCCCCTTAATCCCCCCCCCCTTAATCCCCCCCCCCTTAATCCCCCCCCCCCTTAATCCCCCCCCCCTTAATCCCCCCCCCCTTAATCCCCCCCCCCTTAATCCCCCCCCCCTAATCCCCCCCCCCTTTATCCCCCCCCTTTATCCCCCCCCCCCCTTTATCCCCCCCCCCTTTATCCCCCCCCCCCTTTATCCCCCCCCGTTATCCCCCCCCCCTTTATCCCCCCATACACCCCCCCCTACACCCCCCCTTTATCCCCCCCCCCCTCTCTCCGCCCCCCCCACCGCCCCCTCGTGCAGGTGCTGGGCCTGGGCAACCCCGGCATGGCGGGTACCCGGCACAGCGTGGGGGCCGTGGCCGTGCGGCGCCTGGCGGAGCGGCTGGGCGCGGGGTCCGCGTGGCGAGGGGACCGCGCGGTGGCGGGGACCCTGGCCGAGGTGGGGCCCCCCGCGTGGCCCGGGGGGCCCCGCCTCGTGCTGCTCGCCTCCAGCCACCCCATGAACGTCAACGGGCTCAGCGCCGCCCTCGCCGGTGCGGAGTGGGGGGGGGTGTGGAGTGGGGGGTGGGGTTTAGTGTGAGGTGAGGTGTGGAGTGGGGGGTGGGGTGAGGTGTGGAGTGGGGTGGTGGGGGGGTGGGGGGTGTGGAGTGGGGTAGTGTGGGTGAGGTGTGGAGTGGGGGGGGTAGTGTGGGGTGGGGTGTGGAGTGGGGTAGTGTGGGGTAGTGTGTAGAGTGGGGGGGGGGATGTGTGGGGTGAGGTGTGGGGGGGTGGGGGGGGTAGTGTGGGGTGAGGTGTGGAGTGGGGTAGTGTGGGGTAGTGTGGAGTGGGGGGGGGTGTGTGGGGTGAGGTGTGGGGGTGGGGGTGTGGAGGGGGTGTGGGGTAGTGTGGGGTGTGGAGTGGGGTAGTATGGAGTGGGGGGGGATGTGTGGGGTGGGGTAGTGTGGGGTGAGGTGTGAAGTGGGGGTGTACCCAGATGAGTACTTGGTGCGGTGTCGTAAACGTCGCCACTGGGGAGACAAAGGCGGCCGGGCGTGGTGCTGGCCACCCACCCTGCCACATGCCGTGCCAGCCCTTCAAAGGTGCTGCTTCACGATAACAACTTGCCCCAAATGTCTATTGAGGCTATACCGGAGTGGGGGGGGGGGGGTCTTTGTCTTTGTGCACAGCCAAGAAGTTCTCGGTGCCCGCCCAGGAGGTCGTCCTCCTGCACGACGATGTGGACAAGCCCCTGGGTCACGTGGCTCTCAAGCACGGGGGCAGTGCCCGGTGAGTCCACCCCAGCTGTGTGGCCACGTGCCGCGCTGTCCACCCCGCCGCGCTGTCCACCTCATCGGCGCGCTGTCCACCTCATCGGTGCGCTGTCCACCCCATCGGTGCGCTGTCCACCCCATCGGCGTGCTCCCCTTGTTGTTGGTGCAGGAGCAGGAGGCTCGTGCAGGCTCACCACGTGTGTGCGTCTGCACCTTGTCTCGAACGGAGAGCGGTGGCGCTGTGGTTAGCGCGCTACGCCGCGAGCCAGGCAACCTGAGTTCAACACCGGTGACGAGTATCTGAACCAGACCTGGGCCTCCCTTAAGCTCGACTGAGTACCTGATGTAAATAAACATCAGCACTGGGGAGACAAAGGCGGCCGGGCATGGCGTGCCATGTTGGCCTTCATATCTGCTCACAGAAATGCCCCAAAAGTGTTTTAAAGGCTCCATGGGGAATCTTTGTATTTGTGTCTAGGGGACACAATGGAGTCAAGTCCTGCATTCACTGCCTGCGGTCTGATGTGAGTACCTCCCCTCCAGACACCTCGACTGTGACACTGCGCTGGGTGATGCGGGTGTGGTGCATGGGCAAGTGTGATTTTGGTGTGTTGATGTGGATGGTGTGTGTGTGAGAGATGTCAGTGTGTTGATGTGGATGGTGTGTTGATGTGGATGGTGTGTGTGTGAGATATCAGTGTCGTGAGAATTATTTTATTATTTTATTACTTCCCTTCTACGTGACTTTACCGAAAGAACCAAGAAGAAGATATCAGTGTGTTGATGTGGATGGTGTGTGTGTGAGATGTCAGTGTGTTGATGTGGATGGTGTGTGTGTGTGTGATGTCAGTGTGTTGATGTGGATGGTGTGTGTGTGTGATGTAAGTGTGTTGATGTGGATGGTGTGTGTGTGTGTGTGAGATGTTAGTGTGTTGATGTGGATGGTGTGTGTGTGTGTGATGTCAGTGTGTTGATGTGGATGGTGTGTGTGTGTGTGAGATGTCAGTGTGTTGATGTGGATGGTGTGTGTGTGTGTGATGTCAGTGTGTTGATGTGGATGGTGTGTGTGTGTGTGATGTAAGTGTGTTGATGTGGGTGGTGTGTGTGTGTGATGTGTGTTGATGTGGATGGTGTGTGTGTGAGATGTTAGTGTGTTGATGGTGTGTGTGTGTGAGATGCCAGTGTGTTGATGTGGATGGTGTGTGTGTGTGTGAGATGTCAGTGTGTTGATGTGGATGGTGTGTGTGAGATGTCAGTGTGTTGATGTGGATGGTGTGTGTGAGATGTCAGTGTGTTGATGTGGATGGTGTCTGTGTGTGTGAGATGTCAGTGTGTTGATGTGGATGGTGTCTGTGTGTGTGAGATGTCAGTGTGTTGATGTGGATGGTGTGTGAGATATCAGTGTGATGTGGATGGTGTGTGTGTGTGTGTGAGATGTCAGTGTGTTGATGGTGTGTGTGTGTGAGATGCCAGTGTGTTGATGTGGATGGTGTGTGTGGGGCAAGCTTGAGTGATGCAGGTATTGGGATACGGGTGTTGACAGTCTCATTCTCAACCTGCCCATACTCCCTCATTCACCCCGTGTTGTTGTTGTTGTTGCTGCATCTCTCCTGTGCCGCACACCCAGGCCATGGTCCGCTTGCGGATCGGCGTTGGCCGTGGTGACGTGGCGCGGGGCTCGGCGGCGCTGGTGGCCCACGTGCTGGCGCCGTTCTCAGCCGAGGAAGAGCCGCAGATCCAGCGAGCGCTGGAGCGTGGCATCGACCTCTTGCTGGCGCACATGGGTTACACGGGGGGTCACACGGGGGGTCACATGGGCGAGGAGGCGCCCAGATGACCCCCACTGTTCCTTCCTCACTCACCCTTCACTACCATGGGTGGAGCGACGGCGCAACAGTTAGCACACTCCACTACCTACCTGGCGATCCGAGTTCGATTCCTGGCCACGGTGAACATTCAATCCGGTCCAGGCCCTCCCCAGGGTTGCCTCAGCCTTAAATGAGTAACTGCTGCTGTGTAAACATTGGTTGTGTTGCTGGCCACACCACCCTCTTGTGTTGTGCCGGCCTTCATAGCTGCTCACTAACTGCACTTACCCTAACTGCCCCGTGTCGGCTACATGAGGGATCTTTGCGTGGCTTGTTTACCATGCGGACATCGCTCGTGTTTGTCTGGAATCTATGAAGTAATAAAAGAGTTATGGAAGAGGTGGTATGGGATGCAGTCCTGACGTAAACACGCGGGACAGGGACACCAGCGCACACTGGGAGGAACGTCACATAGCAACGCTTTATTGGAAGATGCGGTATAAAACAGGAATGATGTTCACGGTCGCACGCGATATGAAATGTACAGCAGCTTTCGCAAAACACGAAACATGTCATGCGCAAAACATGAAACATGTCATGCGCAAAAACGTCAACACACCAAATGCAACCAACACGTCACATGCAACGTCAACGCAACGTTGCACTCATCAACAATTGCACCACCATAGCACCCACCACCATTGCTGGCCACATCACTCGTGCTCCAACCAACCGGGCGCTAATCTCCACCGAGGCATCCTGCTCCATGGGTCTCTGGTGTTAACCCCTTTCACGTGGATTTCTTCACAATGGGCCCTGCCACTGAACCATTCCAGTGTTAAATTTCGATTTAAAGCTTTCGTGACTGCAGTGATTCATCTTCTTGGTTCTTTCGGTAAAGTCACATAGAAGGGAAATAATAAAAATAAAACAATAAAATAAATCTCACGACGTTTCGGCTACAACGCAAGCAGCCGTCCTCACCTGAGAACGGCTGCTTGCGTTGTGACTTTACCGAAAGAACCAAGAAGAAGACATTCCAGTGTTAACCCATTCATCATTGGCCCATCCACCGTGAAAATAAAAATTCTGCCGTGGGCCCCCGCTCCTCATGCCCTGGCCTTCATGCCCTGGCCTTCATGCCCTGGCCTTCATGCCCTGGCCTTCAGGCCCTGGCCCTCAGGCACTGGCCCTCATGCACTGGCCCTCAGGCACTGGCCCTCAGGCACTGGCCCTCAGGCACTGGCCCTCAGGCACTGGCCCTCATGCACTGGCCCACGCGGACAGCCCCAGCGCCGCCCCCCCGGCACCGTCTCCGCTGAGAAGCTGCCGGTGGCGCACGTCCCACGCCACCTCCTCGCGGTCCGGGTGCCACCGTCGCGCCAGGATCCGCTCCATGTTCAGAGACCACATGGTGTGCAACGGCATCACCTGCTTGTGCACCTGCAGCAGCAGCAACAGCAGCAGAACCATCAGCACGAGCATCTGTGTCGATATCAGCGTTGGCTATAAACGGTGTGAAAGAAGTTCAATATATATTAGTAGCAGCAGCTCGAGTGGTATCATCATTAGTATTATTCTACCATCAGCATCATTATCTTGAGGGTACGATCTGCTTGTGCACCTTTCGCAAGAGCAGCAGCATCGGCAACAATCGCCATTAGTAGTAGGTTAAGTCAATTTTTTACCACTTAAAAATTATAATTGACTATTTTTTGTACGGCCGATTACTCGGGTTCTTTTAAATACGGTGGCTACCACCACCCCCCACTCCTACCGCACCCCCAAGGCAGAACACGGCTGATGGTGACGGAGATGTCACCAAACCCTGCCTGTTACCTTCAGTCCGGCGGCACATACGGAACGATCGAGTCATCAACAACTAAAGTAATGGGACATTCCAGGACTAGTGCGGAGTTCGGGGTTGCGTCAGTCACCGTGAGCGCTTGCTGCAGATCCACGAGGCTGATGGGAGGGAGCGAGGGCACGACCTCCGACCCCGAGCAGGCGAGCAGCAGGGCAGCACGCTCCTCCGCCTCCTCACCCGGGCGGCACAAACTCTCACTGCACCGCACCAGCACCGCCGGAGAGCCACACGTCACTGACGCCGTGCCACAGACCACAAGACTGCACCAACGCCGCACCAACCAGCCATACTGAACCGCACAGCAACCATACCACACCACATCACATTAACCACACAAACAGCACACCGCAGGGGTGAACCATGACAAGACCACACCACATCAACGCTGTAAAAAAAAACTGCGCGAACACCAAACCACGAGGCTATCCGAGAACCAGACCAACCAACATCGCACCGACCAGCAAAGCCTCGTGATGGGACCGTACGGTATGGTGAGCGTCGCGTGGTAAGAGTGGTGGCGAGTTTCGTGGTGGGTTTTGTGGTTAGCGGGGGTGAGTGATGTTTAAAATATTGGCTGATGATGTTCGTACCTGTCAGTGTTGTTGCTGCTGCTGCGGTGCGCTACACAGCTGTTGCGTAGGTACGGGTGCAGGGGAGCAGTGGTGCCGTACGCGTACCGAAACCGCCCGTCCTTCACCCGGTGAGGACGCCTACTCACCAGCATCGCCGTCACCACCGCCTTCAGGTGGTTCTACAACCGCCAGCACACAACAACAGCTAAGACAATGCTCTCCCCACTCGCCACAACCGCTTGTAATACAACAGTAACTCATAGTGTTGTTGGTGATGGTGTTTAAGGTGGCGGTGAGGGATAGGAGTGGATGGTGGCAGTGGTGAGAATAAGGATGGTGATGTTGGCGATGCGAGTGATGGTGGCAATTATGTGAGTGGCGGTGATGATGGTTATGTTGGTAGTGATGGTGACGGTGGTAACGGTGATTACAATGATGTCAGATGGGCAGGTGTGGTGGTCGTGGTAGCGCCGTTGGTGGCGGTGGTGGCGGTGACGATGACGGTGGTGGTGCCACTGCCGCTTGCCTGCAGCGCATGTTGCAGACACAGCACCGTCTCCTCGGAGACCGAGTCCAACCCGGCCTCCCAGGCCACCAGCATGGCACGCCCCATCATCTCGCCCAGCGCCGGCAGCAGCAGCGACTGCACGCAGAGCGCAGGGGCGGTGGGGCCGGCACGCTCCCCGTCCACGCCGTCGCCCGTGCCCACAACACCGTCGGGGCCACACACGCGGCTTCCCACCCAGGTGGCGCCGGCCAGCGGATCCTGCTCCTGGAAGCGGTGCTGTGACCACACACACACACACAGATCCCCCATAAAGCTATTGAACAGACTTCTTGGGGCAAGTGCTGTTAGCGAGTAGCACCGATGAAGGCTCGGATGGCACACGAGGGGGAAGGTGGTCAGCACCACGTCCTGCTGATCTTTGAACACCGAACACCGCACCAGGCCCTCATTAAAGTCTGAGTCTGGATGTATGTTGAACTTCTTTCGCACTGTACGTAGCCAACCGTGCTAATCGAAGGTGTGGGGAAAGAAGAAAAGTCAACTTTGGGGAGGCCCGGGACCGGTTCAGATATTCGTCACCAATGTTGGCTGTGAGCGAGAATCGCACACGGGTCGCCGGGTTTGGAGCGCAGTGCGTTAACCACCATGCTACCGCTCTCATACAAAGATCCCCCATATAGCCTGAACAGACTGTTGGGGCAAGTGCTGTTAGCGAGCACCACCTATGAAGGCCGATACGGCACACGAGGGGGTGGGTGGCCAGCATCACGCCCGGTCGCCTTTGTCTCCCCAGTAGACATGTTTTTACACACCGCACCAGGTACTTCTTTCAGTCGGAGTCGATCTAGGGGAGGCCCAGGACCGGTTCAAATAATCATCACCGGTGTTGGCCGTGAGCGGGAATTTAACTCAGGACGCCAGGTTTGTAGCGCAGCGCGCCAACCGCTACACCACCACTCCCATACACAATCATACAGACGCGCACTCACTACACGGCTGTTACTGCCCTCACCTCAAACTTTCCCCGCAGCGAGGGCAGCTTCTTCTTGCGGCTTGGCTTCCCAGGCCGGCCCGGACCCTCCTTGAGGCCTGGGGGTAGCAGCAGCAGCAGCAGCATGGGTCTCAACACAAAACTTCACACACACACGCACACACGGGGGCAGCAGGAGACTCGACACAGAAATCGAGGGGCAAACGGGAATCAATACACGGGGAGCAGCAAAAACTTTGAATGGCAGCACTCACCGGAAGCCGTCACCATGATCTGACACTTGGTGATAATGGCGAGAAGGAAGTCATTGTGGAGGTGAACTGTAAACACACATCAACACCGGTCATGACTAGCACGAACATCACGAATATTACTCTTAGGTTTTTTCGGTAAAGTCACGTAGGTAAAAAATTGAAATAAAAATTAATAAAAGTAAAATAAAATAAAAAATCACGACGTTTAGGAGGCAACACAAGCTTCCGTCTTCAGGTGGAACCGTCACAGCCACGACAGCTGTATCAAGTAATGAGAGATTGGTAGCTCCTGCAAACTCTCATTTGCTTGATACAGCTGTCGTGGCTGTGACGGTTCCACCTGAAGACGGAAGCTTGTGTTGCCTCCGAAACGTCGTGATTTTTTATTTTATTTTTATTAATTTTTATTTCAATTTTTTACCTACGTGACTTTACCGAAAAAACCTAAGAATATGAATCCTTGCAGTCACGAAAGCTTCAAATCAAGAATCACGAATATTACTCAACATCAGAGGCTGCACTCAGCATCAACCCAGAATCACTCCGCATCAGCCCCATCGCTCCCACCCCCACGCTCACCCATGTCTTGGGTGAGGAGTCTCCGCGCCTCCGAGTCAAACTCCTCTTTGCTGATCTTGTGCTTGAACCACAGCTTCATGTTTGCCCAGTACCTGCAACATGCACACGCAGATCCCAGTCAGCACTCACAGTTACACGCGTATACTTCTCACGGCCGCGACAGATCGCACGACACGGGAGACAAATATACGGGGAGAGGTGAGCCCTGGTCCCCCTCAATGAGACCCCGACTCCATCTCCCCACGGCTGAGAGCTGTCGAGAAACAGCTGCCCCCTCCCCCCCGTTCGTCTCGGGTATTCCCACTGCTGCCCTCTGCAGTGCTTCTCGCTGCCCTCGCTATCTCAGTCCCCCCTCTACTACAACCACTGCTCTATGCTCTCTCTCTGCCCTGTCCACCTACACAAGCTGCTGACCACGCAGCTGCCTCGCGCTCGCAGGTTCCCACTGCTGCCCTCACTGACATTTCCTCTGCAGTACCCTGCTGCCCTCAGTGTCTCATGTTCCTCTCACTCATCCTCCAGCCCACGAGTCTCTCACTGAGTGAGACTCTACCCCCCCCACCCCCCCCACTACCCCCCCACTACCCCCCCCCACACCTCCCCCCCACACCTCCCCCCCCACACCTCCCCCCACCACACCCCCCCCCACCACACCTCCCCCCCACCACGCCTCCCCCTCCACCACGCCTCCCCCCACACACCTCCCCCCACACCTCCCCCCACACCTCCCCCACACACCTCCCCCCACACACCTCCCCCCACACCTCCCCCCCCCCACGAGTCTCTCACTGCTTGAGACTCTCTCCGAGCGCTTCCGCGAGGTTCTTCTTGGCCGCCTCGAGCTCTCCACCACCAGACGCCGCCATCGCGCTGCAGTGCCAGGCAGCGCAGTGCAGGAGACGCGACGTCACATCCGGGATGCGGCGACCAATCAGAAGCGACTCTCGCCCCCGCGCTTAACGGTTATGTCGTAAAGTAACAACACCGTACGTCGTAAAGTAACAACACCGTGCGTCGTAAAGTAACAACACCGTATGTCGTAAAGTAACAACACCGTACGTCGTAAAGTAACAACACCGTACGTCGTAAAGTAACAACACCGTGCGTCGTAAAGTAACAACACCGTATGTCGTAAAGTAACAACACCGTGCGTCGTAAAGTAACAACACCATGTGTCGTAAAGTAACAACACCGTATGTCGTAAAGTAACCACGGACTGTCGTAAAGCGAGGCAGAGGGAGAAATTTCGCTAAATGTAACGTTAAGAAATTAGTTCTCGCCTATTGTCGCTGCTGCGTTGGTAGTGGGGCACAACCAGCAACACAACACGTTCCCCGTGCCAATAATAACGCTGTTGTGGCCTTAGAAGCAAACGTATATAGTAAACAACGTTTCAAGCGATGACCCTTGTGCATACGCACATAACTGGAGGCCAGAGACAGGGTTAACCCAGGCAGTGTAGTTGACCAACGCGATGTAACATGTTACAGGAAGAAGTAACATGTTACATGAAGGCTTTTTTAAGTAGCCATTTACGGTAGTCGATTGTAAACTGTCGTAAATCTCAAGTGTCGTAAATCACAGACCGCTGCCGTAAAGCGTTGTTACCGTACATCGTTGATGCCGTAAATCGTGTCACCTGTCGCAAATCACAACAACTCGTCCAGAGAAGGGTGTCGTAAAGAGAAGCCTCCGCCGCCGATGTTGTTGTCACGTGATCGGGACGAGACCAAGTGCGCGCCGCGGGAGGGGGGGGGAAGCACGCGACGCTCGAGGGGGTGGGGGGTCACCCGCGAGTGGACGAGTCCAAGGGACGGCGTCTCCCCCCCCCCACCAACACACACGTGGCCCCAACCACCCCACGCGTGCCTCCCATCACCCAGACGGCGCGCGCAGCCCCGCAAAATGTTCACTGTCGTGGAGGTTAAATTTCGATTTAAAGCTTTCGTGACTGCAGGGATTCATCTTCTTGGTTCTTTCGGTAAAGTCACGTAGAAGGGAAATAATAAAATAATAAACATAATAAACGTGATAATTATTTTAGTATGTTTTATTTTTATTATTTCATTATTTCCCTTCTACGTGACTTTACCGAAAGAACCAAGAAGATGTCGTAGAGGTTCTTTTGGGGTTAGATCGCGTAAATATATAAACCCGCCACCTACCCGACACAGACAATTGATAAGGTTTGTCACGTTAAACAGAACGTGCCAGTTGGTCACTAGTACAGCACTTAGCAGTGTGTTGGAGAGCCAAGCCACAACATTTACAATCTTGAGTACGACGTTTCGCCAGTAATTACAACTAGCTTCATCAGGCGACAGCCTGGTTGGCTGCCGCCTGATGAAGCTAGTTGTGTGCTGTACTAGTAACGAATTGCCACGTTCTGTTTACATGACAAACCTTACAAATTGGCTGTGTCGGGTGGTGGCGGGTTTAACGACACATTAATTTACGCGATCTAACCCAAAAACCTATATTATGGATGATATTGGTCGCGAAAGCCTACGTGTTAAACATGTTTACTGCCTCGCTTGGTGTGCAGGAGGTCGTGGGTTCCACGCCCACCCTGGTCTCGGATTTTCAGATGTGTCACGTGGTTTTCGTCTTAAAAGCGACCTGTGTACCAAATGTCAGCTTTCTAACTTGCCGGGCAGCACCCTAGAGGTTTTAGAGGCACACCAATTACAGTCTGTATTTATATACAGAAGTTGTGATGGGTTTGTTTGTGCATTTGCACCACTGCCAACGCAGTTTCGTTAACTTCTTGACATGTTGGCGCAAGGGTGCACCCTCTGTATAATGTTTTGGTCATTTGTAATTGTGCTATAATCAGAACATAATCGGCGCGAGCCTTCTTGTGCTACGAGGAATTTATATACATTTATTCGTGTTCGTGCAATGTGTTCTACTCCGAGTTGGTTTTTGTTCCGCTTTCTATTTGCTTCACTGTTTTACTTTACACGTTTTTTTTAATTGGTGACGCTTTTGCAAATGCAACTCATGCTGCTCTCTTGGGTTACCACCTGGTTATAATAACCTTAAATCTGACCGCATCTCATGACGAAGTACATCAAAACCAGGACCACGTTCATACACAACTCTCACCTTCACCACGGACAGCAAACCACACAGACAGCACCCCCGGACATCTCTATACTATGAATCCGCTCACTCCTCCACCTGTCTGTCCACTGGTGCTCACCCTCTCCACTCATCTCTCCACTTGTCAAACTCTCCACTCCTCCACTCATCTGACCACCAGTAAGACCCTCCGCTCAATCCACTTCGTTTGTCCACTGGTGGTCACCCTCTCCACTCATCTCTCCACTTGTCAAATCCTCCACTCATCTGACCGCCGGTGAGACCCTCCGCTCACTCCGCTCGATCTCTCCACGTCACCCATCTCTCCAAGCTCACCGCTGGCAGCGGACCGCATACTCCGACAGACGTCCGCCACTCGCTTCCAGATGACATGAAAACTTTTATTTGTGCGCCGCGAATTCGCGGCGCGAATACTGACTGACTGCGTCTGTACAAACATAGAAACCGGCGGGCACTGGAAGAAAGGGGGACCACAGGAAGAGCGGGGGGGGGGGGGGGGGCACGGAGACACCGCGGTTGACACGACACGACACCACGTCCACGATCACCACCACGTATTGCACCACGGGAGCGGCAGAGGCTCCTCCACAGTCATAACCGCGATAATAATATTAATATTCACAACAACAATAACGACAACGATAAGTACATCAGCAGCATCATCAACAACAACGACGACGACGACGTTTGTAACAAACGCGACCCCTGGGCTCGGTAATCGCCCCGGGTTCAATCACCGCGACTCCTCCGTCCTTGGGTAGAGGTCACAGGGCCGGGGCAGTAGGTCACGGTAGGGTCAGGGCCGGCATCGTGGGGTAAGGACAACGTTATGGGGTCTAGGAAAGGTCACGGTGCGAGGACAGGGAGGGGTCACGGGGTCTTGAGTAGAAGTCATCGGGTCTGAGAAGAGTTACGGCAGAGTAAGCGCCCCTCGTCACGTGACATTACGTGAAAAGCACAGGGGGGTCAGGCCACCATCAAGGGCACCAGGCCAGGGTCACTTCGGAAACGCGAGTAACACTGCTCTCTGCGGAGTGGTGGGGGAGGTCAGAGGTCACAAGAGACATGACCCCCCCCCCTCTTCCCCCCAAAGCACAGCAACGTCTCGCCGGGTCAGACTCTGGGTCCTCATTCCCAGCGAGGCCACGTCACAGCCTGGCACACGCGGTCCAGCTTTATGTAGCCTGGCACGCGTAACCTGGTCCAAACAGCCCAGTCTACACAGCCCAATACGGATTATCGATAGTCCGGTCCACACATAGCCCAGTAAACGTAGTCCAGTCGATGCAATCCGGTCCAAATAGCCCAGTATACGTATATCCCACGCTGAACTGCATCACTGTCTTAGCCTGGTGCAAAGCAGCCTGGCGCAACGCTGCCAAGAATCCCAGCTATCACAAAGCGGCGTCACCGCCACGCTCCTGCGGGACCCTAGCTCCTGCAGGCTGAGCTCACCCGGTGAGTGCAGCTGCATCTGCAGCAGTGAGCGGCGGCGAGTTCTGGGGTGCTGATGGAGGGTAGGAAGAGCTCATTTTGCAGAGAACAGTCCCCCCCACCTATGAAAATTGATTGGAACTGGTGGCTCCTTATCATTGGCCAAGGGCGAAATTATTTGTGTCCCGTTCGCTGGCCTCGGTTCTCCGTGGGAGCGGTTCGAATGGGGCAATTCGAGGGTGGAATGCGCGTCTTGGTGGGGCGGATCAACCGGGTTCCCCGTGTGTCGATTCTGTGTGAATCGAGTCGATGCGACGTGCCAAAACAAACCACGAGCAGATTGCTCGAATTACCCACGACTGAGTTGGCGTTTCTAAAAATGGAGAGCCCAAAGAGGTTTTTTTTCGAAAGCTTTTCATTTTACGTGGGGCATTGGCCCCCAATGCCACATAGAGACCGGCCGCCACTGCACTGCTGCAGGTGCAAGTTCACCAGCTGAATCACCAGCTGCAACTTCACCAGCTGTATCACCAGCTGCAAGTTGACCAGCTGTATCACCAGCTGCAAGTTGACCAGCTGTATCACCAGCTGCAAGTTGACCAATGCTGAATCACCAGCTGCAACTTCACCAGCCGTATCACCAGCTGCAAGTTCACCAGCTGTATCACCAGCTGCAACTCCAGCTGTTTGGCTCGCCGAATCACCACCACCGGCAGCAGCAGCAGCAGCGGCAGCAGGAGTGGCAGGGAGCGAGTGCCGCGTCGCCACCCCCATGCGCTGGGAGCGTGGCGCCGCTCTGTAAACTCCGCGCCTTGCCGATCGCGACTGCGCCGGCCCAAAAGGCGACTCTCTCACGGCCAAAAGGCTTTCTCCATTGGCACGCGCAAGCCGATGGTGGTGGCACACACAAAGAAGAAGAACCCCCGTATAGCCTTTAACAGACTGTTGGGGCAAGTGCTGTTAGCGAGCACTTATGAAGGCCGGAACGGTACACGAGGGGGTGGGTGGCCAGCACCACGCCCGACCGCCTTTGTCTCCCTAGCGGCAATGTTTACACACCGCACCAGGTACTCATTTGAGGCTGAGTCGACCTAGGGGAGGCCCGGGACCGGTTCAGATAATCGTCACTGGTGTTGGCCGTGAATGGGAATCGAACTCGTGTCGCCGGGTTCATAGCGCAGCGCGCTAACCGCTGCACTATCGCTCCCCACACACACACACGCACTCACACACATGCAGGCGCACACACGCGCACACACACGCGCACACACACGCGTGTGCCACCTACAGCAACACGGCGCCAGCGGTGCGACCGGTGCGATGCACAACATTTCGCTACACGTGATGGGGGCTTGTTCAGGAGCTTAAGCGAAACGCCGGATATCTTCCGGAAGAAATCTCTAGCCCAGCATGTTTCGTGTTTATTTACCCAGCAAGGCATCGCTGAGTCTCAACACTCTCTTTCAAGATGGTCCTGCCAAGTTTTTAGAGTCGGGGGGCGATGCTGCTGCTCTGTGATCCAAATTGGGGCTCTGCATTGGAGAGGAGATGCTATCTCCCGCGCCTGCTACGCAGGAGGCCGTGGGTTCGATCTCAGACCCTCGCGATATTTGGAGTCCACGTGTTCTCTCTCTCCCCGTGCTGGTCACGTGGATTGTTCTCCGGGTTCCTCCGGTTTTGCACCCCTCCACCTTTAGAATCAACACGCGCTTAGATGATTTGGCTGATGCTATAATTCCCACGTGTGGCCAGGTCGCCTCTGAAAGAGCTCATATGTCAATGGGCTTTACCTGGTAAATAACATTGTTTAGTTTATGAATAGCGGTGTCATTTTTCAAATATGGACCACGTGAACCGTGACGCCGGCCCACATCGCCTACAACGACTTTATGGATAACGGCACGGGATCTTTGATGAACAAGCTCGCGGTACGTGTAGCGAAACGTCGAACATCGCGCTGAACGACGCGCGGTACGACCCGGACACGCTACGGTATCAGCAGCCGGAACGACAGCCACAACCGCACAGCCACCGCCCAACCACCAAGGTAGTTCGCAGCGTCTGGGCAGTGCCAGAGAGCTCCGGTGGCTTGCCCTGGCGAGATGACATTTTCGTGCCTTTGGCTCTGTCGCGTTGACTGTTAAGGAAAGGGCTTGGGCCTGGGCGGGCCAGAGGGCACGACGGGCAGCGGGGCGAGACTACGAGAGGACCTCCCGCGGAGATGGAGCGACGAGCGCAGCCCGTGTGCAGGAGCTGTAAGGATTGCCGCTGTGTCGCGGGTCCTTGAGAGATGGCGACGGCTTATGTCAAGCGTTCATCCAGCAGCAGATAGATCGCGTCCGATGGCCACTAGTGACGATGAGTTTGGCTCAATGAGCCTTGGGGTCCTTTGTGTTGCAGTCCGAGCGGAGGTGGACCCAGCCCTAGCACTCACGAGCGCGGTGCGTGAGCCTGGAGTCTTAACGGTGGCCATGAGGGGAGGCAGTCGCTGATGGTTAGAGAGAAATATGATGACCAGGAATGGTGGTAATAGGTGGGACAGCATGTCTGGGAGGGGGCGGTAGTGTCTTGAGAGGGGGCGGTAGTGTCTTGAGAGGGGGTGGTAGTGTCTTGAGAGGGGGCGGTAGTGTCTTGAGAGAGGGTGGTAGTGTCTTGAAAGGGGGTGGTAGTGTCTTGAGAGGGGGTGGTAGTGTCTTGAGAGGGGGCGGTAGTGTCTTGAGAGGGGGTGGTAGTGTCTTGAGAGGGGGCGGTAGTGTCTTGAGAGGGGGGCGTAGTGTCTTGAGAGGGGGTGGTAGTGTCTTGAGAGGGGGGTGGTAGTGTCTTGAGAGGGGGTGGTAGTGTCTTGAGAGGGGGGTGGTAGTGTCTTGAGAGGGGGTGGTAGTGTCTTGAGAGGGGGTGTAGTGTCTTGAGAGGGGGCGGTAGTGTCTTGAGAGGGGGTGGTAGTGTCTTGAGAGGGGTGGTAGTGTCTTGAGAGGGGGTGGTAGTGTCTTGAGAGGGGGCGGTAGTGTCTTGAGAGGGGGTAGTGTCTTGAGAGGGGGCGGTAGTGTCTTGAGAGGGGGTGGTAGTGTCTTGAGAGGGGGTGGTAGTGTCTTGAGAGGGGGGTGGTAGTGTCCTTGAGAGGGGGTGTAGTGTCTTGAGAGGGGGTGGTAGTGTCTTGAGAGGGGTGGTAGTGTCTTGAGAGGGGTGGTAGTGTCTTGAGAGGGGGTGGTAGTGTCTTGAGAGGGGGTGGTAGTGTCCTTGAGAGGGGGCGGTAGTGTCTGGGAGGGGGGTGGTAAGTGTCTGGGAGGGGGAGGTAGTGTCTTGAGAGGGGGTGGTAGTGTCTTGAAGGGGGTGGTAGTGTCTTGAGAGGGGGCGGTAGTGTCTGGGAGTGGGCGGCAGTGTCTTGAGAGGGGGTGGTAGTGTCTTGAGAGGGGGTGGTAGTGTCTTGAGAGGGGGTGGTAGTGTCAATGGGGGGGTTCTGTGGGTGTGGGGTCACTGGTGGTGGTTGGCTGCCCGGCTGGCTGGCTGGCAGGCGGGAGGTGCTCTCACAGGGAGATCTTGGCGAGCTTGTCCGCGAGCAGGGCGCGCGTGCGCATGCGCGGCAGCGTGGCGTGGAGGTAGCCCACCTTGCGCTCGCTGCGCGCCGACGCGGCGCCCTTCCTGCGCAGGATGAAGTTGTAGTTGGCGGTCGTGTTCATCGCGTAGAACACGTTGGCGTTGTCCGGGATCACGAACTCTGCGCACCGCACGTACGCACGTGTGCATAGAACAAAGATATATATCCCCCCGTGTAGCCTTAACAGGCTGTTGGGGCAAGTGCTGTTAGCGAGCATCTATTAAGGCCGGTATGGCACACGAGGGGGTGGGTGGCTGGGACCACGCTCGGCCACCTTTGTCTCCCTAGTGGCGATGTTTACTACACACTGCACCAGGTACTCATTTGAGACGGAGTCGTCATAGGGGAGGTCTAGACTGTTACAGATAATCTTCACCGGTGTTGGCTGCGAGTGAGCGGAAATCGAATTCGGGTCGCCGGGTTTGTAGCACAGCACCACTTACACGCGCGTGTGTATGTGTGTGAGTGTGTGCGAGTGTGTGCGTGTGTGAGTGTGTGCATGCATCAGCCAGTCATCTCAGTCAGTCGGCCCGTGGCACCTGGGTCTGCCCTGTGATCTCCTGCCAGCGGGCGTTCGACACTTCACATGGCCTCAACGTGCACATAGCCTGGCACAAGCGTCGTGGTGACGCCACCGCCACTTAGTGGCGAATGGCGGTTGTTGTTGTGCATGTGTGCGTGTGCGAGTGTGTGTGTGCACGTGTATGAGTGTGTGCGTGTGTGCGTGAGTGTGTGCGAGTGTGTGTGTGTGCACGTGTATGAGTGTGTGCGTGTGTGCGAGTGTGTGAGTGTGTGTGTGTGCGAGTGTGCGTGAATGTGTGAGTGTGTGAGTGCGTGTGTACGTGAACCGCCTACCCTTGTCCTCTCCCACGACCTGCACCAGCTGGAAGGCTTCCGTGCGCTCCTCCTCCAGGTTGTGTTTGATCATCGCCTTCCGCACCACGGCCGGCGTCTTATCGGCACTCGTCAACTGCACGTCACGTACGGACAAAAAAGACAAAGATCCCACGTATAGCCTTAACAGACTGTAGGGGCAAGTGCTGTTAGCGAGCACCTATGAAGGCCGGAACGGTACACGAGGGGGTGGGTGGCCAGCACCACGCCCGATCGCCTTTGTCTCCCTAGTGGCGATGTTTACACACTGCACCAGGTACTCATTTAAGGCTGATTCGACCTAGGGGAGGCCCAGGACCGGTTCAGATAATCGTCACTGGTGTTAGCCGTGAGAGGGAATCGAACCCGGGTCGCCAGATTCATAGCGCAGCGCGCTAACCGCTACACTACCGCATGCACACACACACTCACGGCTCAGCTCTCTGTCGGCGGCACCACCACCGCACGATGAGCGTTATCACAAACATACCCACACCCTCCTTCCCTGTGGATGATGAGTGATATATGAGCCAGCCTGGGGCATCCTCTAAGCTGACTCGGTGCGCCGGTTTGAAACATTCAGGCTGGCATGCCTACGATCCGTCCTGGGTGTAACCAGAATGGATTTTGTGAGGAGCTCACAGACCCTTGATTGATCTGGACACAGTCCCACCGGTGCGCTTCGGCAGGCGAGGCTGCTTTGGCCGGATAGAGGGGGCTAAACGGACGTGGCACGGGCTAGAGAACTGATGCGTTACAGGAGGATGTGGAGCTAGTGGACTTGTCGAAGACTGATACTGGCGGTGTCAAGATCGGCCTCTGTGGAGGAGGATGCTTGTGAAGGATGGTGCATATTCCAGTCATCCCAGTCAGTCAACCCATGGCACCTGGTCTGTCCCGTAACCTCTTACCAGCAGCGAGCCTTCCACACTTCACGTGACGGCCTCAAGATGCACCTAGCCTGGCACAAGCGGCTGTCTGCTGCTGCCGCTGTGAGTGCGCCGGGGCGTGTGTGCGTGTGTGTGTGGGGCGGCGTGTCACCAGGATACTCTTGTAGAGGTTGCCATTGCCCCGGTCGAGGCTCACGCGGATCACGCACGCGCCGTCCTGCTGCTGGTTGTACAGCGGCAGCGAGAGGCTGCTGTAGCCCACCGCGCCCGACGACGACCGCCTGTGGCTCCTGGCGGTCAGCGCCGCCGCCGCCGACAGCGACGCCGCCTTTGGCGCCGTCTCCCCGCGGCCGCGGCGATGCGGCGGCGGCGGGGGCGGCGGCGGCCGCGACGGCGGCGGCGGCAGCGCCGCCGTCGGAGGGGGCAGTGCCGGGCGGCCGGGCGTCCCCGGCCGGCGGGAGGCGGGCGCGGGCGAGGGTTCGGTGGAGACGGTTGAGGAGCCCGAGGAGACCCCGGACGTCGTGTCTAGAGACTGGAGCGAGGCACAGGACGTGCAGCTCGTGAGCTGCACGCACGCAACGCAGGGCGCGGCACCGTGTCACATGGCGGGGTCGCCCCGCGGGGGTCGCACGTGCGGGGTCACGACGCGGGGTCGCACGGCAGGGTCGCGCAGTCACGCGGCGAGTGAAGGGGCGTCTGCCTGCGTGAGCGCGTGTGAGCACGGCGTAGGCGGGCGAGGCTGCGTTGGCTGGGTCACGTAGCCCGCGCCGGGCGCGGCAGTGGCCCTCACCTGCCCGGCGGCGTGCTTGGCGTGCGCGTCGGGCGAGCCCGCCGCCAGGCCCAGGTAGATCTCCTCCATGTCGGAGCCCGACGAGCCAGAGGAGAGCACGCTCACCGAGTCGGCGCTCTCGCCGCCCACGCTGCCCGAGTGAGCCAGCCGCCGGTGCTCGGCCGCCCCGCCGACGCAGGGCCCGCCACCGACGGGGCCCGCGGCGACGGCGGCGCCGGTGCGGGACGCCACCACCCCTCCAGCCAGCCCCTCCGCTCCAAACACGCTGCGGGGAGAGGCCCCGCCGGGGGAAGACATTGACAAAGGCCTCCCCTTCTTCTTGGTTCTTTCGGTGAAGTCACGTAGAATGGCAATAATAAAATAATAAACATAAAACATAATAAAATAATTCTCAAGACGTTTCGGACACAACGCAAGCAGCCGTCCTCAGGTGGAGAACAGGTCTGTCGAGAAGACAGAGTTGTCTTCTCGACAGAGAGGTTGTCATTCAGACTCTGTCTTCTCGACAGACCTGTTCTTCACCTGAGGACGGCTGCTTGCGTTGGCCGAAACGTCGTGAGAATTGTATTTTATTATGTTTTATTTTTATTATTTTATTATTTCCATTCTACGTGACTTTACCGAAAGAACCAAGAAGATGAACCCCTGCAGTCACGAAAGCTTTAAATCGAAATTCAAAGGCCCCCCCGTGTAGCCTGGACAGAGCGTTAGCGAGCATCGCCTATGAGCACCGGCGTGGCACACGAGGGAGGTGGGTGGCCAGCACCACGCCCGGGCCGCCTCTGCCTCCCGAGTGGTGTTTGCACACCGCACCAGGTACTCATTTGAGGCCGAGTTGACTTGGGGGATGCCCAGGACGGTTCGGATAATCCTCACCGGTGGTGGTGGCTGTGAGGAGCGGGAATTGTGCTCGGGAGTTTCTAGCGGGGTCGTAGTGCGGCGCACTGACCACTGCTCTTCCGCTCCCCACGCGGAGCGTCGCACACAACGACGCGTTGTAGTTGTGTCACGGTGCGCTGTGACGAAGTGAGAGAGTGGCTCGGCTGCACTGCTGCTGTGTTGTTGTTGGCAGTGGTGGTTGTGCTGCTGCTGTATTGTTGCTGTTGGCGGTGGTGATGCTGCGGTGTTGTTGCTGTTGGTGGTGGTGCTACTGCTGTGTTGTTGCTGTTGGCGGTGTGCTACTGCGGTGTTGTTGCTGTTGGCGGTGTGCTGCTGCTGTGTTGTTGCTGTTGGTGGTGGTGCTACTGCTGTGTTGTTGCTGTTGGCGGTGTGCTGCTGCTGTGTTGTTGCTGTTGGTGGTGGTGCTACTGCGGTGTTGTTGCTGTTGGCGGTGTGCTACTGCTGTGTTGTTGCTGTTGGCGGTGTGCTACTGCGGTGTTGTTGCTGTTGGCGGTGTGCTGCTGCTGTGTTGTTGCTGTTGGCGGTGGTGCTACTGCGGTGTTGTTGCTGTTGGCGGTGGTGATGCTGTGTTGTTGCTGTTGGCGGTGGTGGTGATGCTGTGTTGTTGCTGTTGGTGCTGCTACTGCTGTGTTGTTGCTGTTGGCGGTGGTGCTACTGCTGTGTTGTTGCTGTTGGCGGTGTGCTGCTGCTGTGTTGTTGCTGTTGGCGGTGTGCTGCTGCTGTGTTGTTGCTGTTGGCGGTGTGCTGCTGCGGTGTTGTTGCTGTTGGCGGTGTGCTACTGCGGTGTTGTTGCTGTTGGCGGTGTGCTACTGCTGTGTTGTTGCTGTTGGCGGTGTGCTGCTGCGGTGTTGTTGCTGTTGGCGGTGTGCTACTGCTGTGTTGTTGCTGTTGGCGGTGTGCTGCTGCTGTGTTGTTGCTGTTGGCGGTGTGCTGCTGCTGTATTGTTGCTGTTGGCGGTGGTGATGCTGCGGTGTTGTTGCTGTTGGTGGTGGTGCTACTGCTGTGTTGTTGCTGTTGGCGGTGTGCTGCTGCTGTGTTGTTGCTGTTGGCGGTGTGCTGCTGCTACTGCTGTGTTGTTGTTGTTGGCGGTGTTGTTGCTGCTGCTGTGTTGTTGCTGTTGGTGGTGCTGCTGCTACTGCTGTGTTGTTGTTGTTGGCGGTGTTGTTGCTGTTGGCGGTGTTGTTGCTGTTGGCGGTGGTGCTGCTGCTGTGTTGTTGCTGTTGGCGGTGTTGTTGCTGTTGGTGGTGCTGCTGCTACTGCTGTGTTGTTGTTGGTGGTGGTGGTGCTGCTGCTGCTGCTGCTGTGCCGCTTGCCCGCTGATTCTCTTGCCCACGCGCCGGCGCGTGGTCTTGGGGGACGAGGTGGATTCTCCCGGCGGCTCCAGTTCGCACGACAGCGCGTAACTGGGAACACGCGCACGGGACACGGGACACACGTGGGAGACAGTACACACGTGGGGCACGGTACACAACCTGGGACACGGTACATGACGTGGGACACGGTACACGCGACATGAGACACGGTACACCACGTGGGACAGGGTACACACGTGGGACACGGTACACCACGTGGGACACGGTACACCACGTGGGACACGGTACACCACGTGGGACACGATACACAACCTGGGACACAGTACACGCGTTGAACACGGTGTACGCGACATGGGCCACGGTACACCACGTGGGACAGGGTCCGCTCACCCCTCTCCGCTCGTCCGTTGCTCACCTCTGCTCCTCGGACAGCGAGTGCAGACGGTGGAACCAGGCGAGGAAGCGCTGCTCTGCCTTGATGCTGTAGTTGTTGCAGGCCGACTGCAGCAGCTTGATCTGAGCCATGATCTCAAACTCCTGCCACAGCGCAAGCGCGGCGCACGCAGCACGCGCAGCACACACACGGCACACTCGCTTACACACATAGCATTCACTGACAGCACACTCACATACACACATAGCATTGACTCACAGCACACACACACATAGCATTCACTCACAGCACACACAGCACACACACAGCACACTCACATACACACATAGCATTCACTCACAGCACGCGCAGCACACACACAGCACACTCACATACACACATAGCATTCACTCACAACACACTCACACACATAGCGTTCACTCACAACACACACAGCACACACACAGCACACTCACATGCACACATAGCATTTACTCACAGCACACTCACACACATAGCATTCATTGACAGCACACTGACATGCACACATAGCATTTACTCACAGCATACACACACATAGCATTCACTGACAGCACACTCACACACATAGCACACTCACATACACAGCATCCACACACACACAGCACACTCACACACACAGCATTCACACACAGCACACTCACACTCACAGCATGCACACACAGCACACTCACACACATAGCACTCACTCACAGCACACTCACACACATAGCACACTCACACACACAGCACACTCACACACACAGCATGCACACACAGCACACTCACACACATAGCACTCACTCACAGCACACCCACACACATAGCACACTCACACACACAGCACACTCACACACACAGCATGCACACACAGTACACTCACACACATAGCACACACACACAGCACACTCACACACATAGCATGCACACACAGCTCACACACACAGCACACTCACACACATAGCACTCACTCACAGCACACACACAGCACAATGACAGCACACACAGCACACACACACAGCACACTGACAACATACACACGTGATGACGATCTCAGTTGTTCCTCTTTAGAGGGGAACTCACCCTGCGTCTCTTCTCAAAGTTGATGAGACCTCCCTGCATGCACACACACACAGCACACACACAGCACACACACAGCACACACACACAGGCAGAGATTCCCCGTGTCACCCATACGGGCGGTTGGGGCGAGTGCAGTTAGCAAGCACCTATTAAGGCCGGTTTTATTCGGCTGTGGCTAGGCTACGTGTTAAATTCCATAATATAGTATTTTTTGGGGGGGTTAGATCGCGTAAATATAAATGTGTCGTTAAACCCACTACCACCCGACACAGCCAATGAGTAAGGTTTGTCACGTAAACGGTACATGCCAATTCGTCACTAGTACAGCAACACCGGTGTGTTGGAGAGCGAATCCACAACATTTACAATCTGAGTACGTGTTAAAGCTTTGTATGTGGGCTTTGGGCTATGCACTAGAGGTATGGACAAGGTTTGTTGGGCGAGGTGCATGGGGTGAGTGCTAGAACTATGGGCTAGGTGCATGGGGTGAGTGCTAGAACTATGGGCTAGGTGCATGGGGTAAGTGCTAGAACTATGGGCTAGGTGCATGGGGTAAGTGCTAGAACTATGGGCTAGGTGCATGGGGTGAGTGCTAGAACTATGGGCTAGGTGCATGGGGTGAGTGCTAGAACTATGGGCTAGGTGCATGGGGTGAGTGCTAGAACTATGGGCTAGGTGCATGGGGTGAGTGCTAGAACTATGGGCTAGGTGCATGGGGTGAGTGCTAGAACTATGGGCTAGGTGCATGGGGTAAGTGCTAGAACTATGGGCTAGGTGCATGGGGTGAGTGCTAGAACTATGGGTTAGGTGCATGGGGTAAGTGCTAGAACTATGGGCTAGGTGCATGGGGTGAGTGCTAGAACTATGGGCTAAGTGCATGGGGTGAGTGCTAGCACTATGGGCTAGGCATATGGCTGATGGTGTTTCGGCGAAGTACACGGGCTAGGTGCATGGGCTGGGAGCGTGGGCACCTCGAGGCGATCGGGCAGGGCGGTGTCCAGCATGGTGAGGTCGGTGAGGAACGTGCCCAGGTACGGCACCGTGCCCTGCATGACGCCCTGCACAGAGCGGACACGGGAGCGGCACGCGGTGAGCGCGGGGGGGGGTGGTGCGGTGCCCCCCCTCCCATCCCCCCCCAACCCTCCCCTATCCGCCCAACCCTACCCTATCCCCCCCCCCATCCACCTAAACCCCCCCCCCCATTCCCCCAACCCCCCCCCCCATCCACCCAAAACCCCCCAACCCCCCCATCCCCCCCAACCCCCCCCCCATTCCCCGCGATCCCCCCAACCCCCCTCCCCTCCAACCCTCCTCCATCCCCCCCAACCCCCCCCCCCCCCATTCCCCCAACCCTTCTCCATACCCCCCGATCCCCCCAACCCCCCCTTCCTCCACAATCCCCCCTAACCCCCCCCCATTCCTCCCAACCCCCCCTTCCCCCACCCCCCCCCCTCCCCCCCACCCTCCCCAGCGCGACTGACCGTGTCCTTCTGGATCTGCAGGCGCTTCAGCGCGCGCTTCTGGCTCTCCTTCAGGCTGCTCTCCAGCGTCGCGAACTTCGACGTCGCCTCCTGCCACGCGGAGTCACGCGCGCGTCGTCGTGCGTGCGTGTGTGCACCTGTGTGTGTGTACGTGTGTGTGTGTACGTGTGTGTGTACGTGTGTGCGTGTGTGTACCTGTGTGTGTGTACCTGCGTGTGTGTACGTGTGTGTACCTGCGTGTGTGTACCTGCGTGTGTGTACCTGCGTGTGTGTACCTGCGTGTGTGTGTGTACCTGCGTGTGCGTGTGTGTACCTGCGTGTGTGTACCTGCGTGTGCGTGTGTGTACCTGCGTGTGTACCTGCGTGTGCGTGTGTGTACCTGCGTGTGTGCACCTGCGTGTGCGTGTGTGTACCTGCGTGTGCGTGTGTGTACCTGCGTGTGTGCACCTGCATATGTGTACGTGTACCTGTGCCCGGTGCGGTGTGTGGTAAACATCGCCACTGGGGAGACAAAGGCGGTCGGGCGTGGTGCTGACCACCCACCCACCCCCTTTGTACGCCCTGCCGGGCTTCATAGGTGCTCGCTAACAGCACTTGCCCCAACAGTCTGTTACAGGCTATATGGGGGATCTTTGTCTGTGTGTGTGCCCTCGCTCACCTTCATGAGCAGCTCGCGGCTCGTGAGATGATTGTTCTCACCGGAGAAGATGTCGGACAGCTCCTGGTAAAGGGAGGTGGTGTCCCTGTTGCGCACCAAGATCAAAGGCGCACACAGCGCACACACAGCACACACACACACACGCACACACACAGCACACACACATACATACAGCACATACACACACACATACAGCACATACACACACCCACACATACACACAGCACATACACACACATACAGCACACACACGGCTCGCACAAGCAGCGCAGCTATCGTGCATACATGTGTGTACGTGTGCGTGTGTGTGTAGGTGCGTGTGTGTGTACGTGCGTGTGTGTGTACGTGCGCGTGTGTGTAGGTCCGTGTTCATTTTTTGTTCATGTTTTTGTTTTTTGTTTGTTGCGGTTGCACCCGATTCAAGAGCCGCAGGGCTATACCTAATAAATAAACTTGAACTTGTGTGTGTACGTGCGTGTGTGTAGGTGCGTGTGTGTGTAGGTGCGTGCGTAGGTGCGTGTGTGTGTACGTGTGCGTATACTAGTGTGTAGGTGCGTGTGTGTGTAGGTGCGTGTGTGTGTACGTGCGTGTGAGTGTATGTGCATCCGTGTGTACGTACGTGTGTATGCGTGTACCTGTGTGTGTGTACTTCTGTGCACACACAGAGTGGTGGGGTAGCGGTTAGCGCTACGCTGCGCTTAGAACCCAGTGACCCGAGTTCGATTCCCGCTCACGGCCAACACCGGTGACGATTATCTGGACCGGTCCTGAGTCTCCCCTAGGTCGACTCGGCCTCAAATGAGTACCCGGTGGGGTGTGTAGTAAAGATCGCCACGAGGGGCCGTCCATAAATGACGTCACGCGATTTTGGACGATTTTTGACCCCCCCCCCCCTTCGTCAAACGGCGTTACAAAAAGTCAGACCCCTCTCTCAAATATGACGTCACAAAGCTCTGCCCCCCCCAAAATAAAACATGCTTCAAATCGCCTTAAACTATTGTCATTGTCGTGCGTATTTAATATGGCGCTGCACTCTGATGTTGTAGGAGAAAACATTTATTTAAAAAAGTATATTTAATTAAGTAGAACGTGTTTTCTATATTTATTTAAAGTTGCGCATTTTGATGTGACGTCACATTTCTCAAATCCCCCCTCCCTCGTTACACATCGTCACAAATGTCTGACACCCCCCCCCCCCCCATAGGTGCGTGACGTCATTTATGGACAGCCCCCAAAGGCGTCCGTCCGGGCGTGGTTGCTGGCCACCCACCCCCTCGTGTGCCGTGCCCGCCTTCATAGGTGCTCGCTAACAGCACTTGCCCCAACAGTCTGTTACAGTTCATAATCAACGTTTTTGGGTTTAGATCGCGTTATTTATAAATGTGTCGTAACCCTCCACCACCCGACACGGCCAATCAGTAAAAAAGTGTCACGTTGACAAAAGACAAATAGTTCACTGCTTTAGCTCACCGAGCGAAACGTCGTACTCAAATTGTAAATTTTGTGGTTTCACGCTTCAACACACCGGTGGGCTAAAGCAGTGTGAACTATTTGTCTTTTGTCAACGTGACACTTTTTTACTGATTGGCCGTGTCGGGTGGTGGAGGGTTACGACACATTTATAAATAACTCGATCTAAACCCAAAAACGTTGATTATGAATAATATTGGTCGCGAAAGCCTGCTACGTGTTAGTCCAGCGGTCGGGAACCTATGGCTCGCGAGCCATATATGGCTCTTCTGGTGACGGCATATGGCTCCCAGACAATTTTGAGTTGAAAAAAAATAAGTTTGGAACTGATTTTAAAATACTTGTGATATTGCTTAATAATACTGTGTCATTTTAAAGTAAACAGAAATTAGTTTTCAAGATAAATTTCACGGGTCACGGGGCCTCAACGCCTGCACGAAGCTCAACCTCACCACGTACGAACCAGACTACAAGGCCATCAGCAAAACCACGCAGCACCAGAAGTCGCATTAAAAGTAAGACATATTTAATTTATTATACGTTAAAAATACTATATGGCTCTCAATGAAATATATTTAGAAATATTTGGCTTTTATGGCTCTCCCAGTCAAAAAGGTTCCCGACCCCTGTGTTAGTCTGTTACAGGCTACACGGGGGGTCTTTGTCTTTGTGCTTCTGCGCGTGCGTGCGTGCACGTGCGTGCGCGTGCGTGCGTGCGTGCGTGCGCGTGCGTGCGCGTGCGTGCGTGCGTGCGTGCGCGTGCGTGCCTGGGGACGGTGGCCCACGTGCGCTTGAGGCGGTAGATGCCGTTGCTCTGCAGCGCGGAGAGAACCGCTCGGAGCGACGAGAAGTTCTTGTGGATTCGGCACTCCTGCAGACGCACGGAGACACACACACACACACACGTGGTTACACGTGTGTGTGTGTCTTATATGTTACATGTGTGTGTCTCATGGTTACATGTGTGTGTCTCATGGTTACACGTGGATACCCACGTGGGTACCCTGCAACCCCCCCATCTACAGCTCCCTCCCCCCCCAGCTACAGCTCCCACCCCCCCAGCTACAGCTCCCCCCCTCTGCTACCGCTCTTCCCCCCCCCCCTAGCTACAGCTCCCCCTCCCCCCCCCCACAGCTCCCCCCCCCCCCGCTACAGCTCCCCCCCCCCCACAGCTCCCCACCCCCGCACCTGGGCGACGTCGATCCACTTCTGCACGAGGCGCGCGCGCTGCGCGGGTTTGGCGAGCGCGGGGTCGAGCACGGTGACGGTGACGGCGTTGGCGACGGCGTTGAACTGCGCGATGGTGGCGCGCACGGTGCCCGCGAGACGCGCGTTCTCCTTGCGGTCGCGCCGCGACCACACGCAGCCCAGGCAGTGGTGGGGCACCACGCGCTTGAACAGCTCCTGCGCGCACAGCACGGAGACGTGAGGGGTTACGACGCAGCGCAGACGACGACGACGACGCCGAGCGGATAGCCTTGATGGGATATTTGGAGGGTAAGTGCCGTGCGCGTTCGTGCACGCCCGGCCGCCTTTGTCTCTTCCCACCCCCCTCTCCCCGCTGCCGCCGGAACACACGGACGGACACACACGCAGACGGACACAAAGTAGAGGCGGACGCGCAGATACACAACAACGCGCAGATACACGGGCACACGTACACAAACAGACACACGGACACACACAAACTCTTTGGTTCTTTCGGTAAAGTCACGTGGGTATAAAACAAAATTAATTAAATCACGACGTTTCGGGCACAACACAAGCGTCCGTCATCAGGTAGGACAACCACAGCAAGAAACAATTTCCCACTTTAGCAATTGTTTCTTGCTGTGGTCGTCCCACCTAGTGACGGATGCTTGTGTTGCGCCCGAAACGTCGTGATTTATTTTATTTTCTACCTATGTGACTTGACCGAAAGAACCAAAGAGTATGGATCCCTGCAGTCACAACAACTTCAAATCAAGATCAAACACACACAGACACATGGACACACAGACCACACGGATACAAACACAGCCAAACACACACAGACACACGGACCAATACCAATACCCCGCCATTCGCCACTCAGTGACTGTGACGTCACCACGGCGCCTGTGCCAGGCTAGGTGCGCTTTGAGGCCACGTGAAGTGTCGAAAGCTCGCTGACAGGGGGAGGTCTCGGTGGCTGACTGAGATGACCGGTAGATGCACACGGACACACACAGATACACACACAGACACACAGACACACACGCACAGACACACACACAGACACACGGACACACACACAGACACACGGACACACACACAGACACACGGACACACACACAGATACACGGACACACACACAGACACACGGACACACACACAGATACACGGGCGGCCACCCGCACACAGACGCACATAGTAGGGGTGGTCACACAAACACACGGACACACACAAACACACTGCCACACACGGACCAACACAGACACACTGCCACACACACAGACACACGAACACACACACAGACACACTGCCACACACACAGACACACACGGACCGACACACAGTGCCGGGGTGCAAGGGGGGGGGGGGTTGCGTGGAGGTGCGTGGAGGAGGTGGGCCCCGCACCGCGTCCATGAGCGTGAGCTGCGCTGCGATGAGGTCCGAGGGGAAGGAGAGGAAGTCACCGCGGCCCTCGCGCTCCGGGTGCCACGTGTGCGCCAGCCCTGCGCGCACACAGACGTTGGGGCGTGTAACACTACACAGGCAAAGGTGCCCCCCCCCCGTGTAGCCTCTTGCTGTCGGCGCCGGCCGCCTTTGTCTTTCCGACGTCTCCCCCCCGGGCCGGCTTTACGCACCGCGCCAGGTACTCATTTACGGGTGAGTACGCACGGTGAGTACGCGCGCTGTGAGTACACGCTGTGAGTACGCGGTGTGAGTACACATGGTGAGTACGCGTGCTGTGAGTACACACGGTGAGTACACACGGTGAGTACGCGCTGTGAGTACGCGCTGTGAGTACACGCTGTGAGTACGCGCTGTGAGTACACGCTGTGAGTACGCACAGTGAGTACACACAGTGAGTACGCACGATGAGTACGCGTGCTGTGAGTACGCGCTGTGAGTACACACAGTGAGTACGCATGGTGAGTACGCAAGGTGAGTACGCGCTGTGAGTACGCGCTGTGAGTACACGCACTGTGCCCGTCGGCGGCCTCCCCGCGGTGCTGCTTGAAGTGCCGCATGAGGTTTCGCGCCCTCCGCTCCAGGTCGGAGCCGGGGAAAGTCCTCGCCAGGTACTCCAGCAGCCGGCGCAGTCCGCCGAACTCGGGGCCCTGCTCGCGGAAGTCCTCCGAGTACTGGTCCAGCCACGCGCCCAGGATGGACGCGATGGAGCTGGCACGGCACGGCACGGTCACCGCGGGCGGTGGACGGGCGACTCGGTGGTCAGACAAGCTCATCGGCATCATCGGCGTCATCGGCATCACCATTATCAGCATCACCACCATCAGCATCACCAGCATCAGCGTCACCACCATCAGCATCACCATCATCAGCATCACCACCATCAGCATCACCACCATCAGCATCACCACCATCATCACCATCATTAGCATCACCACCATCAGCATCACCATGATCAGCATCGCCATCATCAGCATCACCACCATCAGCATCACCATCATCAGCATCATCACCACCATCATCAGCGTCACCACCATCAGCATCACCATCAGCACAACCATCATCAGCATCACCATCATCAACATCACCACCATCATCAGCATCACCACCATCACTACCATCATCACCATCATCACCACCATCACCACCATCAGCGCCATCACAATCACAGTGGGCCACGGTCAAGGCCTCCGCGGTCCGCCGCCGTCTCTCACGGCCCCGCCACGACGGCAGCGGAGAGCTCCGACGCGCCGCTCCGGACTTGGCCTCGACCCCCGGCCACCGTGCCGCGCCCACGGCCGCTGCCCGCGTTTGACCGTCACGACGACGACGCCTCCGACTCGCGCCCTCTCGTCCGCCCGAGTCCCACCCGAGTCCCCCTGCCGAGCGCTCACCTGCGCAGCACCGCCTTGTCTTCCGCCGTGAAGCCGCGCAGCGAGATCTCTGCCGCCTCGCCCTCCAGGTTGCCGTACCTGCACCGCACCGCACATCAGCACGCACGCAGCACCACGTGGTCAGCGCCCCACAGCACTGCACCACGCGGTCAGCGCCGCACAGGAACTGCACAGCACCACGTGGTCAGCATCACACAGCGCCGCACAGCACCGCACGGTCAGCATCACACAGCGCCGTACAGCGGTGAGCGGTGTGTACTCAAATGAGTACCTGGTGCAGTGTGTGAACATCAGCATTTGGGAGACAAAGGCGACCGGGCGTGGTGTTGCTGGCCACCCACCCCCTCGTGCACCGGCCTTCGTAGGTGCCACTCGCCAACACGGCTTGCGCCGACCAGTCTGTTAAATGCTACACGGTTGGGGGTTTGGGGGTCGGGGGGGGGTTCTTAGTCTCCGTGTGCCAGCCGGTGCCGCACCGCCGGCGCCCCTCACCTGTCGAGCAGCAGGTCGAGCACCTGCGTGGGCGTGGCGAAGGAGCGGTAGGTGGCGAGGAAGACGGTGGCGTATGTGGAGTCGTTCTCGCGGAACGCCACCAGGAGGTTGCGCACGAGCCGCTCGAGCGTGCCGGCCTTCAGCGTGCGCGTGCGCACCGTCTCCACGATGGGCGGCGGGGGCGGCGGGGGCGGCAGCGGCGGGGGCGGTGCCGCGCCGGTGCCGCCGGTGCCGCCGGAGCCCGGGGCGCACGCGCCATTCTCCACCTGCCGTGCCAACGCGGGCGGCGGAGTCGTTGTCTAGCGAGCGTCGTGTGCGTGGTGCGGTGTGTGCGGTGTGTGCGGTGTGTGTGTGGCGTATGGTGTGGTCTGGTGAGTGATAATCGGATGTGTTGAGTGCGGTGAGTGTGATGTGTGTGATGTGTGTGGTGAGTGCGGTGAGTACGGTGAGTGTGATGTGTGTGGTGTGCGTGTGGCGTATGGTGCGTTCTGGTGAGTGATAATCGGATGTGGTGAGTGCGGTGAGTGTGATGTGTGTGGTGTGTGTGGTGAGTACGGTGAGTGCGGTGTGTGTGGTGTGCGTGTGGTGTATGGTGCGGTCTGGTGAGTGATAATCGGATGTGGTGAGTGCGGTGAGTGTGGTGTGTGTGGTGAGTACGGTATGGTGTGCATGGAGCGGTGTGTGTGCTGTAGTGGGTGAGTGTGGTGAGTGCCCTCACCCCGAGCCAGCGAGCTCCCTTGTGCGTGGCGAGTGGCTGCACCTGCACCTTGCGCAGAGTAACGCTGTACAGGGCTCCATCCTCCACCTCCTCACCCCAGTCCTGCACCACGCTGGGCTGCGACACGCAAAGACAAAGATCCCCCGTGTAGCATTAACAGACTGTTGGGGAAAGTGCTGTTAGCGAGTAGCAGCTATGAAGGCCGGTACGGCGCACCAGGGGGTGGGTGGCCAGCACCACACCCGCCCGCCTTTGTCTTCCCAGTGGCGATGATTTTACGCATCGCGCCAGGTACTCATTCAAGGCTGAGTCGACCTAGGTGAGGCCTAGGACCAGTTCAGAAAATCGTCACTGGTGTTGATGGTGGCCGTGAGCGAGAATCGAACGCGGGTCGCCGGGTTCGTAGCTTAGCGCGCTAACCGTTGCGCCACCGCTCCCCCCAAACAAAATTCAGCATGAGTCACTAACAGCCAGAGGTGGACAGTGAACCCCCCACAGGTAAAGCGGGGGGGGGGGGGGGGGCGGGGTGGTCCTGAAATTCCAAGCTCTTGAAATAGGAGCCCCCTACATAAGAAATTATTGAGATTCAACCTATTTCCTCTGTGGGTAACTATCAATACAACTTCGATTTAAAGCTTTCGTGACTGCAGGGATTCATCTTGGTTCTTTCGGTAAAGTCACGTAGAAGGGAAGTAATAAAATAATTAAAAAATAAAAATAAAACATAATAAAATAATTCTCACGACGTTTCGGCCACAACGCAGACAGACATGTTCTTCACCTGAGGACGGCTGCTTGCGTTGTGGCCGAAACGTCGTGAGAATTATTTTATTATGTTTTATTTTTATTATTTTATTACTTCCCTATCAATACAATACCAATCACTGGTTGGGGCCTGGGGGGACATAACTAGAAAACACGTGGGTCAGTTATTTAAGATGTGTCTCGCTGTACATGGCGTATAACATATACCTGTGTGTGTAGTTCAAGGCCGTAGCCATAGAGTCAACATTGGGGGGGACCAAATCTTCTAGGGGGTCTGGGGTCCCCCCCCCAGAAAAAAAAATCTAAATTTGAAAAAGAAGTTTCTGCCATTTCCTGCCGAAAATATAAAAAAATTCACTAACACATAGGATGGACTTTTTTTATTTTATATTAACAATAATGTCTAATAGTGTATGGTATTACATTGCTCTGTTTTATATATTTTTTTACCTTTTCTTGCTTCATTGTATGTAATGGCAACAGATTAGGGATTAATAAAGTACAACCATAACCACAATCATATAAACAGAAATCTATTTTATAGCAATATAATGGGGGGGGGGGACATTTTGAGCATATTTGAATATTTGGGGGGGATGTGTTCCCCCCAAATATATATTATAAGTACGGCCTCGGTGTAATGTGTATAACGCGTGTCACTGTGTGTATGGTACCGGATAGGCAGTGTAGTGGTTAGCGCGCTGCGCTACGAACCCGGTGACCCGAGTTCGAATCCTGCTCACGACCAACATCGGTGGCGATTACCTGAACCGGCCCAGGGCCTCCCCTAGGTCGACTCGGCCTCGAATGAGTAACTGGTGCGGTGTGTAAATATTGCCACGAGGGAGACAAAGGCGGCCGGGCGTGGTGATTGCCACCCACCTCCTCGTGCGCCGTGCCGGCTTTTATTGGTGCCATTCGCCATACCGGACGCTTTTCGCTCACAACACTTGCCCCAAAAATGTGTTTCGGCTATACGGGGGACCTTCATCTTTGGTGCAACACGTATGGTATAACACTTATCTTGGTGTGTGTGTGTGTATAGTATAACGGTGTCTGTACGGTGTACTGTGTGTATGGCGTACTGTGCCATCTCTGCGTGTAACACTATATGGAAGCTATTTCAAGCGGTGAATATGTCCTCTGGCCCCGTGTAAACATTCACGCGCGCACAGCAGTGGCCAACAGCCCCCCGCTAGTGGCACACAAGCCTACCGACCAGCTCCCCACTCACGGGGCACGCCGCACAGCCCCTGCGCCAGCACATGCCACCAACACACACGGGGCCTTTACAGGCGTTTGGGGCAAGTGAAAGCCAGACCCACGTCCGGCCGCCTTTGTCTCCCTCGTGGCGATGTTTACACACCGCACCAGATAAACTCATGTTAGGCTGAGTCGACCTAGGGGAGGCTCAGGACCAGTTCAGATAATCGTCACTGGCCGTGAGCAGGCCCGTAGCACAGCAGCAGGCGCATGCTATACACGTGAGTTTGATTTCCTTCATTCTCATTCCACGTGATGAAGAATCGATTCAGAAATCTCGTAGAGCAGTGTGACCCCTTCGCGTTCGAGAGCGGCCCGCGGAAGCAGGTGTCACAGAGCTACTGCTGAGATCCCTCCTTCAAGTGATTTCTGGTCCACACACGCGAGAGCAATGTTCGTCGCAGGACGGCCAAACGGATATTTTTGCATTTTCAGAACTGCAATAGAGGCCGAATGTGGAGGTTTGTTACTTCAGCTCAGGGAGAGTTCGTGCCGTTGTTCTGTTCCTCCTCCTCCGATGAAGGAGTGCAGGTCACGGTGGATTCTCTATATGGTCCATAGTGTGGGCTGACTGAGGGTGACGTTGGACAAACATAGTTTGCGTGCCGCCCCGACGCGGCAGGCCTGGTGCGGACACACACGAAACAAAGTAGCGGCTCACGTCCGGCCTACGGGCCGCGGGTCCCCCACCCCCCATCCCCTGCCGTAGGTATTTGATTTCGTTATTTCAATAGCAGAGTGCGAAACGCGATCTCTACCGGAGCTCTACCAGACAAGTGGACCAACACGCGCCGTGTCGCGCCGTCGTGTCACCCATCGACGACCTTACACCTGCCGGAAGGTGACAGGGGCGGCGCTGCCACCCGTCCCCGCAGGTTTTGTTCCATGCAACATCGTCCTCTCTTGTTGGACGAGGCCGGCTGCTCTCCTGTGAGATCTGTCAGTCCACTCGAGAAGCGCCACGTGGAAGCAGGGACCACGTGGCGCGCGTGTCTGGGATGAACACGGCCGGGCGGAGCGGGGTTTCGCATCGAGCGGCGGGACAAAGATCGGCACTCCGCTCACCCTGTCCAGGCCGTCCTGGTTTTCCCCAGGACCGTCGTCACTGAGAGATCCCCTAATCTCCGGGTTAGAAGACGCAGCGTATTTGTGCCCCCCCCCCACACATCCCCGCACACCTCCTCAACGCCTGTATATAAAAGCAGTGGTTGGGGGGTGCGTCTCATACCCCTGTGTTTGCGCGTGTGTGCATCTATTTGCCGGCCCTCATAGCTACTCACGAACAGCACTTACCCCAAAAGCCTGTCAAGGCGAAAAGGGGGGATCTTTGTCAGTGCAACTGAAATTCATATTCTGATACCGGGCACAAGGTTTTTTGTGTGTTTTTTCTTACTTTCTGGTGCGTCTTATAATTCGGAGAATACTGCAGTTGCCGTGGCAGGGAAATCTGTCCGTCGTGCCGGGACATTACACGTCCCGGTGTGTGTCCGTCGCATGACAATGGCAATGACAACTGCTGAAGATAAAGGAATTCCCATGTAGCTCTCCACTCCTGTGCTGATCAGAGATAGCTTCCTTCTTGCCATGATACGTCCCACTCAAGAGGTGGCAACCCTATAACAGGGTAGCCCAAAAGTCAGTACGCAGGGAGGTTATATGTATTTTATTAGATCACACAGGGTTATTTCTGGTTTATTTAACAAATGTTCAGACTGACTTCCATTATGAACATTAATGCAGGCACGATTTATACTTTCAAATAAATGTAGGACTTCATTTTTAAAGGTTACAGGTGTAATTTTTGAACAATTATCAATTATGTTTCGTCTCAATGCAGTACATTTCTTTAAATGTTTTAACTGACATCTACATATTGTGGGTGACAGAACTTTTGAGATGGCCCTCCTACAGAGACAAAGCTTCCCCGTGTAACCCAGACAGGTTGTTGGGTCAAGTGCTGTTCAGCGAGGGGGGTTGGTGTGACAAGGACTCCACCCGTCCACCTTTATCTCCCCAACCGCTGATGTTCACACACTGCTCCAGGTTCTCATTCAAGGCTGAGTCGACCTAGGGGAGACCCAGGACAAGGTCAGATATTCGACGCTGGTGCTGGGGAAAGCAGGAATTGAATCCTGGCCACACTTGGTTTGCAACGTTAGTGCGCTCACCACTGCACTCACTCTCACGCTTACATACGGACCCATGGTACGTACATAGGCAGACATAAACTCACTACTCTCACTATCACGATGACACCCATATGGACATTCGAACAGTTGGGGCTGAGGGCTATTAAGGTCGCCTTTATTAAGGTTGCCTTTATAACCCAGGTACATGATTGATTTAAACAAAAATTGATCTCCACTTAGAATGGTGCTGCTTTCATCTGTCTCAAACACACGGCCCCATCACCAGGGTACACAACCCATACAACACAACACACACTCACCAGACTATACAACCCATACAACACAACACACACTCACCAGGCTACACAACCCATACAACACAACACACACTCACCAGGGTACACAACCCATACAACACAACACACACTCACCAGGCTACACAACCCATACAACACAACACACACTCACCAGGCTACACAACCCATACAACACAACACACACTCACCAGACTATACAACCCATACAACACAACACACACTCACCAGGCTACACAACCCATACAACACAACACACACTCACCAGGCTACACAACCCATACAACACAACACACACTCACCAGGCTACACAACCCATACAACACACACACACTCACCAGGGTACACAACCCATACAACACAACACACTCACCAGGCTACACAACCCATACAACACAACACACACTCACCAGGCTACACAACCCATACAACACAACACACACTCACCAGGCTACACAACCCATACAACACAACACACACTCACCAGACTACACAACCCATACAACACAACACACACTCACCAGGCTACACAACCCATACAACACAACACACACTCACCAGGCTACACAACCCATACAACACAACACACACTCACCAGACTACACAACCCATACAACACAACACACACTCACCAGGCTACACAACACATACAACACAACACACACTCACCAGGGTACACAACCCATACAACACAACACACACCAGGGCACACAGCCCATCCAACACACACTCACCAGGGTACACAACCCATACAACACAACACACACCAGGGCACACAACCCATACAACACAACACACACCAGGGCACACAACCCATACAACACACACTCACCAGGGTACACAACCCATACAACACAACACACACCGGACTACACAACCCATACAACACACACCAGGGTACACAACCCATACAACACAACACACACTGACCTCGCTACACAACCCATACAACACAACACACACCAGGGCACACAACCCTTACAACACAACACACACCAGGGTACACAACCCTTACAACACAACACACACCAGGGTACACAACCCATACAACACAACACACACACACCAGACTACACAACCCATACAACACACACTCACCAGGGTACACAACCCATACAACACAACACACACCAGGGCACACAACCCTTACAACACAACACACACTGACCTCGCTACACAACCCAACACACTCCCTGGGCTCTGTGTGTTTACCAGCTCATCATGCAAATCAGTGGAAGAGAACACGCCAAGACAAGTCACACCCACACAGACGCTGCCATCACGCACACACCACCATCATCATCACACTAATCGAATTCAATCATCACACACCATTACTAAGTACCACCATCTTCCCACTATACCATGTTCGTCACACTAATATTCACACACACTCACGCACCACCATCACACACACACACACGCGCACCACCATCACACACACACGCACCACCATCACACACACACTCACGAACCACCATCACACACACACTCACGCACCACCATCACACACACGCACCACCATCACACACACACTCACGCACCACCATCACACACACACACACTCATGCACCACCATCACACACACACACGTACGCACCACCATCACACACACACACTCACTCACCACCATCACACACACACACTCATGCACCACCATCACACACACACTCACGCACCACCATCACACACACACGCACCACCATCACACACACACTCACGCACCACCATCACACACACACACTCACGCACCACCATCACACACACACACGCACGCACCACCATCACACACACGCACTCGCGCACCACCATCACACACATACACACACACGCACGCACCACCATCACACACACGCACTCGCGCACCACCATCACACACATACACACACACGCACGCACCACCATCACACACACACACTCACCACCACCATCACACACACGCACCAGCATCATACACACACACGCACGCACCACCATCACACACACTCACGCACCACCATCACACACGCACGCACCACCATCACACACACACTCACGCACCACCATCACACACACACACGCACGCACCACCATCACACACACACTCACGCACCACCATCACACACACTCACGCACCACCAACACACACACACTCACGCACCACCATCACACACACACACTCACACACCACCATCATACACACACACTCACGCCCCACCATCACACACACACACACGCACCACCATCACACACACACTCACGCACCACCATCACACACACACACGCACGCACCACCATCACACACACACACTCACGCACCACCATCACACACACACACTCATGCACCACCATCACACACACACGCACCACCATCACACACACACACGCGCACGCACCACCATCACACACACACACACTCACGCACCACCATCACACACACACACACTCACGCACCACCATCACACACACACACGCGCACGCACCACCATCACACACACACACACTCACGCACCACCATCACACACACACACGCGCACGCACCACGCACACACACACGAGAATTTACACACTAGCATCACGCAGACTTCCGTCATCATCACGAGGCTATTAACGCACACCACAAAGACAAAGCTCGCGAGCTCTTACAGCCTGTTGGGGCAGGTGCTGTTAGCGAGCACCTATGAAGGACGACAGGGCACACGAGGGAGTGGGTAACCAGCCCCACGCCCGGCCCCCTTTGTCTCTCCAATGCTGATGTTTACACACCGCAGCAGGTACTCATTTAAGGCTGAGTCGACCTCGGGGAGGCTCAGGACCGGTTCGAACTCGGGTGGCCGGGCTTGGAGGGGAATACGCGAACCACTGCGTGATTGCTGCCCCGTAGAAAAACACCGCCCCTGCACCCACACCTTCACCAACACACACACACACACCCTCACGCAGCTCCCCTTACACACACACACCTACCACCCATCACACACACACCTACCACTCATCACACACACACCTCCCACACACACATCTCCCATCTATCACACACACATCTCCCACCGGTCTCACACACACACACACCTACACCTCCCACCGGTCTCACACACACACACCTCCCACCGGTCTCACACACACACACACACACCTCCCATCCATCACACACACACCTCCCATCCATCACACACACACCTCCCACCGGTCTCACACACACACACACACCTCCCATCCATCACACACACACACACCTCCCATCCATCACACACACACACGCCATCCATCACACACACACACCATCCATCACACACACACACCTCCCACCTGTCACACACACACCTCCCATCCACCACACACACACCTCCCACCTATCACACACACACCTCCCATCCATCACACACACACACCTATCACACACACACCTACCACCCATCACACACACGCCTCCCACCTATCACACACACACCTCCCATCCATCACACACACACCTCCCATCGTATAGCCTTAACGGACTGTAGGGGCAAGTGCTGCTAGCGAGCACCTATAAAGGCCGGCACTGCAAACGAGGCGATGGGTGGCCAACACCACGCCCGGCCACATTTGTCTCATTTTAGGCCGAGTCGACCTAGAGGAGGCCCAGGACCGGTTTAGATAATCGTCACTGATGTTGGCGGTGAGCGGGAATTGAACCCGGGTCGCCAAGTTCGTAGCGCAGCGCACTAACCGCTACACTACCGCTCCCCACACACACACAACACACCTCCCACCCATCACACACACCACCCATCACACACACACACCTCCCATCACACACACACACACACACCTCCCACCCATCACACACACCACCCATCACACACACACACCTCCCATCACACACACACACACCACCCATCACACACACACCTCCCATCACACATACACAAACCCCACCCATCACACACACACACCCCCCACCCATCACACACACACCTCCCATCACACACACACACACCCCACCCATCACACACACACACCTCCCACCCATCACACACACACACCTCCCACCCACCACACACACACCTCCCATCACACACACACACAGCTCGCACCCATCACACACACACCTCCCACCCATCACACACACCACCCATCACACACACCACCCATCACACACACACACCTCCCATCACACACACACACACACCACCCACCCATCACACACACACCACCCATCACACACCTCCCATCACACACACCACCCATCACACACACACACACCTCCCATCCATCACACACCCACACACCACCCATCACACACACACACCTCCCATCTATCACACACCTCCCTCCCATCACACACACACAATTCACCCACCACACACACACCCCCCATCACACGCCACCCAACACACACACACACCACCCATCACACACACCACCCACCCCCCCCCTCCCATCACACACACCACCCATCACACTCACACACACCACCCCTCACACACACCACCCATCACACACACCACCCATCACACACACCACCCATCACACACACACCACCCATCATACACCTCCCATCACACACACACACCACCCACCCATCACACACACACCTCCCATCACACACACACACCTCCCATCACACACACCTCCCATCACACACCTCCCATCACACACACACACCTCCCACCCATCACACACACCACCCATCACACACACCACCCATCACACACACACCTCCCATCACACACATACCTCCCATCTATCACACACACACCTCCCACCCATCACACACACACACACCCCTCCCACCCATCACACACACACAAACCACCCATCACACACACCACCCATCACACACACCACCCATCACACACACCACCCATCACACACACACAACCCCATCTCCCAGATACAATCCGTACTGACGGCCACACAAAACACGAGCCTTGTCGAGATGACCGGGCGGGGGGGGGGGGTGAGGGCACGAGCATCCCAAACGCCGCGGCTCTGCCCGCTAACCCCGGGGTATCCCCCGTATCCACCCGCATCCCCCCCCGGCACGGCATGTACCTGGTAGTCGGAGATCATGTCGGCCTCGTCTCCCCCTCGCTGCTCGCTGCTTGTCAGAGAGGAGGGGGGTGAGCGCGACATCCATGGAGCAGCAGAACGAGACGACGGCTGCTGCTACTGGGAGCGAGCAGCAGCAGCATCATCATCTCGCGTCTCCTTGTCCCCCTGTCTCCCCCACCTGTCTCCCTGTGTCTCACCGGCTGTCCTGTCCCAGCCTGTAACCCGCTGTCTCTCCTCCCGCTGTCTCTCGCTCTCTCCTCCTCCTCCTCGCCCCGTCTCTCGCTCTCTCCCCCGGTCTCCCCTCCCGTCTCTGTCTCCTCCCTTACCCACCCCCCGCTGATTCCTTCTCACTGCCTCCCTCCCTCCTTCGCTTTTTCTTTCTGCTCTCCCCCTCGCTGTCACCTCTTCTTCTCTCTCCCTGCTCCGAGCTTCAGTCCCGCAGATCCATGTCGCGGCGACCCGCGCTGAAATCTCACAACATTCACATCACCCCCTCACTCTCTGCCTCCTTCTCTATATATTCCCTCTCTCTCTCTCCATGTCCACTCTCTCTCCCCCCCCATCTCCCCTTTCTCTACACCCGCTCTCTCTCTCTCTCCCCTATCTCCTTTCACTCCCCTCTCTCCATCCCCCCCCCCCGTCTCCCTGTTTCTCCTCCCCAATCTTTCCTCTCTTAATTCCTCCTCTTTCTCCACCTCTCCATCTGCCAACTCTCTCAACTTCCTCGATCTCCTCTCTCTCTTCGTCGAATTGTTGTCATCTCTCTCACCTTGTCATCTCTCTCACCTCTCTCACTATCTCCGCTATCTCCATCTTCCCATCTCTCGGCTCTATCCATTTCCCACCTCCCCTCTCACCCATCTCTCTCCGTTTCGCCCCATCTCCACCCTCTCCTTTTTACAATCAGAACTATGGTTCTGCTTTTCGAACTTCAATGTGACACCCATTGTGTCAATGTGACACCCATTGTCTTAATGTGACACTCCATTGTCTCAATGTGACACCCATTGTCTCAATGTGACACCCATTGTCTCAATGTGACACTCACTGTGTCAATGTGACACCCATTGTCTCAATGTGACACCCATTGTCTCAATGTGACACCCATTGTCTCAATGTGACACCCATTGTCTCAATGTGACACCCATTGTCTCAATGTGACACCCATTGTGTCAATGTGACACCCATTGTCTCAATGTGACACCCATTGTGTCAATGTGACACCCATTGTCTCAATGTGACACCCATTGTCTCAATGTGACACCCATTGTCTCAATGTGACACCCATTGTGTCAATGTGACACCCATTGTCTCAATGTGACACCCATTGTCTCAATGTGACACCCATTGTCTCAATGTGACACCCATTGTCTCAATGTGACACCCATTGTCTCAATGTGACACCCATAGTGTCAATGTGACACCCCATTCTCTCAATATGACACCCATTGTGCCAATGTGACACCCATTGTCTCAATGTGACACCCATTGTGTCACTGTGACACCCATTGTCTCAATGTGACACCCATTGTCTCAATGTGACACCCATTGTCTCAATGTGAGACCCATTGTCTCAATGTGACACCCATTGTCTCAATGTGATACCCATTGTCTCAATGTGACACCCATTGTCTCAATGTTTACAGTGGCAGGGGTTAATGTTTTTACGTCTCTAGAAGAGTTCGTCTTTGTGTTGGAGTTCGGGTCAAGGTTAGCCCACAGCAGAGGTCGCAAACGGGTTTTGATTCCTTACCCGTACCCGGCCGCACCAGGGTCGCAAATGGGTACCCGTACCCTACCCGAAATGAGTGACAAACGGTTACTCACCAGTGACTCACGGGCCTACTCGTACCCGTACCCGGCCGCATCAGGGTCGCAAACGGGTACCCGTACCCGTACCTGGCCGGGTACGGGTAGCCGGGTATCGGGTAGGGTACGGGTATTGGGTACCCGGTTGCGACCTCTGGCCCACAGGCTGCAATGTGAGAGCCGCCACCACGGCCGTGATTGCCCCCGTCCTCCATCGCCCCCACTGATGTAGGAATGAGGGCATCACGTCTCCTGTTGGCTTGACGGGAAGGTCGCCTCGCCTCCTGATTCATGTAGACCAGGGGTGGGGAACGTCCGGCACGCGGGGCCGTACAAGGCCCGCGAAATCATTTGGTGTGGCCCTGCCAAGGCAACCGCAGGCGGCGACTCTAAATTCAATAAATCTAGGAGCAAACCTGGAAAAGCAGTTGCGAGTAGCAACATCATCAATACCAGCTAACATCACGCGCCTCGCCAAAGAGAAGCAGTTCCAGCCATCGCATTAGGGGTGAGTTAATTAAATGTTTGACCAAAAATAACGGGCTAATTTTTAAGTTGATAATTTTGTATGGCCCGCGAATGATGTTATATAAATATACAAATGGCAGAAAAAGGTTCCGCAGCCCTGATGTATTCGAACAGCAGCCAAGGCGGTCAGCTTGAGCCAAATTCTCCCCCGAGCTCTGCGGGCCTCTATATCAGTGGTTCTCAACCTTTTGTTTTGGGCTACTGTAGCCAACCTTGTTGAATGTTGTTACAACCGAGTACACATTCCTGCGGAGGGAGCTGGTAGGAACGTTGGGTTGCTCGGTCAATGGCCAGCGTCAACGGCGGCGTGGTGTATTCCGCAAATATGCCCGACTGTGAGGGCGGGCACAAGCCGGCGTGAGTAGGTTAAACGTTGAGTTTTATAAGGGCACCACGGGGTGACCAGCCCCTCCCGACCCAGCTCCACCCCTCCCACCCCCCACCCAGCCCCACCCTCTCCACCCAGCCCCTCAAGCCCCTCCCCACCCAGCCCCTCCATGCACGACGGACGGACACAATAATCCCCTGTAGGCTGGTGTAACCAGGAGGTTCCTACCAGTAAAACCACTTGCCTGACCCAACATGGTTTTGAGAGAAAAAAAGTATTCATAATGAACATCAATATGTATTTTTTTTTACCAATGATCCAGTTTGTGAGGTAACTAACTGCTAGTAACTGCAAGCGAATAAATAAAAAATTCAACGGACGTTCTGCATGGGACACGTAATTTGTTTGCACTCGCTGGTTTTACTCTCGTACACCACATTGTGTACGATCAATGATATCAGTGGTTCTCTCGGTAAAGTCACGTAGAACGGAAATAATAAAATAATAAAAATATATAAATTCTCACGACGTTTCGAATGCAACACAAGCAATCATCATCATCAGGTGTGAAATCCACAGCAAGAAAATTTGAAAAAAGTGGCGGTTTTTCAAATTTTCTTGCTGTGAATTTCACACCTGATGACGATAACTTGTGTTGCAGTCGAAACGTCGTGAGAATTTGTATTGTTTTATATTTTTATTATTTTATTATTTCCCTTCTACGTGACTTTACCGAAAGAACCAAGAATATGAATCCCTGCAGTCACGAAAGCTTTAAATCAAAATTTTACGATCAATGAGTTTAGAAAGGTATTTGATATCCTTATAGGTGACCATATGGATTTAAATTTGAGATCACTACCTATGAGATCTTCACTCAAAACTGCTCTAGAGGAGTTGTACACCCCTAGCTGCCACTGAAAATTCAGTGGCCTAAAAGACAATGTTTCGCTCCGGATGATCGCTGCAAAGTATGACCTGTGTTTTGATTTAGTGTGCTGATCTTAAAGGTGCATTGAAAAATGTTGATACTCCGACTGATGCTCCTGCTGTTGTGGAGTGACTCATGCAGCCAGCTATTGCTGCAGGGTCTGGTGGTACATGTTGTTTATGTCGTTTATTGTGAAAATTCGGTCACAGTTCCTATGATCACTGTTTCATTGCTTTTATGGCTTTATTTTGGTGATTTTAGATACGTTTTTTGGTTTGGCCATGTTTGTTTATTGTAGTACGGAGTTAGACTGATGGCCTTAATCTAAGTTGTGTTGTGATTGTTGTTGCTTGACTTGCATCCCACTGGGATTTTTGCACACAGCGTTGATATACGGTGCTTTTTCTGCAATATTTTGCTGTCTTTTATTGGATTTTCTGTTTGCACATAGTCACATATTCCCTTTAAGATGTTTTCTTGTTCATGTTTTTGTTTTTTGTTTGTTGCGGTTGCACCCGATTCAAGAGCCGAATGGCTCACAGGGCTATACCAAATAAATGAACTTGAATTCAACCCTAGTTACTTTGTTGGTAGATTCGTACACGATTATTCGCCAATGACTCTCACGGATGATATCATTTCACACGTTTATAGATCACATCACGTACCCCTCCTGGAACACTGCCACGTACTTCCAGGAATCCGCGTAGCCCCATTTGAGAACCTCTGCTCTTTACAATATTCAGACGTTACCGGCGCAATTTAAACGAGTGCTTATATGGGGCAGGAAACCGGACCCTACCCGGATAATACGGAAAAAAAAAACCACGCGTCCATAAATGACGTCACGCACCTACGGGGAGAGGGGGGGGGGGTCAGACATTTGTGACGATGTGTGACGAGGGGGGGGGGGGTGAGAAATGTGACGTCACATCAAAATGCGCAACTTTAAATAAACCAGAATTGTTATAACAACAATAATTGTTATAACAACACTCCTACAACATCAGAGTGCAGCGCCACATTAAATACGCACTACAATGACAATAGTTGAAAGCGATTTAAAGCATGTTTTATTTTCGAAATAGAAATATGGTTTGGGGGGGGGGGGGGCAGAGCTTTGTGACGTCATATTTGAGGGGGGGGGTCTGACTTTTTGTGACGCCGTGTGACGAGGGGGGGGTAAAAAATCGTCCAAAATCGCGTGACGTCATTTATGGACAGCCCCCTATCCCATACAGGTGAATTTAAATTGTCTCCCGTTGGTAGAACTCCAGCCACAAGCCTGGCAGAATAATTGCCAAATGCCCAAGATAACAACATTTTAAAAAACCCTCGGCACATTCCTCAAGAACACTGTGGCCTTAAAGGGGAAAAAGTATATGACAAGCGACGTTTCGGGCAACGGGCCGTCTGCATGTGCTATATGTCTATTTGCGCTTGTGCTTGATTTGGACAAAAAAAATATTCACGGCGACATTGGTTAGAAACGTTATACAGATAATCATACTCTTGTTTTTTCGGTAAAGTCACGTAGGTAAAAATAAAAGTAATAAAAGGAATAATAGAGATAAAATAAAATAAGAAATCATTAGATTTTGTGATTTATTATTTTATTTTATCTCTATTATTCCTTTTTATTAATTTTAATTTAATTTTTTTACCTACGTGACTTTACCGAAAAAACATAAGAGTATGAATCCTTGCAGTCACGAAAGCTTCAAATCTTTAATTAATACAGATAATCGTTTTATTGAAATAAAGTGACACATTAAGTGAAGAAGATAACACTTTGACCAAATCTTCTTGGTTCTTTCGGTAAAGTCACGTAGAAGGGAAGTAATAAAATAATAAAAATAAAACATAATACAATTATTTTATTATGTTTTATTATTTTGATAATAATATAAAACATAATAAAATTATTTTTTATTATGTTTTATTATTTTAATAATAAAATAAAACATAATACAATTATTTTATTGTTTTATTATTTTATTTTTATAATAAAATTCTTATTTTTATAATAAAAATAAAACATAATAAATTATTTTATTATGTTTTATTATTTTAATTATTTTATTACTTCCATTCTACGTGCCTTTACCGAAAGAACCAAGAAGATGAATCCCTGCAGTCACGAAAGCTTTAAATCGAAACGTTGACCAAACTCCACGAGCCGCTGACGGGCACACACACGTACGGCCTTCTCCACACGCCACACCGTGAGTGGCGTGGGGGGGTTTGCTAGTGACCCTACTTCACCTCGCGGGTCAATGCGGGTTTGTTTGACAGCGGGGAGCGTGGGGAGAGTAACGACACCGAACAATGCAAGGAATTTCATTCAGTTTCCGTACCTTCTTCCGGAAGATGTCTTCTGGTCGTTCGTTAACTCTACTCGATACATCTTCCGGAATATGTCTTCCGGAAGATGTCTTCTGGTCGTTCGTTAACTTTACTCGAATACATCTTCCGGAATATATCTTCCGGAAGATGCCTTCTGGTTGTTCGTTAACTCGACTCGAATACATCTTCCGGAATATATCTTCCGGAAGATGCATTCAGTTTTTTTCGTTAACTCTACTCGAACGTATCTTCTGGAAGATTTATTCCGGAAGATGTTCACCAACGCAACTCAAATACATCTTCCGGAAGATATCTTCCGGTTGTTCATTTGGGCATGGCAGGCGTCTTCTGGAAGACTCTTCCGAGCGTTTTCTTCAATCTGCCGGTAGCGCTGCACGGCGCAAGGAGTTAGAAGCGCGGCCTTTTGAGGTTAGGGACAGTGTCTCTGTGTGTCTCTGTGTCTCTCTCTGTGTGTCCCCGTGTCTCTCTGTGTGTCTCTCTGTGTCTCTCTGTGTCTCTCTGTGTCTCCGTGTCTCTCTCCGTGTCTCTCCGTGTCTCTCTCTGTGTGTCTCTCCGTGTCTCTCTCTGTGTCTCTGTATCTATGTGTGTCTCCGTGTCTCTCTCTGTGTGTCTCTCTCTGTGTGTCTCCGTGTCTCTCTGTGTGTCTCCGTGTCTCTCTGTGTGTCTCTCCGTGTCCTTCTGTGTGTCTCTCCGTGTCTCTCTCTGTGTCTCCGTATCTCTGTGTGTCTCCGTGTCTCTCTGTGTGTCTCCGTGTCTCTCTGTGTGTCTCCGTGTCTCTCTGTGTGTCTCTCCGTGTCTCTCTCTGTGTCTCCGTATCTCTGTGTGTCTCCGTGGTTCTCTCTGTGTGTCTCCGTGTCTCTCTGTGTGTGTCTCCGTGTCTCTCTGTGTGTCTCTCCGTGTCTCTCTCTGTGTCTCCGTATCTCTGTGTGTCTCCGTGGTTCTCTCTGTGTGTCTCCGTGTCTCTCTGTGTGTGTCTCCGTGTCTCTCTCTGTGTCTCTCTCTGTGTCTCCGTGTCTCTCTCTGTGTGTCTCTGTGTGTCTCCGTGTCTCTCTCTGTGTCTCCGTGTCTCTCTCTGTGTGTCTCCGTGTGTCTCTCACCTGTGTCTCCTCGTCTTCAAATCTCTCACCCTTCGTGTTACCCTATCTCTTCGTCTCTCGATATATCTCCCCGTGTGTCTCCACGTCTCCCACGTGTGTCTCCATACCTCTCCCCGTGTGTCTCCCCGTGTGTCTCCACGTCTCCCCCGTGTGTCTCCCCGTGTGTCTCCCCGTGTGTCTCCACGTCTCCCCCGTGTGTCTCCCCGTCTCCCCGTGTGTCTCCATACCTCTCCCCGTGTGTCTCCCCGTGTGTCTCCATACCTCTCCCCGTGTGTCTCCCCGTGTGTCTCCCCCGTGTGTCTCCACGTCTCCCCCGTGTGTCTCCACGTCTCCCCGTGTGTCTCCCCGTGTGTCTCCACGTCTCCCCCGTGTGTCTCCCCGTCTCCCTGTGTGTCTCTCCCCGTGTGTCTCCACCTTTCCCACGTGCGTGTGTGTGTGTGTCGACCCGAGAAGGAGGCGGGAGCCATGGCCACCTCGGGTCTGGAGAAGCTTGGAGTGGCTGGCGGAGAGGACCTCAGGGAGACTCTCACCAACTGCACGGACCCCCTCAAGGCCATCGAGCAGTTCCAGGTTCCAGCCCCACGCCGCCGCTCAACTCCTGCCCCAGCAGCAGCATCACGGCATCATCAACACGCAGCTCAAATAGAACACGAATAAAAGTTAAATTTCGATTTAAAGCTTTCGTGACTTGCAACGATTCATCTTCTTGGTTCTTTCGGTAAAGTCACGTAGAAGGGAAATAATAAAATAATAAAAATAAAACATTAAAATAATTCTCACGACGTTTCGGCCACAACTCAAGCAGCCGTCCTCAGGTGAAGAACAGGTCTGTTCTTCACCTCTGAATGACGCTGTCTTTCCGACAGACCTGTTCTTCACCTGAGGACGGCTGCTTGCGTTGTGGCCGAAACGTCGTGAGAATTATTTTATCATGTTTTATTTGTATTATTTTGTTATTTCCATTCTACGTGACTTACCGAAAGAACCAAGAAGACGAATAGAAGTTGTTTTCGGCCATGGCTGTCACGGTTAACACAATGCCCCCCGCCCCCACCTCATACGATAACTTACCTCCCAGACTCGGAAACTCACCCACAGGGCTCACTAATTACACTGGTCAACACACTTTTTCTGGCGTGAGGTATTCCAACGGTTTTAAGGTCATTTTGGGGTGCTGATTCCAAATCTGGCATCAGTTTTTGTCTATCACATCAGGTTTTGAGATATGAAATATTGCATTTTCAATAAAAACTGCAGAAGAAAAATATTAAATAAATGTGAATATCTACATAAAATTATATTATAAACACACTATCCTAAAAATACAGCACCATATTTTAACACTAAAGCAGTCACTGACTCGCAACAACTTGCAATCATAAGTGACAGAGTTAATTTCTGGTAAAATCAATGAAAATGGGGTATTCCGATAGCATAAAAATGAGATGTGATAGAGCAAATCTGAGCTCAGATTTGGAATCAGCACCCTGAAATTTAGTCTAAAACAGCTGCAAAAGTCCAGGCCAGAATTTTTTTTTATTGACCAGTGTTAACTTCTGGACTCATGCTTTGCCTGCTGCCCCCCCCCCCCCCCCCCCCGCATGCGATCAGCTGGAGAACGGCGTGCTGCTGCCCTCGCTGCAGTCGGCGCTGCCCTTCCTGGACCTGCACGCGATCCCGCGCCTCGACTTCCACCAGTCGGTGTTCGACGAGCTGCGAGACAAACTCCTCGAAAGGGTGGCGGTCATCGCCACCGAGGGCCCGCCACTCAGCCGGTGTGTACACGTGTGTGTGTGTACACACGTGTGTGTGTGTACACGTGTGTGTGTACAGATGTGTGTGTACACGTGTGTGTGTGTGTACACGTGTGTGTGTACACGTGTGTGCGTGTACACGTGTGTGTGTACACGTGTGTCTGTGTGTGCACACGTGTGTCTGTGTCTGTACACGTGGAATTCTTGCTTGTGTCTCTCAGTGCGTCTTGGTTTTCACGTTATTGCCCCTTACCTCTTTTTTCACTGCACAACCGTGCCAAGCCTGTGCCGAGCCAGCCCAGCACTGCTCGGGCAGCGCCAGGTTTATTTTCCACCACAGAAGCCGAGCCGCGAAGCTGATGTCGCACGCAATGAACGCATTGTTAGCCTCACCCCTGCCCCCGCTTGACCTCGAGCATCCTTCGGATATCTTGTGAGGCTTACGTATCATCTGTTTGGTTCTGGCTCGGCAAACGTCCGGTGGAAAAACCACCCGTACCGGCTTGGCTCGCGTGCGCGCAGTCGGAAGAGGGGCACGTCTGTCTGACTTTGCGTCGCTCTACGTGTGCCCCGGGCAGGAACACGAAGCTGGAGGAGCTTCTGGAGAAGAGCTTTGCCCTCGTGCGCATGCCGTCTGTGCAGCCCGTCGTCATGTGCCTGCTCAAACACATTCCCAAGGTGAGCGACCTCCCCGTGCTCCCGCGGCGGCGCTGCCATTGCACGCATATGTGGTGTCCCCGTCGCGCGTGTACAGCCACAGCCGTCGCTTGATGTCGTCACCAGGGAGCACCCCCCCCCCCCACCCCGGCAGCTGTCCCTGTGAGGCACAAGGCTTATCGCGGCACAGGCCAGCGAGTGACCGTGGAGAGTGGTAGTATAGTGGTTCATGCAGTGCACTATAAGCCCAGCAACCTGAGTTTGATACCCGGCCGAGGCTACCATCCTGAGCCTCCTCTAAGTCGACTCAAGCTTAAAGGAGCACCTGGTGCGGAACGTAAATCAGCACTGGGGGGGATTCTCCTAAAGGCGGCCGGGCGTGGTGCTGGCCGCACCACCTCTTCATTTGTGCTCCGTGCCGGCCTTCATAGACGCTCGCTCGCAGCCGTTGGCCCGACAGCCTGCGCGGCCTGCATGGAACAATCTCGCGACAACCGTGCGCAGCGCTGCTGTGAACGCCGCCACCTCGCCGCCTCCGCTCGTGCCGCGCAGGTCCCCGAGCGCTACCTGAAGCAGGTGACGAGCGACCCGGCGCTGTACGCGGCGTGCGCCACCGAGGTGAAGCGGCAGATCTGGCAGGAGAACCAGGCGCTGTTCGGGGACGAGGCATCCCCGCTGTTCAAGCAGTACCTGGCGGAGAGAGAGGCGGCCCTGCTGGGGCCCGAGCTGTCGGCCGTGCACACCTTCTACAGCTCCTCCCCGAAGGCGCGCCGCCACGGGCAGGTGAGTGAAGCCAACGAAGCGGCTGGGTGGGTGAGTGAGCGGCAGAGGTCGCAATCGGGTACCCGATACCTGTACCCGGCCGGGTAGGGGTACCCGTTTGCGACCCTGGTGCGGCCGGGTACGGGTACGGGTAGGCCGTGAGTCGCTGGTGAGTAACCGTTGTCACTCATTTCCCAACGTCTTGTCTCTTCTCACAATTCAAGTTCCTAGAATCAACCCACCCGTGCCTGCAACATGGCTTCATCCCAGAGGTCGCAATTGGGTACCCGATACCCGTACCCGGCCGGGTACGGGGGTAGGGTACGGGTACGGCCAGGTACGGGTACGGGTACCCGTTTGCGACCCTGGTGCGGCCGAGTACGGGTACGGGTAAGGAATCAAAACCCGTTTGCGTCCTCTGCCGATCGGTCGGGTGGGTGGGTGGGCGAGCGAGCAGGCGGGCGAGTTGGCGGGCTGTGGCGGGCACTTTGGGGGGTTGCCCAGCTGTACACCGTAACAAGTGTGAACGTGCAGACCTGCAGCTGTTTACCCTTCCGTAGCGTGTCTGGCATCTTCTTCCACTCTGGCCAGACGCCTTGGAAGAGGTGGTCGTACCCACACTTTACCCCTCCACACGCGATCTGCCCCATCTACGAGCTGCGATGCACCTCTTTATACTGCTGGGTGGACAGAGGTGGTCGGCAGGGTGGGGTGGAGGGATTTAAGAAACTTGCAGCATCGTTTACGCTGCCTGCATGGGGGACATGGAATTGAACCGGCGACCTCTGATTTGCAAATCCAGTGTGCGCACCACAACACCACTGTGGCAGCGTCCTCTTGGCTCGACTCAAGTAACACTTGGGACTTGCCCCCCCGTGCCTCTGACTTGCTGCGCAAATGGATTTTGCGCTCGTTATAAATCGGGCTCAATCATCGTCGTCGTCGTCGTCATTATCGACACGGCTTTCAGCGTGACACCTCGCTGTGCCTGGCAGGTGGTACAGAAGCTGACGGGCATGATCGGGCGCAACGTGAAGCTGTACGACATGGTGCTGCAGTTCCTGCGCACGCTGTTTCTGCGCACGCGCAACCCGCACTACTGCACGCTCCGCGCGGAGCTGCTCATGGCCCTGCACGACCTGGAGGCCACCGACATCTGCTCTGTCGACCCCTGCCACAAGGTGACCCGCGGGGAGCGTCGCGCTGGTCTCACCGGTAATCTCGCGACGGTTCTCGCGCAAGAGGGGAACCTCGTAGCGCCAGCGACGAGCGAGCGAGCGTCTTAACGGTCCCTCTCTCTGCGCACACGCGCATGCGCGCAGTTCACGTGGTGCCTGGACGCGTGCATCCGCGAGCGTTTCGTGGACGTGAAGCGGGCGCGGGAGCTGCAGGGATTCCTGGACGGCATCAAGCGGGGCCAGGAGCAGGTGTTGGGGTGAGCGACTTGGCGTGATGGAGATGGGAATATTGCAATCGCATGTTGTACATTACTGGAGGAAATCTAATTAGATTATTGTCACCCGAGCGTGGTGCTAGCCACGCCGCTCCTTCGTGTGCCATGCCGGCCTTCGTAGGTGCTACTCGCTAACAGCACTTGCCCCAGCAGCCTGTGTAGGCTACACATGGGATCTTTGTGTTTGTCCTGTCCAGGGACCTCTCCATGATCCTGTGCGATCCGTTCGCCATCAACACTCTGGCCATGAGCACCATGAAGACCCTGCAGGAGCTCGTGAGCCATGAGAGCCTGCCCAGGGTGAGCCTCGCGGCGCCACCACCGCAGTCAAAACTACAGCCACAGTCACAACAACAACCACAACCACAGTCACAACAACAACCACAGTTACAGCTGCAACGACAGACACAGTCACAACTACAATCACAGCCACAACTACAACCACAGTCACAACTACAACCACAGTCACAACCACAGTTACATCTACAACCACAGTCACTACCACAACTGCAGCTAAAAGCACAACCGCAAAAACCACGGGAAAAACAACCACAGTTACAACAGCAGTCACAGCAACAACCAGTCACAACCACTGTCACTTCTACAACCACAACCGCAGTCACAACCACAGTTACAGCTACAACTACAGCCACAGCTAAACCACAACTACAGCAACAAACACAACCATAATCACAACTACAACCACTGTCACGGCTACAACCACAGTCACAACCACAGTTACAGCTAGAACTACAGTCATAACAACCACTGTCGCAACTACAACCACGGTCACTACCACAACCGCAGCTACAACCGCAGTCACAGCAACAACCACAACCACAGTCACAACAACAACCACAGTTACAGCTGCAACGACAGACACAGTCACAACTACAATCACAGCCACAACTACAACCACAGTCACAACTACAACCACAGTCACAACCACAGTTACATCTACAACCACAGTCACTACCACAACTGCAGCTAAAAGCACAACCGCAAAAACCACGGGAAAAACAACCACAGTTACAACAGCAGTCACAGCAACAACCAGTCACAACCACTGTCACTTCTACAACCACAACCGCAGTCACAACCACAGTTACAGCTACAACTACAGCCACAGCTAAACCACAACTACAGCAACAAACACAACCATAATCACAACTACAACCACTGTCACGGCTACAACCACAGTCACAACCACAGTTACAGCTAGAACTACAGTCATAACAACCACTGTCGCAACTACAACCACGGTCACTACCACAACCGCAGCTACAACCGCAGTCACAGCAACAACCAGTCGCAACTACGGTCACAACTACAGCCACAGCTACAACCACAGCCACAACCACAGTCACAACTAAAACCACAGTCACGGCTACAACCACAACTGCAACCTGGTACCAGGGCAGGTCCAACCCTCACCTCTCTTTGCCAGTGAGGCTTTGCTGGTCTCTCTCAAAGCCTCGCCTGGTTGAACAAACTCAACCCGGACACACACACACACGTGCGCTGTGGTTGTCCACGCGTGTTTTTGCAGGACCCTGCGCCCTGAGCGTGGGAACGCGACGTGTGTCTGTGTCGCGAATGTGCGTCACATGCAGTGTTCACGATGGTTTTGTGTGTGTGTGCGCCACTGTGTGTATCCTGTTTGTGTGCGTGTGTGTACCATGCATGCCGTTTGTACGCGCGTGCCCTTCATGCTGTTTGTATGCATACTATTTGTGTGTGTGTGTTCATCATGCACACTGTATATTGTTCATGCTGTTTAATATGCGTGTTGTTTGCGTGTGTTCACCATGCACTCCGTATATTGTGTTCATGCTGTTTGTATGTATGCTATTTGTGTGTGTGTGTTCCCAATGCACACCGTATATTGTTCATGCTGTTTTGTGTGCGTTATGTTGGTGTTTGCTCCATGCACACCTTTTGTGTGTATGTTGTTCATGCGGTTCTTGTGTGCGTAGTGTGTGCCCCATGCATGCTGTGTATATTGTGCATGCTGTTTGTGTATACGCTGCTTACGTGTGTCATGCAAGCAGGTTGTATGCCGTTTCGTATGCATGCTGTACTTGTGTACGTACTATTTGTGTGTGTGTTTTGTGCGTACTGTTTGTGTGCCTGCTGTTTGTGTGTCCCATGCATGCTGTTTGTGCTGCGTGTGCCCACGCGCTGCGTTCCGTGTGCCGCCGACAGGACAGTCCGGACTTGCAGCTGCTCTTGCGGATGCTGGCGCTGGGCCTGGGTGCGTGGGACATGATCGACAGCCAGGCCTTCAGGGAGCCCAAGTTGGTGAGTCTGGCTCCGTGGGAGACGTCTCTCTTCCCAGCAAACTCGTTAACGCCCCGTGACTCCTTCAGCTAATCGATGATCACACAGGCGTTCTGAGCGATAACAAGAATGATAACGACTTCGACATGAAAACGCGCCGCCATCGTCGCCGCACCGTGTCCGCTCGCTCTCGGCGAGAGACGGAGAGAGAACGAGTCGGAGGCACGAGGAGGAACCACAGACGAGAGGGAAAGGCAGTGGCAGCAAGGCTGTGAGCCGGCGCTACCAACAATTGCCCGAGCTTTACGATTCTCTATATATTAAGGTGTTATCAGCAAATTAATGAATACATTTGGATGGAAATCGGAGCACCCGGAGTAAACCGGTCCGTGCGAGGCTGGGGAACGCGTAGGTTTTTGCGTGATCTCACAGCACATGGCAGTGTGGGGGCTCACTGCGTTTCAGCACCCTTGCTCATGGCTCGCCATGGTTTATCCCTGCAGACATTGACGTCGTTCTTAATATCAGTAATACTCTTAGTTCTTTTGGTAAAGTCACGTAGGTAAAAAATGAAATTAAAATTAATAATAATAAAAAAAATAGTATTTTTTATTAATCAAAATAAAATAAAAGGAATAATAATTGTATTTTTTATTTAAAAAATTTTTCATAATAATTTTTCTTTTTTAATTAATTTTAATTTCATTTTTTACCTACGTGACTTTACCGAAAGAACTAAGAGTATGAATCCTTGCAGTCACGAAAGCTTCAAATCTAGATATCAGTAATGTTATTGACCGCTCACAGACTAGACGTGAGATTTCTGGGTGGGGTAGGGACGGATCGCTAATGGGTAACGGGCTGGATGGCCGAGCATTATGGCTTGTTTGAGGGGTGACGATTTAGCGCATGCATTTTTCGCAGCCACTCGTAAACCAGGCGCGGCCTTGCCGGTCGCCGGGCTGCGCGCTGGCCGAGTGTTTCTTCTTGTAGCGTTTGCCACACGCTGCTGTCGGCGCCTCCCTGTGGAGTTGGGTGTGCCGGTTTGGTTCTTCCCACGCGAGCGATTCGCGAGCGGTGGCTCGGACCGCGTCGCCGTAACGAGACCGCCCGCCCCGCCGTTTCGGCTAACGTCGTGTGTCGCGGTGAGCAGGATGCGGAGGTGGCGACGCGCTTCCTGCCGGCGCTCATGACCCTGCTGGTGGACGACCTGACCTTTGGGGTGGACGCTCGCTTGCCGGCAGAAGGAGGGACCCCCCCGACGTACCCCTCCGGCCTGCCCCCCGCCTTCACCAAGTGAGGACGCCGGGAGCCGAGCAGAAGGCCGCCCAAGCGACGCGACCAACTGTCGGTCGCGTCGCTAGACTCATCGGGGAACACGAAAATAGTTGGCGGAGGGGGTGGGGGAAAACAAAATGTCTCACCTCTGAATCTACTCGTGCCGCTGGACGGGAGGTGGGGCTTGGCAACGTCATTAGTTACGTCATACAATCACTGGCCGCGTTGTGCTGGGCGTGGCTTGTAGGGGGGGTTCACCGCCTTCGGACAGACTCGTATTTAAAATCTCACGGTTACACTTTAGCCAAATCCAGTGCAGAGCCAAATTTAATGCGATTGTGTTTTCTCGTGCAATCGTTGGTGATTGGCGGGAGACCATCAACTCGCCTGGCTTTAGAATTCGAATTAATCACGAGCAGTGGCTGAAACCCTGGTTTCACAGGCGGCCCATACCCTGGATTCACAGGCAGTGGCTGCAACCCGGATGCGAACCCGGCTCAGAGCTTCTCACCCTCCGATTCACCCGGCCACCTCGATTTTCATTCGCCTTAACCGTGCTGCGTTGCTGCGTGCAGGTGGGTGCAGGAGCACCCGGTCGCTTGCGAGATGGGGCTCTACTACGTGCTGCACGTGACGCGGCAGAGGAACAAGAACGCGATTGCGCGCGTGCTCCCCGCCCTCGGTGAGTGTGGCGCGATTACCACCGGGATGTACCACTTGCCCGGGCGGGCAGGCGTACGTCAGACGACGGGGAGAGACCGAGCGGCGGGGGTGGGGGTGGGGGAAACGTGGCCGGGCAGCAGCAGCAGCGCGTTTGGCCCCTAGTTGTGGAGGTTTTGCGGTTCGAGTCCAGCGGTCGCCCCGGTTAATACCGCGGGGGTCAGGAGCGGTGCAGCCCGGCAGTCGCTTGCTCACGCCAACGCTGGAGGAAGGGCGTCGGGGCTTACAGTTTATAGTAAGAGCTGTTGAGCGCTCCTTGAGAAGGGCGCCTTCACCAAAAATGGGCGCTGGCTGCTTCACGGAGGATGTGACGGATCTCTTGGCGTTATTCGAAAATGCGCAATGGCGTCACGGTCCAATTTTGCCAAATTTTGAGAATGACTCGCAAGTTGATGGATTTAGTAAAAGCACATTGCCACGTCGTCCTGCTACTGACAGACTCTACCCGTCTGTGAAACACAGTGCTTTCGTTTTAGCCTTGCACGATAGGAATGTCACATAAAATGTGTTGATTGATCGTGGTGCATGGACTGGTGTGGTTTACTGGTGAGACACAAGTGCGGTACACTGGTGCGGTACACTGGTGCGGTACACTGGTGCGGTACACATTGTTGAGACACTGGTGCTGTACACTGTTGAGACATCGGTGCGGTTCTGTACGTATATGCAATCCATAGCGGAATTCCACCGGGACGCCGGCTACAGCGATTGGTTCCTGCACCTCTTCCTGTCCCAGCTGACCCTGCTCGCCGATGAGCTGGGGTCCGAGGGCCTGTGCGGCGCGCTGTTCGACAGCTTCCTGCTCCCCGCGCTCTCCCGGTACGTTCTATATCTACGATCATCTACGATCACCGCGCGCGCGTGAGAGCCCACACGAACGCACGTGCCGTGTACACGGGCGCCTACGCGATGGGTTGTTGCTGAGGCTCGCGCTTCGAAGCTAAGCGGCCGCCCTGGCTATTACCGCGGTGTGGTATTGGCTATTAAAAAATACTTCACTCCGAGTGGATGTTAAAGGTCCCGTGACGTCATTCGCAAGAGTAGGCCGTTGCGTGCCGGAGCCTGGGGTCTATATTTGAAACATTACACCCGCAAATCGGGATTGTACACACAGCAGCAATCATTGCCCCCTACCAGCAGCAGACTGATGCCTTGCCCCCCCCCCCCCAGGTGACTTGCAAATGACTCGATTCCGGTCTCTCGATTTCTCACTTGATTATACAAAGTCAACTTGAAAGACACACACACACTGGCCTCTGATGCTCGTTGTATATATCCACTAGCGCAGACGCACAGCAGCGCTCGCTCACACCTCTGCCTCCCCGTGCGTGCGTGCGTGCGTGCGTGCGGCAGAGAGAACGTGCACAGGCACACGCTGCGGCTGGTGCTGCACGTGCACGCGAAGCTGGTGCCTGCGCGGCTCGCCACGCTACGCACCGCCCTGGAGCCCAACAAGCAGGTGAGTGCGTGTGCGTGTGTGACTCGGTGGGAGCGGTAGTGTAGCGGTTAGCACGCTGCGCTATGAACTTGGCGATCCGGGTTTGATTCCCGCTCACGGCTAACACCAGTGACGATTATCTGAACCGGTCCTGGGCCTCCCCTAGGTCGACTCAGCCTTAAATGAGTACCTGGTGCGGTGTGTAAACATCGGCACTGGGGAGACAAAGGCGGTCGGGCGTGGTGCTGGCCACCCACCCCCTCGTGTACCGTTCCGGCCTTCATAGGTGCTCGCTAACAGCACTTGCCCCTACAGTCTGTTAAGGCTATACGGGGGATCTTTGTGACTCGGTCATCTCAGTCAGTCGACCCGTGGCACCTGCTGGGTCTGCCCCGTGACCTGCCAGCGGGCGTTCGACACTTCACGTGATAGCCTCAAGGTGCACATGGCCTGGCACAAGCGTCGTGGTGACGTCACCGCCACTTAGTGGCGAATGGCGGTTGTTGTTGACTGAGCGAGTTGCGTATGTGTGAAGCAAGTTCGATTCCTGTTCACGGACACCAATACCAGTGACGAATATCGAAACTGGTCCTGGGCCTCCCCTAGGTCGACTCAGTTTTAAATAAGTACCTGGTGCTGTGTGAAAAAACATCGGCACTGGGGAGACAGAAGGTGGCCGGGCGTGGTGCTGGTCACCCACCTCCTCGTGTGCCGTACCGGCCTTCATAGGTGCTCGCCAACAGTACTTGCCCCATCTCTCACAATCCTTGGGGACGGTGAGAGATGGTGGCAGCTTTGGGGAGGCCTTCATCCAGCCATGGATCGAGCACAGCTACTGATGCTCGTGTTGCTGATGGTGCCGATGCTGCTGCTGCTGCTGCTGTTCCGGCAGAGTGGCGATGTTGTGAAGGAGCTTCACACGGCGCTCTTGGCCAAGGGGGACTCTCGTCTGCCCGGCACCGCCGCCAGCGCCGCCACGGCGCCGGCCTCCGCCACCGGCGTGGCACTCACCCCGGGCCTCACGCCCGTGCTGGCGCTCACGCAGCCAGTCGCAATCAGCACCGCCACGACCCCCGCCACGACCCCCACCACGACCCCCGCCACTGCCGCCGCCACTTCCGTTGGCACCGTCGCCGGCACCGTCGCCGGCACCGTTGCCGGCGCCGCTGCCGGCGCCACCGCTGCCGCTGCAGCAGCAGGTGCAGCAGGAGCCGGAGGAGGAGAGTCTCCCCGGGTTAGCGTCGCGGCCACGGTGACGCCACCGCCGTGAGCGAGTTGGGTGGCGATTGTCGGCGGAGAGAATCACACGCGCGTGTGTGTGTGTGTGTGCATCGCCCAGGGGGTGGTGATGGGTGTAATGCACGCAGGTAGCTACGAATGTAATACCTTACATGCATTACGCACTCGTTACGCACGCATTACGCACGCGTACACGTTGCACACACGTGTTACGCACGCATTACGCACGTACATGCGTGATACACTAGATTAGCGTTACCTACATACGCGTTATGTTAAACACACGCGTGTTATACATGTTAGGTTACACCCGTTTTACACACGCGTTACACACACACGCACTATACACAAGTGTTATACACACGCGTTAACCACGCACGCACTATATACACACGCGCGCTATACACACGTGTTATATACACACGCGTTATACACACACACACACACGCGCGCGCACGACGTACACGCACCGCTTGAGTACACCGCCATTTGGGCAATGCCCCCTCGTGCTATTGCACCCTCATGCCCCGAGCGTTCACCACGGTTTTACTGCCTTTGATTGTGCCGTGCACCGCTGCGTCCGTTCACCCTGGAGTTCAGAACGCCAGGCCCGGTGAAGCTACCCTCAGGGGTCGTGCAGCCCCTGCGGTAGATCCGTTGTCCGTTATTTCCAGCGTGCAAGGTCATTTATATTTTTCTAATGTAAAAATATAGAAAGCGATCCCACAACGCGCAATCCAGCGCTGCAGCGGGCACCGTAGGCAACACGTGGGAGCGAGCATGGGGCTTGCGTGAAGACGCGCGAGGCAGCGTAGCCGCGTCGCCGTCCTCACCACGCAGTTTCTGGAGCTTCGGGAAAGTGCGAGTTGAGATCTTTTCCGAGTTTTTCTGTTTTTTTAAAGGTCGTGGTAAAACTCGTCCGTGATAAGCGGGCAGCCGCGATATACCCACCTCCCCTGCCCCGGGTGGATAGAGGCTGTGAGCCGAAAGCAGCGGTGAGATTTGGGTCACAATAAAACTCTCGTCATTTCTATCCCTGGCGTCTCTCTCTGCCTCGCGTCCGGAGTGAACGTGCGAGCCGGGAGCCTGCGAGTGCGGTTCCTGACCCAGTCGATGGCATGTCGTGGTTGGCATGACCAGTAGACTTGCGTAGAGACCCACATACCCGCGCAGAGCGCTATACAAAGATCCCCCATATATCCTTAACAGACTATTGGGGCAGGTACTATTAGTGTGCACCTACGAAGACCAAGACGGCACACGGAGGGGGTGGATGACCAGCACCACGCCTGGCCGCCTTTGTCTCCCCCAGTGGCGATGTTTACACACCGCACCAGGTACTCATTTGAGGCCCAGTGGACCTAGGGGAGGCCCAGGACTGGTTCAGGTAATATAATCGGCACTGGCCTTGGTTGGTCGGGCGAAGAACGGGAGTTGAGCTCGGGTCGCAGAGTTTGTAGAGCAGTGCGCTCACCACTGCATCACGACTTCCCTCGCCCTGGTGCAACGACTGAAGTGGGCTACCCCGCCACGCAGAGGTCGCAAACGGGTTTTGAATCCTAACCCGTACCCGTACCCGGCCGCACCAGGGTCGCAAACGGGTACCCGTACCCGGCCGGGTATCGGGTACCCGATTGCAACCTCTGGGATGAAGCCATGTTGCAGGCGCGGGTGGGTTGATTCTAGGAACTTGAATTGTGAGAAGAGACAAGACGTTGGGAAATTAGTGACAAACGGTGACTCACCAGTGACTCACGGCCTACCCGTACCCGGCCGCACCAGAGTCACAACCGGGTACCCGTACCCGGCTGGGTACGGGTAGCCGGGTATCGGGTAGGGTACGGGTATCGGGTACCCGATTGTGACCTCTGCCGCCACGCCACCCATCCAATGTCCCCACTCTTCACAGCCCGGCGCCTCGAGACCTGGTGCAAATGCCACGCCTGCACACTCGAAAGCTAACGTCACTGACGCCAGCAGCACAGTGGTACGTGACGACGCGGAGAGACACGTGGGAGCGCGGAGAACAGGAGGGTCACATTCTGTATACTGTGTGAGATACGAGTGTGAAGTGTGAGAGATGCAAATCGTGTGGAAGGTGTGAGCTGTCGTCATGAAAAGCGCAGACCCCGCATTCTATTTTTTTGCACACTAAACTATTAAACATTTTATTTTATTTGACCAGATAAGGCCCACCGAGCTATATCGCTCTTTTTTTAGAAGCAACCTGGCCACGAATGAAAGCTCAACGAAGTGGCTCGTGGAAATGTGTAGCAGCCAAATACTCTAAACCAGGGGTGGGGAACGTCCGGCCCGCGGGCCGTATGAGACCAGCGAAATCATTTGGGTCTGGCCCTGCCAAGGCAACCGCTGGCGGGACTCGAAATTCAATAAATCTAGGAGCAAACCTGGAAATGCAGTTGCGAGTAGCAACATCATCAATACTAACTAACATCACCACGCCTCGCCAAAGAGAAGCAGTTCCAGCCATCACATTCGGGGTGAGTTAATTAAATGTTTGACCAAATATAACAGGCTAATTTTAAGTTGATAATTTTGTATGGCCCGCGAATGATGTTGTACATATCCAAATGGCCCTTGGCAGAAAACAAGGTTCCCCACCCCTGCGTCTAACGCATGTTTATAAATGTGGATGGGAAATCCGGAGGACCTGGAGAAAAATCCACACAACCACGGGGAGAACATGCAAACGCCAAATCTACAGCAGCAGGCGTCAGGGTCGGGATCGAGCCCACGACCTCCTGTATACCAGGCGAGAAAGATAACATCTCCTAGCCACCATAATGATTACAGAGAGAGACACGCAAACTCCAAATATACAGCAGGCGTCAGGGTCGGGATCGAACCCACGACCTCCTGTACACCAGGCGAGGTAGTTAACATCTCCTAGCCACCGTGATGATGATGATGAGAGAGAGACGCAAACGCCAAATATACAGCAGGCGTCGGGGTTGGGATCGAACCCACGACCTCCTGTACACCAGGCGAGGTAGTTAACATCTCCTAGCCCCATGACGGCAGCAGCAGCAGCGATATGTTCAAGAGTTAGATGCCGATGTGGAGGCCTGCTGCCCACGGCGAGAGGGCTTCAGGAGACTTCGTGTGGTTTTGCTGCTCCTCCGTTGAAGGAGCAAGCACAGACGACGGTGGTTAACTGCGACTGTACTGTGGTCCGTATACTCCAAATATATATTCAATATACTTCTAGATTTGAAGCTTTCGTGACTGCAAGGATTCATATTCTTTGTTTTTTTCGGTAAAGTCACGTAGGTAAAAAAATTTAATTAATAAAATAAAAATAAAATAAAAATCACGACGTTTCGGAGGCAACACAAGCTTCCGTCTTCAGGTGGAACCGTCACAGCACGACAGCTGTATTAATTTTATTTTTTTACCTACGTGACTTTACCGAAAACAAACTAAGAATATTCAATATACTCTTTGGTTCTTTCGGTAAAGTCACGTAGTTAGAAATAAAATAAAAAAAAATCACGACGTTTCGATTTCAACACTTTGCCTGATGACGATCGCTTGTGTTGCGATCGAAACGTCGTGATTTGGTTTATTTTATTTCTAGCCACGTGACTTTAACCGAAAGAACCAGAGAGTATGGATGCCTGTAGTCACGAAAGCTTCAAATATATATTCAATAGATCCACCAGAGGGCGCTATTGTGCCAACCACGCGGACTGGGTGGCATGAAGGCACAGTCCGATAATGACAATTGGTCGATTAATATCGTCACACGCAGGAGCAACAAAGCAAGTATTAACCAAGGTGTACCAATTCCCTTCCTTAACCGAGTCGCCGCCGTTTGTTCCAATAGAAGTTATTTTGCGAAAAAAATGGGAGAGGCCGGTTAATTTCCGAGAAAGTCTTAAGCCTGCCCTCAGTCGTCTCCGGCGTATCTGCCCGGCACGCGTGGCCACTCCACTCCACTGCTGGATGAGGGCCTCCCCTCACCGGTGTGGCTTGTAGTGGTGGGGGGGTTGGGGGGTTATTTGATCGTAAATCAAACTCGCTGACTGATCGCGTCCGTGCGGGTGTTGGTGACTGACGGGCGGGCAGGGAGCAGGGATTTTTGCACACAGCGTTGAAACGCGGTGTTTTTCTGGAAGACTTTTGCTGTTTTTTCCAGGATTTTTTTCTGTTGCGCGTAGTCACTTTAAGACGTTTCTTGTTCATGTCTTTGTTTTGTTGCGGTTGCACCCGAGTCAAGAGCCGTATGGCTCACAGGGTTAGACCTAATAAATGAACCTGAAATGAAACTGAAGTACGTAGGGAGAGCGCACTAGCCCTTGTGAATCAGAGGTTTCATTCCCGAGTAAAGCCCATGCGAGTTCGACATTAAAAGCTCAGCAGGCAGCGCCGCAGCAGGCTCTAGCAACAAAGGGCCCAGTAGCCCCACGGGCTAATTGAGGCCATCGGATCTTGTTGGTACTCCTTTAGGCCCTTCCCGTTCCACGTTGAAGTGACAGCTTTAGCGATTGTTCGCCCGGCCATGGGAAACATTTTTAAAATCCTTTATATTAAGTTCACTTGCTTGCTTGCTTGCGCGCTTACGACCGTGCAAATCTTTCGGTCGTTTTTAACCCACTTCCCGTGATCCAATCGAGCTGACATTTTGCACACAGACTCGTTGTGCTTGACAATTTATTTTCGTGAAATTTTTTTTCCAAAATTTTACACTTTTTAGGAATTTTTTTATATTTAATTACCAATTGCTTAATGGTGGCAGGCAATCATCTGACCCATAGGTGGCAGCCATCTCAAGCCAGAGGACGAGAGGACTCTAGCCGCCACGCATATAAAGGATTATAGTGAAAAACTTTGTTTTTACGGGTTAATTTTTATTATTTTTGAATGATGGTGTCATAATTCGCGCACTTTGCCACAGCTCGGAGGGAACAATAGTTCGACATCCACGAGTGGTCGTGCGTGATGTGTTTCCGAAGAATTCACCTCGAGTCGAATACATTTTAGTTTTCACATGGATCGGCCCATTCCCGGCTGACTCGGTCAGAGGCAGTCTCCAGTCGTGAGCATTCATTCACTCGCTCCGATTACGGATGGAGACGAACCTGCGTTCGATTCCGGCTAAACACCAGTGAGGTCTCCGAACTGAACAGGTCCTGACCACATCCTCCTCTGCATTACACTACAACCCGCGCTGATCAGCGTGGCGAAGTATGGTCAAATTGCTGCCTTTACGGTCAGGGGAGGCGTTCACCCAGCAGTGGACTGTTCTAGTACAGCGGTTGTAGCAGGTGCTTTGTCTGGAACGTGCTGTGTTCAGACGTTTCACAACACGTGACAAATCAATAACCGCTCCAAGTGACAGGGTGAACTTTGATCCCTCCAGTAGCAATAACCTGGCGACGCGCGCAAGGTCGTAGACTCGCACAGAGACCCAAATAGACACCACAGACTCGCGCAGAGAGCCACAGAGAGCCACAGACTCAGACAGAGAGCCACAGAGAGCCACAGACTCGCACAGAGAGCCACAGAGAGCCACAGACTCGCACAGAGAGCCACAGCCTCGCACAGAGAGCCATAGAGAGCCATAGACTCGCACAGAGAGCCACAGACTCGCACAGAGAGCCACGGACTCGCACATAGAGCCATAGAGAGCCATAGACTCGCACAGAGAGCCACGGACTCACATAGAGAGCCACAGACTCGCACAGAGAGCCACAGACTCGCACAGAGAGCCACAGACTCGCACAGAGAGACACAGACTCGCACAGAGAGCCATAGAGAGCCATAGACTCGCACAGAGAGCCACAGACTCGCACATAGAGCCATAGAGAGCCATAGACCTGCACAGAGAGCCACATACTCGCACAGAGAGCCACAGACTCGCACATAGAGCCATAGAGAGCCACAGACTCGCACAGAGAGCCATAGAGAGCCACAGACTCGCACATAGAGCCATAGAGAGCCACAGACTCGCACATAGAGCCATAGAGAGCCACAGACTCGCACAGAGAGC